CGCCAGCGGCATGCCGTGACGCATCTGCTACGCGGCATGACGACGCGACGACGCGATGTATGTAAGCAGTGCTACGCGTATCTTTAGTTGTAATGTGGACTATGACCCCACAGCTAACAATGTGCCACTGAAATTATCTTGCTTTTAAATTGAAATAGAAACGATCATTATATAAAAGTTTAATTTTAAACATATTCTGATAGTATTTTTTAAATCTACTGTTGGCGACAGACCTCTTTTTATAGATATTTCTATTTTTAAACCATATATTTTTATATACAATTTTGACATATATTTTTTATTATATTGTTTTTCTACATTGTGTCATATACGCTACCACTAAATACATCACTATAATTTAGGTAAGTAATTTTATTTATATTACCCTATTTCACTGCCGTTGCCAGCCGTAATATTGGTCCTTCTACCGGTGTAATTACCAGCTAATATTAAATATTTTATATACAACAAAAATTTATATAATTTATTTCCGAATATTTCAACAAATGGTGTTGACAAGAGGTATGGCAGCGGCACAAAGCGCCCCAACGGATCTAGATATCCCTCCTTCAGAGGTATCCGCTAGCGCTTCACGTGTTATTAATCCCCACGGTTCACATCGCGGCTCCCATCATTCATCGACCTCACTCCGAGCTCAACGTCTTGTGGCAAAAGCACTACATGCACGTCGCTTAGCCGAGCTCGAGGCCGACCGAGACCGCGCCGCCGCTGAGCGAGAGCGTGCCGCCGCAGAGCGGGAGTGCGCTGCCGCCGAGCGCGAGCGAGCCGCCGCCGAGCGGGACCGTATGGTAGCTAACTTAGAATTAGAGGCTGAATTAGCGGCTATTGATGAAGCTGCCAGCTTGCACTCACAGTCGTTTAGAAGCTCTAGAGTAGAAAATTGGGTATCTCATACTAACGCATCTTTGTCTGAGAGACAGATTATGCCGTCCCAGCACACACCTGCGCCACAAGTGCCTGGTGTTTCCTGCCCAATGCTGGCCACAGACTGCGAGCGTGTGGTCTCGCCTGGCGTCTGTGTCACTGGCATCAGTGCCGGTGCCGCGGCGCGCGAGCACGCGCCCCACATCGCATCTGTCCAACCGTCATTGGAAGTACCGGAAGCATCGTTACGATGCGGCCGCAAGCGCGCTGCCTCGCCAGGCGTTGCAAATATATTATTTGCGACGCGCGAGTACGCGCTTCCTTCTGCGCCCGCACCGTACGCAGTGGCAGCATCAAGTGCCCGCGGCGTAACCTCCACCCAAAACTACAGCTACGGTGTGCCTCAGCCAGGCACTACTGCGACACTGGGAGCTACAAATGAAGCCGGCGCGTTGCATTCCAAGCCGCCCTCTCACGTTCATAATCCTTGTACACAGACACACACGTTAGGTACACAAAACGAATTTATTTGTAACCAAAATAAAAATGACCGCTCACATGTACCTACCACTTCACAAAACCAACCCAGTGACTTCCTGAAGTTGGCTGAAGTCATAAGTGACCTCGCCCGTTGTAGCAGTGGAAAAATTAACCCAGGTACGGTAGTTAGCTTACCTATATTTTCCGGCACGTCACCCACTCATTGGTTAACATTTAGAAGTTCATATCTAAATTCCAAAAATATGTTTTCGGCGACGGAAAATATAGGTCGATTAAATAATGCACTCCGAGGAGCCGCTCGTGATGCTGTCATTTCCCTCCTGGCCTTGTCGCAAGACCCAGAGGAAATCATGGAGGCTCTGCAGGAGCAGTTTGGTCAACCTGAGCTTCTGATCCGTCACTTAGTATCAGAAGTTAAGGCCATGTCCAAGCTGTCAGCATCTGACGGTGGCAAGGAACTCCACCAGTTAGCTTGTGTGGTACGCAACTGTGTCCACACCATAAAGATGTTGGGTTCTGTGGAGTACCTCGCCACTCCAGAGTTGTTGCATAGTGTGCTACTTAAATTAACTCCACTGATACGTGAGAAATGGGTTGATTATGCATTCATAAATGCCGATACCGGGTTCCAATATAAATTAGAATTGCTTTCCGCCTTTCTCACACATCAGTCTCGAGTTCATTTGAGGTTTGGCATTGTCGATGACATTTCGCGCCCTAAGCCTATAGAAAAGGCTCGCACGCATGTCACGACTAATGTCAGCTCAGACGAAAGTCCGAGTGACATATGTTACGCCACCGCCTCACACTCTACAGCTCATAAGTTGTCAAAAGGCAAAGTTACTCCATCTACGGCCGCAGTTGATAACAATAGGCCCTCAAATTCTCCCTCTATTGCTTATTGTTTATACTGTAAAAAGAATGGTCATGAAGTCTCAAATTGTGATTTATTTAAAAATATTTCTGTTAATGATAGATGGGATTGGGTTAAAAATAATAAAGTTTGTCAAAGATGTCTCAAGCGGGGCAAACATTATTATAGGACTTGCAAAGGTAACTGTAGGGTAATAAATTGCAAAGGTGGATATTACCACCATGAGTTACTTCACAAACAGTTAACAAATTCTGTTCATTACAGTTCAACAACAACTGGCGAACGTGAAGTAAGTTCGGAGAGTGAAGTCGCACCAGTAATTGTGGCCCACGCTCACGGCAGCAGTGCGATACCATGCGAGACGCCTTCTCCTTCGCGCTCACTTCTTAAAGTGCTGCCGGTAACTGTAACTGGACCAAAGGGTGAGATGGATATTTATGCTTTATTGGATGACGGGTCTACAGTTACTCTGATTGACCAAATAGTAGCCGACACAATCGGTGCACAAGGGCCGAAAGGCACTATTCAAGTTAATTGTGTGGGCGGCTTGGCGAAAGATTCTGTAGTAACCTACATTGATATTAACATCAAAGGCAAACACTCTGACAAAACCTTTAATTTAGAACGGGTTCGCTCAATACCTGATTTGGGTGTAGCATGCCAAACAATTCGATCTGTAGATGTTGCAAAGTTCTCTCATCTTCAGGATTTGGTGAAAGAACTGTCTTACGAGGAAGCCAAGCCTCTCTTAATAATTGGTATTGACAATTGGCATTTGTCATTACCGCATGGCATCCGACGCGGTTCTCGTAACCAACCTGTGGCTGTCCAAACCGTTCTAGGATGGACAATGTTCGGTAGGCTTCCGGGTAAATCCGCGGAGTTTATCCATCATAGCTCGGTTTCCGATTTAGAATCTTTAATAAAAGAACATTATCATCTCGATTCGATTGGCATTACAAAAAAGGACTTCCACAGCATAAACGATGAGCGGGCTTTGGCTATTTTAAATGAAACCACCCAACGTCTTCCTTCAGGTAGGTTTGAGACTGGTTTACTCTGGCGACCTGATATCATCTCAATTCCAAACAGTTATAAATTAGCTTTATCCAGATTTCATAGTTTAGAAAGAAAGTTTAAAAAGGATCAAAATTATGCCGAAGCTTATAAACAGTATATAAATGGGATGATAGAGAAAGATTACGCAGAGCTTTGTACTAATGTACCTCCTTTAGGTAATTTATGGTATTTGCCTCATTTTGGAGTATATCACCCCCAAAAGAAAAAGCTGAGGCTCGTTCATGATGCCGCAGCTAAATGTTCAGGAGTTAGCCTAAATTCTCTGCTACTCCCTGGTCCTGACCTCTTACAACCCTTATTAGGAATTCTCATGCGTTTTAGGGAAGGTGAGGTAGCCCTCAACGGAGACATTCGTGAAATGTTCCCGCAAACAAAAATTAGGGCACAAGATAGAGATGCACAACGTTTTCTCTCTGGCGAGACGATCCTTCTCTACCTATAGCAGAATATAGAATGTCTTCCATGATCTTCGGCGCCACCTCCAGTCCGTGCACCGCCATTTTTCTAAAAAATAAAAATGCTTTAGAGCACCAGACTAAGTTTCCCGAAGCAGCAGAGGCTATTGTTAGAGACCATTACATGGACGACTACCTTGGAAGTGTAGACAGCCCAGAACTCGCCGCTCGATTAGTTGCAGATATCGTCACCGTGCATAAAGCAGCCTGTTTAGAGATGCGCTCATGGGTATCCAACAACCCCAAAGCGCTTACAACAATAAGTCCTGACTTGTGGGCTGCCGACACATCCGAGGTAGGTCTCGGACCGACATCTCCTTCGCAAGTTAGAATTTTAGGGGTGGCCTGGAACATCAAGGAAGATACTCTTAATTTTAGAAAGTCCACAGAACTACCTACCAGTGTGACAAAAAGAGTAGTCTTGTCCCATCTCATGAAGGTTTACGATCCTCTTGGATTTTTGATGCCACTAACCATCGCCGGTCGCATCTTATTTCAGGAAACATGGAGAATGGGTATTGACTGGGACGAGGAGTTGCCCGCCTCTGCAAAGGCAAAGTGGCAGACTTGGTTCGCCGGTATAGCAGAAGTCTCGGCCAAAATTAAAATACCACGCTGTTACCGAACCAGATTTGCTGCGGAATGCCAGCTCCACGTCCTAGCCGACTCAAGTGAATCCGCTTACGCTTGTGTGGCGTTTTGGCGTTTTGTCCACCAGGACCAATCTGTTCATTTGGCTCTTATAGGTGGAAAAGCGCGCCTAGTATACCCTTTAAAGCCTGTGTCTATCCCACGGCTCGAGTTACAGGCGGCTCTTGGCTTCTCGATTCGCAACTTACATCCTGGAGGCACACCGTCTTGTTGCTTCTAGAGTTTTCTTTTGGACGGATTCCCTAACGGTTTTAAAGTGGTTGCGTAGCGATGCCCGCACGTTTAAGCCGTTTGTTGCTCACCGTGTAGGAGAAATATTAGAGACTACAAACGTTGCCAATTGGCGTTATGTTCCATCGGCCTTAAATGTAGCAGATGATGCTACACGCGGTCTATACTCTCTTTCCTCTTCCTCTCGATGGTATACTGGCCCAGATTTTCTTTTGTCTCCACCAGAAGAATGGCCTCGCGAGCCTGCGGTCATTGCTCCACTAGTAATTGAGGAACTAAAACCCGAACACGCGTTAACGTTTTTGCTAACCGAACATCCGGAAATGCCATCTCCGATCGTAGCGAATCACGATCATTTCGGTCGTTGGGTTCGGTTGGTTAGAGCAACCGCTCGTGCACATCATTGTGCTAAAATATTTCGGTCGCTTTTGAAAAAACCTCCAAATTCAAAATTAAAGAGTGCTGCCTCCAAGGTCTCCTTCAAAGTTTTGAAACCTCTTTCGGCCGCAGAAATCTTGGAGGCCGAGAGGCACCTATTTTTATATACTCAATTGGAATCATTTAAACACGAATTCTTGAGTCTTACCGAGGGTCTTCCCCCAACTAATCAAGGGAGGCTTAGAGGTCTTGCGTTGATGTTGGGAGAAGACGGTTTAATCCGTTTAAATGGAAGAATTCGTGCTGTATTAGATGCTCCCGCGCAGGACATTAACCCTATTGTTTTAGACGGTCGACATCCAATTGTAAAACTCCTTCTCGATCACTATCATCGGAAATTTGGTCATGGTAATATCGAGACCGTCGTTAACTTCCTGCGCGGCAAATTTTATATAATAGCTTTACGCCCAAGTGTCAGGTCTGTTGCCAAACAATGCAGTTTATGTAGGATTAGGAAGCTTCTCCCATCTACGCCTCAATTTGGTGATCTTCCTGAAGATAGGTTATCCCATCATCAGCGCGCGTTTTCCTTCTGCGGTCTTGATTACTTCGGTCCAGTTGAAGTTGCCGTTGGGCGCAGACGAGAAAAACGCTGGGTAGCTCTATTCACATGCCTTACCATCAGAGCCGTTCATTTGGAGATCGTAGGAAGCCTTTCCGCAGATGCTGCTATCATGGCCCTAAGAAGATTTATTGCCCGTAGAGGATGTCCAGCGAGAATCATCTCAGATAACGGCACGGCTTTTGTCGGCGCAGCCAACCAACTCACAGACGTTTTCGACTTCGCGGCCAACCATAAAATAGAGTGGGTCTTCATTTGTCCAGCGGCACCATCAATGGGAGGTGCGTGGGAACGCTTAGTGCGATCAATAAAGTCTGCGCTTTCCGTAACCCTGAAAGAACAAGCTCCAAGAGAGGAAGTATTGAGTACCCTACTTCTGGAAGCGGAAGCAGTAGTCAATTCTCGCCCGCTGACACACGTACCAGTAGAGCCGGAGACACTACAGGCCCTCACACCCTTCCATTTTTTATTGGGCACACCATCAACCGAGTTGGTCCGTCCCCGCACCGATGCAGATCTTTGCCGTCGCTTAGACCACAGGAAGGTACTGCGGTTAGCGGAGCTGTTTTGGGCCAGATGGCTTCATGAATACCTACCCACGTTGATTCCACGAAAGGCCGGATCGACGCAAGCCAAATTCAAAGTGGGAGATCCAGTTCTGGTGGCGGATCCAAATCTTCCGCGAGGACCCTGGCCCAAAGGCCGTATTTCTAAGATATTCACCGGTCCTGATGGAGTGGTCAGGGTGGTGGAGATCCGGGGAAGCATGGGGATCTTGAAAAGACCAGTGCGCAAAGTGTTGCCCTTACTCCTAGAGCAGGGCACCCAAGAAAACTGCGCACAGTCGCCACTATAGATTGGTGCTCTGCACCGGGGCGTGCCATGTTGGCGACAGACCTCTTTTTATAGATATTTCTATTTTTAAACCATATATTTTTATATACAATTTTGACATATATTTTTTATTATATTGTTTTTCTACATTGTGTCATATACGCTACCACTAAATACATCACTATAATTTTGGTAAGTAATTTTATTTATATTACCTTAATTCACTGCCGTTGCCAGCCGTAATATCTAGAAATAAATGTAATGCATCGTGGGATATTATCAAAGATAAAGTAGATAAAATTCAAAACTATCAAGGTATTACTTCCGTAAGGCATAACGGTTCTATTATTACAGAACCCAATGAAATAGCTAATATATTCAATTAGTATTTCGGGAAAAACACAAATTTGTGACAGTACATTCCCGTTCTAATATAAAAAAAAAAAAAAAAAAAATTGTATCGGTTCTAGTACATTTCCTAAGCCTTGTGATCCAGTTGAAATACGTAAACATATAATGTCATTAAAGAATACCACATCGGTAGGGTTTGATATGATTTCAACCAATATATTGAAATCATGTGCTGATTTGGTTGCTCATCCTTTGTCGCATATTTTCAACCTCTCGTTTGACCAAGGTGTCTTTCCTGATATACTAAAAAAAAAAAAAAACTGGCATTGTAAAGCCTTTATTTAAAAAAAATGATCCTCTTGAGATAAACAATTACAGACCCATTACATTACCTTCAATTTTTTTTTCAAAATCTTAGAAAAATCTATGTTAGTTCGTTTGACCGATTTCATGCAAAAATTTGAAATAATCAGAGAAGAACAAAACGGTTCCAAAAGAATAAATCAACAACTCTTGCTGCATTCTCTTTAATTAAGACAATTACAAATAATATTGACAATAGAAATCCTATAACTGTAATTTTTTTAGACATGAGTAAGGCATTCGATTTGGTAAATCATGTAACATTAATTAGAAAGTGTGAAATGTATGGTATAAGAGGGCCAGCACTAAAATGGATTGAAAGTTATTTGGCTAATAGATATCAATGTGTCGTAATAAACAGTACCGACAAAAACCATACTTCTGTATCATATAGTTCATCGTTTAAACATAAAGATACAGGGGTCCCCCAGGGAAGCATTTTGGGGCCACTTCTTTTTCTTTTATACATCAATGATCTTCCTAATTGTATAAAAGAACAATGTGTATTATTTGCTGATGATGTATAATTAATAATACCTCATCATAATAAAAATTTCAATTACGAAGACCAAATTAATTCCTGCCTTAAAGTAGGTGATTGGCTAGAAATAAATAGCCTAAATGTAAATACATCAAAAACAAAATTTATTCAATTTGCTAATTATAAAACATTAATTGAAACAATACCAGTCAAGTATAACGACCAATTAATCGAAGAAGTTGACTCAATAAAATTTTTAGGACTTACATTGGACATGCACTGCAATTGGAAAGATCATATCAATAATCTATGTACCAAAATAAATAAATTTATATATGCACTTAAACGATTAAGAAATACTGCAAATCTAAACACTGGCCTCACCGCATACCACGGTTATGTCGGATCTTTACTTAGATATGGTATATTATTGTGGGGTAATTCAACATTTGTTAACAAAGCATTAATTGCACAAAAAAAAAAAAAAAAATGTTTACGTGCAATCTATGGTATACAACCTAGGATGTCTTGCAGGCAGTATTTCCGGAACAATAAAATTCTAACAGTGACTTCTCTGTATTTCATGGAGATCGGTGTATTTGTTAAAAAACATCCACTTTTGTTCCAAAAGATTACAGCATTCTCCAGATTTGATAGACGGGATCCAACAAAATTAGTTATCCCTGCTTGTAAAACTTCTCTTCATCAAAAAAGTTGCTATTTAATGGTCATATATAATAAAATCCCCCGTCACTATAAAGAATTGACCATAAATTCTTTTAAATACCAATTCCGAAATTGGCTAATTGACAATTGTTTTTATACTATAAATGAATTTTTCGCTAAAAGCTAGGAGTTAAATATAGAGTATATTTAGAATTATTAGATAATAAAATTAGTAGTATTGTTTGATATATTTGTATAATATTGATTGACACCTTACTAAAATAAATGTCACGTATCTATCTATATTTGACATATAATACAATTTCTAAACGTAAATTAATTAATTCTATTGTATAATTTGTATATTACTAAAATTTTTGCATGCCAAAACAATGGCGAAATATGTGGACAATTTTATTAATACTGACATTCTTTTAATATTTATACCATATTTCATGCAAATAAATACATTTCATTTCATTTCATTTTTATGTTTTGACAAGTGCTCCTAGACGGAAGGAGGAGGACCTCCTTCCGTCTAGGAGCACATCAGAAGAGTTTGCGATCTCTAATTTCAATACAACCAACACATGTGCCAATTTTTAGTACAACCGCGAGGTCGGTGTGGCCATGGGTCGGCGGGGGGTTGTCGGATCGAAAAATGAAACATTAAACATTTGCGAATGTGTTATATTATTTATTTATTTATTTACAGTAAATGCTAACGTCCTCAGTCTTCCTCGTGCAAGGAGAACAGCTTGGCCACCTCGAACAAATCATCAAACTCGCCCTGCGCCAGGACCTGTACGAGCATGTATTACATATATATATCTGATGTTTACAGACACCATCTATTCAATGAAGTCTTGTACACAAACATATTTAAGGTATCTATGAAAACGATGCCGGTAATCTGTACCTGTCTGGCGACGTGCATCCGATTGAAGAGATTCCAAAGTAGCACGCCAACGATCCGCTTCTCGCGCAAGTAGAACACCACGCCGCGCTCGTACCGGCGCGCCGCCGCCTCGTCGCCGGACCGGACGGGGCTCGCCTCGCCGCCGGACCGGACGGGGCTCGCCTCGCCGCCGGACCGGACCGCGACCGAGCCGTCCGGCCGGCTCGGGGCCGCCCCTGCGACGCCGTCGGCCGCCGTCGCCGCGACCGGCGGTGCCTCCGCATCCGTCACCGCTTCGGCCGAGAACACGCCCACGGTCGGCAGCCGAGAGTCAATTATACCTATCGCCTATAATATTTACGAGAATATAAGTCTAAAGAAGTCATAACAGGAATTTATACATAATCGTGCAGAGAAAAGTGCGAACCTCGTAGCCCAGGTCGGGCCCCAGGTCGCTCCAGAACATGCTCTGGTGCGTGTAGGGGCGCGGCGGGCCGGCGGCGGCCATGTTCTCCCCGGCGAGGCGGCCCGACACCACCGCGTGGTCGTGGTGCTCCACGCGGCGGCGGCCCAGCGCCACGTCGTAGAAGCAGGCCACGTCCCCGGCCGCGAACACGTCGGCGCGCGCCTGCAGCTCGGCCGACACCACCACGCCGCCCAGCCGAGGGTGCGTCTCCAGGCCGGACGCGCGCGCCAGCGCCTCGTCGGGCTCCACCCCCGCGCACTCCACCGCCAGCTCGGCCGCCAGCTCGCCGCCGCCCGCCAGCCGCAGGCGCAGCGCGGCCGGCTCCACCGCGCACGCCTCCACCTCCGCGGCCGGCGCCAGCGCCACGCCGGCGGCGCGCAGGCGGCGCGCGGCCTCGTCGGCCAGGTAGCGCGGCAGCACCGCGGCCAGCGGCGCCGGCTCGCGGAACACCTGCGTGACGGCCGTGCCGGCGGGCGCGAGGCGCGCGGCCAGCGCGGCGCTGAGCTCGCACGCGAGGAACCCGCCGCCGACCACCACCACGCGGCGCACGTGCGGCGCCTCCGCCGCCGCCGCCAGCCGCCGCAGGTCGCGCAGGTCGCGCAGCACCAGCGACCGGCCCGCGGCGGCCGCGCCCGCCAGCGCCGCCACCCGCCGCGGCCGCGCGCCCGTGGCCACCAGGCAGCGCCCGTACCGCAGCGTGGTGGAGGTGCTGGTGGTGGCGGCGGCGGCCGGCGCGCGCAGCTCGGCCTCGTGCCGCACCACGTCCAGTCGCTCGACGCGCCAGCCGCGCGCCACGGCCGCGCCGCCCGCGTCCGGCAGCGCGGCCGGCGGCGAGTAGAAGGCGGCCGGCTCGTAGGCCAGGCTGCGCCGGCGCCCGTTCCACTGCCGGAAGGAGAGCCCGTCGAGGGCGGCGGCGACGGCCAGCTCGGGCTCGCGCCACAGCTCCTTGCTGAGCGGCGGCCGCATGTAGGGCAGCTCGGGCTCGTCGCCCACCAGCAGCACGCTGGCGTCGGGCCGCGCGCCGCGGATGGCGCGCATGGCCGCGAAGGAAGCGGTACCTGCGCCCACCAGCAGGTAGTCCACGTACTGCGGCAGCTCGGCGCCGGTCGCCGGATCCGGCCGCTTATTCTCCTTCGAACGTTCCGCTTCTAGGCCTGTAGAAAAAAAAAAAAAACACACTATACATATAAATAATATTTAAAAAAAAAAATTGAATAATAAACCTCTATAATCGCCGGCAGATTATAGAGGTTTATTATTCAATTTTTTTTAACTACTTAAAACTAACCAACTTACTTCCAGAGATGTACATATTAACTAAAAAAAAAAAGAGCTAGTAATACATTCGTACAGACACAGGACAAGGGACTGCTCCAATCTGGATATCTGTTATGAAGATCTGTGGGCTAATTATCTAACTTCGATCGCAGCGATTTTCGTGTGTAACGTAGTGATAAAGACGTCATCTGTCAATAATGCAATTATATTGACTACATTTGATGCTGTCAACTAGCAATAGCGTAAACGCAACTTTACATGTCGATAAAAAAAAAAATATGTATAACAATTTAAAATCTTTGATTAAAATGTTTAAAATATCAACATTGTGTGCTTATATAATTTTAAATATTACGTACCTACCTAGGTACCTATAGAAAATAAAGAAAAAAAAATTTGTAGGTTACATTGATATTATTATTGATTATAAATGATTTGTGTAAAATATGCCTGTACCTATATTCAAAAATATTAAACATATTTTTTTATTAGAATAGAATAGATTTTCATTATTTCATTTTATTAAATGTCTATTAATAAAATTAAAATAATGGAACAAGTAAACGCTGCAGTTTATTTTGTAATTTTTGAACGCAATAAAAATTGTTTTAAAACAACCAACTAGTGTATTAAATCAATAATTTAAAACGTACTCTTCTAAATATATCTATTGCACTCACTTTTTAAATTGGTCGGATTAACAATATTCCAATGCAACCGTTTATGGATAGAAATGATTTATCTTGCCGTCACTCGATCTTACTTGATCGCATTTTTTAAATTGTAATGATTTTATATTGCATCACAACTTCAACAGAAACGATTTTATATAGTGTTATATAATTAGCCCACTGTTACAGCCCTTCCATCCACTCTGACGGAGAACGACAAGTACAAACATAATTCTCAGACATCGCAAAATTAGTTTCTATCAATAGTTCATCACAGGGGGTGTACTATTAATAAGGGGTGAACTACTAATAATATTTAACAATACAAACGTGCTTTAACAATGCAATATTTAACTCACCATCGCCAATTGCGGGTAAATTCTTCTCATTAGTTAATTTGCGATAAAAATATACCTGACAAACAAAAAGAAAAGCTTATGAATATACTAATGGTGTATATATGTAATAACTATGTAAATATCACACAGGCTCACTTCATTTATACAGAATGTATAAAAGATTTGGACACGGAGTGTTGTTCTAGCTCTCTGTCTGAATTTCTTTCGTGTTTTAGCACGTTTTTGTCTGTATTTGCTTTTAAAGACAGAGGTAAATAAATTGCTATTTGTTTTTACAAATATGCATACTTCATATATATAAAGTGAAGGAAAAGAAATATTTTCAGTGTTTTGAAAGAGGGCTTAAACTGTTAGTTACTTTAAAAATTAAAAACTGCTCTGATACGTCTCTTTTAGGCTTTTAACACCAACTGTTTATTAGTCGCATTGCCCCAGAATACAACACCATTTCATATAACAGATTTAACTAATCCATGATAATCTGTTAGGAATAGAAAATTATTTATTCAAATAAACTTAATTTATGAATTTTTAAATAGTCCTAACATTTTTTAGTCTACCGCTTATTCAGAAAGCTGTCTCATCACAAGAAAAACGAGCAAGAAATTTGTGTGTTGCTCTTTTAAATAATTCTCATAAGTTCACATTTTTCAAATTGAAACGTGAATACAAACTACCAACTAGCACTAATTTATTAGGGTCAAATATAAATACATAAGATTAAATCAGTCGTCGTGATAAGAGCAGACCAGTCCTTATAAGCAGAGTGTAACGATTAGTCATTTTTGCTAAACCATTTCAATTTGACTCTTCCTTCTACAAATTACTGTTCATTAAATGATTTAAGACTTCAGTCACCGAGACTGGTTCTCCTTTATTTCCGTTATATTTAATGTTAATACTAATCACATTTGGCATATGTTGTGTAAACTCCATAATTATTGTCTTTTGTAGAATTATTAATAAATTATTATTTGTTGAATAATGTTTTGTAATGTCAGTTTATTTAATATTCCTAGTCATTATTATTGTCATATTCAATAATTACAGTACTAGCGTCAGCAAAAAGCACCACAGGATGTTCTACACAAGTAATTGTCGGTGTAACATTTATTTTATTCATTGACAGAAACATGAAATAATTTGTATCTAAATATATATAACTCAAAGGTAGGACTGACATAGTAACCTATCAACGCACAACCCAAGCACAGGATGGATCGGGCTGAAATTTGGCATGCAGGTAGATGTTATGACGTAGGCATCCGCTAAGAAAGGATTTTGATTAAATCTCCCCAAAGGGATTGAGGGAAGGGATAGAGGATGAAAGTTTATATGAAACTTTGTCAATTTTAAACCGATCGGGCTGAGACTTTACATGCATAAAGCTACAATGACGTAGGCATCCCCTAAAAAGGATTTTGATAAATTCCACCCCTAAGGGGATAAATTAACGCGAGCGATGCCGCGAGCAAAACCTAGTATTATAATAAAAGTGTACATATATGTATTATAAAAATACATAATGAATATCAAAAGAAATATCAACTGACCCCTCCAAGAGAGAGTGTGACGGCCAGCGCGGCTGCAGCAGCCGGCCAGCCGCGCTGTGGGGGCGGCGAAGGCGGCGGCGGGGGCGGCGGCGGAGCCCGAGGGGGCGCGGGCCCTACAGGTGCCTCCTCCGCCGGCGGCGCATTACTCCTCACCACAGTCTACATAGGGACAACAACAACAGTAAATAACAAAAGTCTATATGACAACATATAGCATCTGATTGCATCAGTTGATCATTATGAAATTTTTATTACAATTTAAATCAAAGGAATAAAAAAACATAAATGACTTATTTTTATTATTTTACAATTGTTGTACTATTATGTGCATAAATAATAAGCAAATATAATAAAGAACAGTACCGTTTTATATTTCCTTAATTTCCTTGCAGGCTTCAACAGTAGAATAAACCATTAATATTTGTGTACACAAAAATTACACGAAAATATAGTGTGATGACACATGTCAGCACACAACGGTATAGAGGTGACAGTCACATTGGGGCTCGGCGAGTCACACCCTGTGTGCACACCCTCACAATAATTAGTGTGATACACTTAGTAAGGGATACCATGAATGAGTAACATGTTATATTATTATTATTGATACTAATTATATAACAAGTATGAAAGTTCAAAGTTTTAGTTAATATAATTATGGATTAAATTATCATCTTAGCTTATATGACATTATTTACCCTTATTCATGCAGCAGCCACAGGCTCCACAGAACAAATAGGTACAGCTTCATAACTTGTAGGCCACAATAAAATAGTCAAATTGTGATATTGTAGAAATATATACAATTATTATGATTCTTAATATTTTTAAATAATTATTAATCATGTTAAATATGAATTGATGCTAGATTTTGTTAGCCTGGTTTTCTGATAAAATATTATTATACACTGTTACATTGAATCTGTCCATACACAAGGTGATGGAGCACCAGTGGCTTACCTGAGTGTTGTGGTCAGGTGTACAGGTGGACAGTGGCTGTGTGCCTGCACAAACATATTCATACATGACATTATTCCTTTAAAATTAAATTAAATTTTCTTTTAAAAACATGTTTTCTTTGGAGTGGATATTTTTTGCTAAATGAGGATGTTCGTCTAATAATGTAACAACTTTCAATTTGCATATTAAATTTGACTGTTAAGACGGCAGATAACGTTTTTACAGAAAGTTGTGACTTCTCACTGCTCCAATAATCATTCCCTAGCGAAAATAACCTTTCAACAGTATCATTAGTGCCTGAAACGGCAAGCAATATGCGTGCTTGAAGTTCAAACCACTGTCAAAATAATTTATTAATAAATATGAAATAAAATAATCTAAAAAAATGTTTTAGAAATACTATTGAGTATAAAATTATACAAATGAGTACTTTCAGAGTACATGATTTGAAAAGAGTACAGTTTGCTAAAAAGAGAGAAAAAGAGTACAAAACTCAGTAAATGAGTACAATTGGTCACCTTAGCTAATAAGGCTACATAACAAAATTCGCCACTTAAAGCAAATCTCCAAGGATACTTCACTTGCTGACCGAATATTTCACTTACGAAATAATTTGAAAACATCCCTCCGCGTTCGCCAACTCTTGACCAGCACCTCGAGAGCCTGGCTTTCAATGCAAATTGTTGAAACTGCTCTAAGCATAATTTATACTTTCAGCCGTTACAAGATAATAAGCGAGAAATATACAGTTGACAAATTATTATTAAAATACATTTCCATATATATATATATTAAAAAAGTACTAATGACAATATTAAAATAAAATAATCATTATTTCTTTTTGTATGTTTCTTTTATTGGTTATCTCAATATGTGATTATAATTTATAACACAAACTATCAATATCAAAATGGGCAAAGTATGTGCAATACGCATGGTCGGCAGTCGTTCATATTGGCTGTCAAATTGTCATTTGATTTTCAGTAATTTTCAGTCAGGGTTGCCAACCTTCAAATACTACTAGCCCAGTAGGAACAAATAAAAATTTTATAATCATTATTACTTTAATTCGTCTACCAAACATGATACCTAAATTCCAATTTTATTTATTTACGAAGGCAATATTTCTCTTCTGGATCAAAGAAATCTTGCCTTCGTAAATAAATACAATAGGAATTTAGGTTAGCAGAAAATGATTATGTTGGTTATTTTATGTACATTTAGAAGAAATTAAAAAGTGCCGGAATCCGATAGTTCGGTAAGTAGTCTGTGAACCCGATACAGGCTGTCAAGTAGAGGAACAGTCAAATAAAATTATTTATTAATCTATATGATCTATATATTTTTATCCTTTCGTCTGGTTCTGTGTTGGTTACCGTACTGGTACATTGTGGAATAAATCAGCTGTTTTGAGAAAGAAATAATATTTTGGAAGATAAGAAATGTAATAACGTTTCACCCTAGCTATAGTCGGTGTTCTTTTAAATTATATATCAAACGGCGGGTAGAAAAGATACCAAAATTCCTCCAGCTTCAGCGACACAAGAATCCACTCTCCGGACTGCTAATTGGTAATTTCACTATAATTATTGAGCACTATTGTTATCTATGAGTATTTTTCACGACTCCTAACCGAGGACTCTGTATCTCTAATTACAGAACTTCAATAAATTGTTTATTACGGTGATTGGTTAAGATTAGTTCTTCACGTTAAATTGAAACAAAAAAAAACAAGAAATGTAATACGCTTATCGTGCGCTTTGTGCAAGATAGAATTCATTGTTTATCAGCATTGTTTTAGTTCTTATTCTCATCAATTGTCAACATATGTAGATGTATTGCAGACTGTATGACTCCCAACAATAGTAACTCATCACTGTCGGTCGTATGTGCATACAACATATGCACATACAACAAAACATATAGCAAAGCTATCCATGTTGTGGGACAAGACCTATGTACACTTGACTATACTGCAAACTGAAGATACTATATTCTTAATTATGTATAATTATGTGCCTCAAATGAGGATGGCTATTATTAATTCACTGCCTTACTGTTTTTGGGCTACATTAATATAATCAAATCCTTCTTTTTCACTAGTATAAGAAACATAATGTTACCTATAAAACAACAAAGATTCCAACTGCATAAAATATTCCAGCAGTATTGATAAAATAGTCATAATTTGCAATGGTATTTTATTTTATAAAAAAAAATGTGCCCTATTAAAAAGTCAACTAAACCTAGAGTTTTTTTGTATAACAAAATCAATGTGATGAGTACATTGATTTATTTTTCACACTTTACATTAAACTGAACTGACAGTAGCAGTTGGTAAAGATGGTCCTATTTAATTTTTTACCTCATATTACTAACTTGGTGTATTGTGGTATTGCGGTACTCAGGTCTGTGCTTCTTCTCACTTCTTCTCACTCAGTTTAGTGATTTTTTTGTTATTAATTGGGATCTCGTGGTACTTGTATACTCCATCATTCCTTGTGGTGCATTTGTGATTATCTTTAGAGCATTATTCTGAAATCTGCAGGATTTCAATATTCCATTGGGAAGCTGAACTGTGGGCCTCAAAAACAAAATTATGTTTTCGAGATGAGGAAATATAATTTCATAACAAATTAATAATATAAGGGCATATATTGGTGTTTCTTGATATGTATATATAAAAAGCAGTATTTATATATTTTTTCTCTTGTCCATTTGTGATGAGTCAGTTACTTTCATTAGATTCAATTTATTTTATCTTCTGTCACTTGTAGTTCACACACATCCAGTGATGTATGTCTCCTTATGGTATTATGTAATACAGTTGATTGACACACATATGTATTCATGTAGATTATTTTAGCTGCCTAAAGAAATATTTTAGTTATATTATTTTTTTCTCCTACATTCAGAAGATATATTGTATATATAAAATATTGACAAGAACTGCATGCATGACATGCACATTTGTATTTTAAGTTACACTTTCAGTGAGTTGAATGAATTAAAAAAATATATATGATGCCAACTTCAAATATGTTACTTACAATAACATTTAAAATAACCATTTAAGTATTAATTCTCGATTATGTTGCTCATTTTATTTAAATGTCTGTATCAATTGAGAATATCACATCTATCAAATATATAAAAATGAATCTCGATTTCTTTATTATAGCAAAAACAGGGCTACTATATATATGTATGTATATGTTGACACAACTCATAAAACAAATTAAGCCACTGACAGGACGATACTGTTAAATATGACATTATTACATGTCAATGTGACACAAATCAAGATACAATGCACAGAGTCCATATTCTCCGTGTAAGACAGGACGGTCTCTGTCGAGTCCGCTAGTTAGTTATGAAGAGCGAAGGTCGCTATAAATCTGTGACGCGGATGCGGCAGGTGGTCGGAGATGCTCGGGGCGTGCGAGGCGGGCGAGGTGTTCGCGCTGCTGGAGGGCGGCGCGGCGGGCGCGCGCGAGGCCTCGGACGCGCTGCTGGCGCTGTACGGGGCCGTGCGGGAGCCCTGGCTCACGCGCGCGCTGCTGCTCTACCACGCGCGCACCGGCTCCGCGCGCGCGCTCGACCTGCTGGCGCGCGCGCCCGAGCTGCACGCGCGCCACCTGCTGGACGCGCTGCAGGAGCAGCTGCGAGCCGAGCGGCCCGCGCGCCTGCACGCGCTGCAGGCGCTGGCGCCGCTCGTGGCGCGCCGCCCGCCCTGGCTGCACCGCCTGCCCGCGCACCCGCTCGCCAGGGACCTGCTGCGCGCCGCGCGCTCCGAGCGCGAGCCGCTGCCGCTGCTGCACGCGCTGCTGGCGCTGGCCGCGCTGCTGCCCGCCGCGCCCGCGCTGGCCGCGCCGCACTGCGCCGACCTGGCCGACGCGCTGCTGCGGCCCGCCGCGCTCGACCCGCCGCCGCCGCCGCCCGCCCGGGCCCACCTGCAGCTCGCGCAGCTGGCGCTCTTCCACGCGCTCTACGCCACGCACCCGTGCACGCTGCTGGACGCGCTGCGGGCGGCGCTGGGCGCGGCCGCCGCGCGCGACGCCTGGCAGCGCGACCTGGCGCCGCTGCTGGGCTCGGTGCGCCTGCACCCCGGGCTCGTCACCGGCTCGCGCCAGCACGAGGCCGACGCCGCGCGCTGGGCGCGCCTCGAGCCGCACGACGTGGTGGCCGAGTGCCGGCGCCTGTCGCTGCGGGACCCGGCCGCCTCGCCGTCGCCGGCGCCGTCGCCCGGGCCCGCGCCGCCCTCCCCCGCGCCCCCCGCCGCCGGCTCGGGCGCGCACGCGGCCCGGGCGGCCGCCGCGCTGCGGCCGGGCGCCGAGCCCTGGTTCCCGCTGGGCGACCGGTGCGGCGCCGACTCGGCCCCGAACACGCCGCTGCCGGCCGAGCCGGACGCGGCGGAGCCCCCGGAGGCCGCCGTGGAGGCGACGCCGGAGAACACGCCGGCGCGGGAGACGCGGCCGCAGTTCCGGTACCCGCCGGAGTCAGGCGCCGTGCGGGCCATCGGGCGGCGCTCGCGGCCCGCGTCGCCGCCCCGCAAGGAGCCCTCCCCGAGCGGGGACGCGTTCGCGGGTCGGCTGGCCCGCGTGGCGCTGGAGCGGCGCGCGGCGGAGTCCCCGGTGCCGTTCGGCGGGGCTCCGCCGGCGGGCGCGGCGCTGGCGCGGCCCGAGCCGTCCCGGCCGCAGCCCGCGCCGCCGGACGCGCCGGGCCCGCTGGACCGCGAGGTGGGCGAGCTGACGGCGCGCGCGCCGCTCGAGCGCACGTGGCCGGACGCCGAGGACGGCGCGCCGCCCGCGCCACTCGACCCGCGCCTGTCGGAGCGGCCGCGCCGCGCGACCCGGCGAACTGTGTCGCGCGACGTCGCGCCGCCGCGCCGCGCCGCGTCCTGCTCGCCGCGCCTGCCGGCCGCGCGCCGCGCCTCCGTGGCCGTGCAGACCGTGGACACCTGGCCGGCTCCGTATGAATTCATTATGGCCGATTTCTATCGCAGTCTTCCCGACGAATCACGAAAACAGGTACATATTTAGTTGGTCGTTCATTAGTACCGTATATGATGTTGCCAAATGAGGGTCCGGTATGAACGTGGTAGAAACCTCTAATTCACTAGAATTTTCCCTTACACTATCCATATTTATCACTATTGCTACAAAATCCCTCTCAAATCTGATTTATAGTATTGTAGAAACACTACTCCTCAACAACACGGTTATCTGCCAGGCAGATATACATACGGCAACCAATTTACTATATTACTCAAACGATATTTTACTTGTGCTTGAGGACGGTTATATACACTGACTTGAGCAAAGCTTTTGATGTCATGAACCTCACTATGCTCATTAATAAATTAGAAAACGTTGGTATCTTTGGCTCTTCGTTAAGATAATGTGAAGCCTACTTAAGAAATCGATCGCATCTCATAATGATACGGAGATTTCAGATCTAGTGCCTTTAGACATTCCCCAAGGCTCCCATCTGGGTCCTTTGTTATTTGTTAATGACCTTCGTGTATGCATGGAATGCGTGTGTCATCAAATCAGTGGTTATTATAAAAACCTACAATACAACATATATAATAATGCCCTTTCAGATGTATGTGCTCGTAAAAATTCGGCGTCAGAAAGCAAGCAACTTTTATATAAAATCGTACACGGAATAGTAGTTACACGATCATTAGCAGAAAATTTTGAATTTTGCAGATCGTCGAGCGGGAATCCGAAACGCCGGTAGTTCCCAGCGAGAGGCTGGACGCGTACCTCGCGGAGCTGTACGAGGGCGGCGGCGGCGCGCGCGGCTCCGAGCTGGCCGAGCAGCTGGCGCTGGCGCACGCGCAGCTCGCCTACGAGCGCTGGCGGCGCGAGGCGCACGCCGAGCGCAACCGCCGCCTGCTGGGGCGCTGCCGGCAGGTGCGCGCCCTCGAGCTGCAGAACGCCGCGCTGCGGGAGCGCGCGCGCGCCGTGCAGCTGGAGCGCGACGAGCTGCGCGCGCGCCGGCCCGCGCCGCCGCCGCCCGAGCCGGGCCGCGAGCGCGAGCGGCGCCTCGAGCAGGCGCTGGCCGACGAGCGGGCGGCGCGGCTGCGGGCCGAGGCCGCGCTGCGGGAGAGCGAGGCGGCGCGCGCCGCCGACGCGGCCGAGCTGCAGCGCGCGCGCGGCGACTCGGGCGAGGCGGCGCGCCACGTGGAGGCGCTGGCGCGCGCCGCGCTGGCGGCCGAGCGGCGCGCCGAGCACGTGCGGCGGCTGCGGCGCGAGCTGGTGCTGGCCGGCGAGCGCGCGGCGCGGCCGGCGGAGGCGGCGGCCGGCGGCCGGGAGCGCGCCGACGAGCGCGCGCTGCGGGCGGCGGCGGCGCGCGCCGAGGCGGACGCGGAGGCGGCGGCGTCCCGCGCGGAGGCGGCGGCGGCGCGCGCGCACGACCTGGAGGCGGCGCTGGCGGCGCGCGACGCGGCGCTGGCCGAGCTGCGGCGCGGCGCGCGGCACGCGGCCGACGAGGCGGCGGCGCGGCTGGCGGCGCTGCAGGACAAGTACGCGGCGCTGATGCGCGTGCTGCGAGCCAACGAGGCGCGCCGCCTGGAGCTGCTGGCGGCGGCGTGGCCCGACCGGGCGGCGACCGCGGGCGCGGGGGTCGGCCGCAGCTAGCCGCCCGCGACCCCCCGCGCCGCGCGCGCTCTCCGCTCGCTCCGACCGGAGACCGTCTCCGTGTGAAGAGGTCGACGACCGCGGACGAGCCCGTCGATACGTCGTCGCAGTGGAGCCGCCGCCTCCGCGACGTCCGTGCGCCTCGAAGTTCGTTCCCGCGCTACGCTGTACGGTCGCATACACATTGGACGGCAATAGACGCGACAGTGATAGTGTGTGACGAATTCTAAGAATTCTGTACTGTAACTTTTGTCGGTTGCGCTCGATGGTGAACAGCTTTAAATGAATCGTTCGTACAGCGTCGTGCGCCGGCGCGTGCTCGTTTGGAAGTTCGCGAGCGCGGTGCTCGGTTGCTACAGTGATAGTGCGTCTGTGAACTTTATTCTCACGTGAGAAGTGTTACATTAATCAGTTAATGGACTGTGAATATTGAGGTGTTGATTTGGTCCGAGTTCGAATGTACATAAATTGAGTGTGTGCTTCTCATTTTTGAGATATTACGTAGCGCTCTATACCTCGACGTAATATTAGAACTACTTTTATTTAGCATACTAGAAATCGCTGGTAGTAGGTCGCTGCAGTGGCAGTTTACTGAGTCGTTCTCTGTCGCTTGGTAGATATTCCGATCGCTGTTGCTGCTAATAAGAAAATGCCATCTATCTCGTTTTCGAAATACTCTAAAGCTTGAGTGCAGCATGACTCCCTGCCACTGTGACCTCCTACTACTGTACTGTAAAATGATTGTCAACATTTCTGAATTGTAGAAACATAAACCTAGTGAATGTGTTTTTGTGAAGCTAATAAATAAGAACCTGATGGACCACAGGTTTCCTTCTCAACGACATATTGGCGACATTCACGTTCGTGACATGTACAACTGTATACCACGCATGTGTGTACATATTCATACGTGGATATGGAACAATGTTTTGTTTTTATCATTCATGTACAGTAGTGTAGCTCGGCGCGGTGTCCGTTGTATATAAGATGTCTAAGTGAATTGCAAATTTAGACCTTATTTTGTCATATACATATTATAATGTAGTTCATTAATTTAGATATAACATTATGAATATAAGTTATATATCGTAATTGTATAACATACACCATAATTTATTTTACTCAATCGAGTTTCAAGTTATTTCTGAGCTTGCAAATGTATCATTACAAGTAGGTAGTGTGGTCAGGATGCACGATGTGATATAATGCATCCGTAACATGTGTATAAATGTAAATACATTGATATTGCTATAGTGTTAACCTACTGCATAGCTTTATTACATGTATGGCTGAGGGCGCAGTTTTATAATTGTCTCCGACTGTGCACCGCACCGTTCAGTGTCCGGGTGCGGCTGTACACACACACACACACACACACACACACAATCACCGCCATCTACGTCGCGGCATTAGCACAAATATAATAATTTGTTATATTGTAAATATTGTATAGTTACATTTTCAACTTTTGTGCACTGTAAATATAGACTGTCATAATTAGAAACAAATTGTTTTTAGTGACACATCAGCGTGTATATATATATGTGTACACGAGTCGTGTTGGGCCTAACTAATTTGTGGACATTTCTTGTAGAGCGGAGCAAATCATCGGTTATTGACGAATGTGACGATTCATACATATACATATATACTTTAAATATATATACATTACTCTTGTTTGTATTATGTTTAATGAATTATAATTAGGAAATGTTTGAAATATTACCCAAGTACCTTTGTTCGTCGGCAGTTATACGCTTTGAGGCGAGTGTTGCACGTGCTATGTTTGTTTCAATGTTTGTTGCGCTCCGAGCGCTCTACTTACAGTTGTGTACGTCTGTATATTGTATTGTATTGTATTGTATATTGTGGGCAGTTTGTTGTTCACGTGTCGCTGCGTCGCGCGTCCAGTAGCGCTCCCATACCTCAAAGTGTGCTTTAAGGTAGAAATTGTGATGTAAGATAGTTTTAAAGTATTTGTAAATAAGTCTATTAAATTAAATATAAAAATGTTGAGTTTCTACACAACCAAAGGAGAGGCATTGAAGCCTTCACGTGTGTTGGGTCTCGTACTTTATACGACACGACACCTGCAACGAAATTATTGAATAGATCCTGTATGTAGGCACAGGACAGTTGTACAACACAGTTGTCGTTGAACGTCGTACGTTGTAATAATTTTAATTAATGGCTTATAATATTTTAAAGGTGTTCCTTTTGCCGCTGATATATGAGATGAAAGGAGACATCCTCCGAGCACTTGTCGTATAAATAATCTTCACATATACAATTGATCATTGTAATATTTTACAGCAAATAATTGTATTTTCATTCATCTCTGCCTAAAAATGAAATGATTATGAAATAAATGCATTAAATAACAAGACACACGTGTGGTGTGACATCGTTAGTGCTTTGTTTGTTGCTTGTATTATAAAGTATACTTACAGTTTGTAACTAGTTTGTGTAAACGAACACTGTAATACAACATCTCTTTATATTGTGATTATTATATTGAATTTATGTGAACTGTTTTTTTCTGTTACATTCATTTACGTTACCTAAGTAAGGGACCTAGCATGACGCTACAATAAAAACTAACAATGAAATAAGTGGCATTTTTGAACGAAGATATACAGTCGAAGGTATCTGGCAGCTTCTAGCTCTATCTAGTAATATTATATTATCTGTGGTAGTACTACATGATCAGCGCGGCACATTACCCACACCCATTGCGAGGCTCTAACAATTATGCGGAAATGTTCCGCCGATTCAAGAAAACTGCCTTATTTTACATAGTTTTTTTTACTTGTGATTAAGTGCCTAAATTGGGTAGTTTTTGCAACTTGACACTGGTTGTTTCAAATTTGCTTTGGCTGTTACGAGAGGCCCGGGCGATTGCCCTGTTCGCCACCCCCTATGGCAGCCACTGTACATGATGATCACTGCGCGCTGCTGATGCCTGCGTCGTGTGCTATGTATATAAGAACAGTACAACACTCAGTACTGACCAGGGATGTTATGGATATGAAAATTCGGATACGGATAGGTTTCGGATATAGTAATAATTATTATACCGGATTCAGATGCGGATATGAAATTATTTCGGATTATATTATATATATTTTTTTTTAAGGAATTTTAAAGTAAAATACAAATGGTTACATAAGGGTTCGGTTAACGTAATCGAAACTATCGTATATCCGATAGTTTCGGTTACGGTTACGGAGCTCCCTAACATCACTAGTACTGACGTAGTGCGTCTGAATTACATTATAAAGTAAGATTATTAATTCCAGTCAGTAAAATGACATTTCCAGTGTTGCAGTGTCGTATTATTTAATACGGTATGTGTTAAATATTTACAATAAAAAAAACCTACCTATAATAAAATAAAATATGCAATAAGCATGACTAAATGTCTAAGTCTATTGATGGCCGAACATCACTATTGTAGCGGGTCACCCTTTTTTGTATCAGTGACAGTTGCACTTGTCATTTTACCGACTGGAATTAATAATCGTACTTTAGTAGGTCCCTCGTGACGTCTGTATCGCATTTCCCCGTTTCAAAATTTCTCATTACTATGCTATGCTCATATTGGTCATGTCATGATTAGTACGTGGAGTTACCATTTTCGTTTCTTAAGTTCCATCTACATTTATAGCAAAATTGTGCGGTATAGCCGTGGAGACGTAGATAATACACGTAGATTTAAATCAAATCTAAGACATTTATTCATGTAGGACATTTTAACTGCCCCAAATGTTGGGTCTGATGGTAATTATTGTTCAGATTTGACATTTGCAATATCACATGTCTTTTTTAATTATAGCCTGTGTTATTCTAATGTATAGGCATACGTTTTTTAAAAATCCGTTCAGTACCTCCGCACCTACATACAAACTTCCGTGTTTATATTTACTTGACGACATTTGACACCGACTCTTACCACCTCATTTGGGAGACCACGTGAGGTACACGCGGACCAAGTGGCGACCACCACACAGTCGATCAGTGTTAATGTTAATATGAAGTAAGTACACGTAGCGGGTAGTACACTCGAATGAAACTAGAAGTATTCCGTTTAAATTAGTGTTTATAACTAGCGTCCACTGCGGACGATACATTATATTTGGTACAAAACTCACAACATAAAATATATTATAAATATAAATATCAACAAACTCTTATTTACAATGTACAAAATATACAAATACGTACAAAATAATCAACAACATAATACTAGAAGGGAACGCGTGTATTTGGTGTGGTGGGTGAGGGCGGCGGCGGAGCCCTAGGGCAGCGGCTCGATGTAGTTCTCGGGCACGAGGCCCGTCTTCCCGTTGAGCGTGCCGCGCAGCCAGCCCGGCTCCACGGACGCCGTCACGTTCGTGATGATCTGGTTCGGCTCGAACGACAGCTCGCCCTCCGACTCGCCCAGGCACGCGTACAGCGTGCGCACCCGCCTGGCGACGCACACAGACCAACGAACATTATATACATGTATGTATATGTATGAGAGTAACCTGGTCATCCCCGGGGGGAGCGAGATTTTTTTACTGATGATAATGGTTTGGTGCTCTCGCCTGCGCTTACTGTTTACGCCGGCGGGGCACCAGTGGAGTATGATAAGACCAACATGAGGTCAGGTCAGTTAGCCCATCGTGACGTATTCACCGCGAATTTGTCACGATGATTTCCAGGGGGAACCGCGTCTCTACGCGGTCAACCTGACTCTTGACTCCATTACTAGCAATGTACCGTACATTGCTAGTAATGGAGTCAAGAGTCCTTATTACTAACAATTACCTTTCCCCCCGGAAGAGGATTAGTAATGTGGTACCATGTCAGCTTCACGTGATTCCTGGAAACCATCGTGACAAATTCATGGTATATGCACCAGAATGGGCTAACTGACCTGACCTCATGCTCATCTTAACATCCTCCACTGGTGCCCCGCCATAACGAAAAAAAAACCATATATATTATATATACTGAGGAAATCATGGCATGAATCCCCTCCTACATCAAGCTCTAACCACAACTTACAAAACTATGAACATTTAATGGTATTTTTTGGAGATGTAAAAAAGTAAGAGATTGGGATATGACACTCACGAATGCCTATAGGGGGGCGAATGGGCTAGCATGGCGGTGTGGCACGAGAGTCCCGGGTGTGGCGGGTAGCCGGGGTGCGGCGGGTGTCCGGGGTGTGGCGCGTGTCCGGGGTGTGGCGCGTGTCCGGGGTGCGGCGGGTGTCCGGAGTGCGGCGGGGGCGCATGTCCGGACGGGGGCGGGGGCGACGCGCTGTGGCTGGACACCGACTCGGCCGAGCTGCTGCTGGAGCGGCCCACACCTGAACAACGACCACACGTCGATCACTGAGACAGTGTTTACCAAACACAACTGTTGAGTGGAGCGACAACTACACATATACGTATACACAGCGAGTAATGTGTCATGCGTCATATACGAACGGATTTCCATAACACAATCCATAAGAAAAATAAATAGCTGGTTTTTTTTTATTATAATTATTGATTCAAGAGGTCAAATTTAAATAAATAATAATAATAAATCTATTTATTGCCAATATGGACTGATGGGCGTCCAGCGCTGGTTTCCAGTTTGTAAATAAATAAATTTAATAATAATGATAATATCTAAGGACAATTTGCACAGCGCCATCCCAAGATACATAATAAATGCATAAATACATCTTTTTTGTAAATACATAAATAATATACTTAGAAAACATCTCCATACAAATGTTTGTACCGTGCGAGGAATCGAACCCGCGACCATCGAAAGTAAGGTGGTGTCCTAAATGAATACAAAACCGCGGCCGTCAAAAATAAAAATGTCAATAACATCGTCGGCTAACAAACATGACACTTCATTGGTGGGGAATGACAGCGTATTTAATGTATTGGCATATAGCGAGCGGGCGCCGCACTGCTCCACTTAAATGTAAGTCTAGTGGTAACAACTTCCAACTCCTAAACCTGTAAATCGCGTAGATATCCCCACTTTTAGAAATAAACTTCAAAATGGCTAACGTCAACATATATCGCCGGATCCAAAAGCTGATAAAAGTGCAGTGGTACCTGTTCTGAGGGCGGGCGTGAACTGCTGCAGCAGCTGGTGCTGGTGCGGGGCGTAGCGCACCGCCACACGCTCGCAGCCGCCCACCACGCCCACCGTCACACCCACGCCCTGACAACAACACCACCACCATGTTAACACATACCATATAATGTTACCATACACAGTTCATATATATAATGAATCAAGCATCATACACATCACTGTTATATCTAACTTAATATTTATAGCGTTGACAATGTTGAGTTCTGATTGAACAGAGATTAAGTGCGTAGCGGTTTCTATGTTGATTGTCGCATATCGTTGTTAATGTAAATCTAATTAAAACAACATTTATTTAAAAGAGCAACACACAAATTTCTTGCTCATTCTTATTATGATGAGTCTGAGTACCGAATAGGCGGTAGAATAAAAAAATGTGACTATTCAAAAGTGCTTAAATATTAAACTTTATTCAAATATAAAGATTATTTCTAAAGCAGCAGTATTTGTTATGAAGTTCAAACTTGGGAGAAAATTGTGCGGTTTAAAATCAGCGCCGCAAAAGAGCATATTGTCGTCATACACTTTACCGGATCCTTTTTCCATTTTTAATTAAATATCCTTTAATACATAGTATAAAACATAGTCGCTGTCGCTGTCTGTCCGTCCCTATGTATGCCTAAATCTTTAAAACTACGCAACGGGGTTTGAAGTGTTTTTTTTAAATAGATAGAGTGATTCTAGAGGAAGGTTTATATGTATAATACAAGTACAGGAAGGTGTAATACATGTAAGTTAATGAATTTTTCAACTCGATAAAGTAGTTTCAGAGATTGTCTGGATGTTCCTATCTGATATATACATATTAAACATTGTACTCAAATAATAATGTAAACCTACAAACTAATAAAATATTAATATAAAAACTTTGTATACTTACCACGTCGTTGTGTGCTGACATGGGTATCGATGTTGGCGACGCACTGTAACATGAAATGACACCACTTGTAATGATAACACTCTCAACATTTATTACATTAAACAATTATAGTTATTTTTTAGTTGATGTATTGCCTGGTAATATAAACTACTTCCGATTCTAATATATAATAGTACTTAACATGGTCTGGTCAACGACACTACACTAGAGCCAGAGGGAGGCTTGGTACAATGTAGAGCTGTACGAATCCCACTTAGCTATTATTACCAACTACTAGCTTCATTGTGACCTGTTGATATGTAACACTAATAACATCCTACTTCTGGGGAATGGCAATCCATGGAAGGTATCACAACATATTTCGTTATCCCCATGTGTTACAGTCACGTTTGCCATTTGTGGCCGTCAACTTGTTTGCTATTCCAGTCACTTAAAAACACGCCACAATATCAACAACTTGTAGAACGACTTAAAATATATACTTTTTAAAATTCACAAATGTTTTATTGACCACTATTAAAATAATTCGCCTCAGCAGGTACCTCGTACCGCACAATTGCTCCGAATTAATCAAGTACAAGAGGACACACTATGATATTAACATCAGCATCAAAATAATAATATACGGACCCGGCGATCACAAATCCTGAGAGGCAGATAATCATTTCGAAATGCGCGCGTAGCGAGTGTCGCTGCACGGTGACGGCTCGCGGGCCGCGGCGGCAGTGTGCGCAGTGTGCGCAGTGTGCGGCCCGGCCGCGGCTCCCGGGCTATATAGGCGCGGGCCGCGGCGTGATTGGTGCGGGCCGGCAGGTGGCGGCGCTGCACACGCGGCCGCCACCTGCCGCGCACACCTGGCGCTCTCATCACCACACCACCCTGGCTGCATGCGCACTGCCTGCCCCTATCTTACGCCTTCTCTCGTTCCCTTAAGATGACGATCTACGAGTCGACCGCGGTGGGTCTTATGGACTATTGATACGGTCAAAAACCAGCCCGACTGATAAAGAAGACTGAATACGCGAGCTAACTCGTATTGTATTTTCTTCCACGTAAAATTTCGTACTGTTGTAATTATTTGTTAAAATAGTAGACACTTAAATTAATTATTAATTGTAGTTTAGTAGTTACCGTCACGCGGGCGTATTTACGTTACTATAAAATAATAGTGTGATTTCAGAGGCAACGTCAATGGAAATCCATATGCTACAATTAAATTGATTTGTCGAATACGTTGAACGTCAAACGTATTGTTTAACTCAAACGAATGTATGATTTAGATCTAAATAAATTTTAATAACACTAACATACGATCAACACGAGAGTAACAACAACACGTTACGCAGACACACACATAATAAGATACGTATTAATTAAGAATCGAAGAGGATTATCTCAAAGCCATAATAGTTTCGTTGCTACTAAAATCGAAGTTAAATTATAAAACTAATACATTTGTGTAAGTAATATTTTTTCCTCTTAGGCATGTAAAAAATACTAAAAAAGGTAAAGTACATTCAGTTGCGATCTAACGAAAAATAATGAAATATTTAGGGTTTAAAAAAGTAAAAACATACTGTAACGAGCGTGGTTTGACAATTGTACCAAAAGTAACTGCAATCTGCTGTAATGACCTGAGTACAGCTGGACACTACCACTTGTAACTAGTGCGTCCGTGTTCTTTATTAGTTCAGTATTTTTACAGCCTAGTAGATTTAAATATTCATTTCCATTTGGAAAGTTGTGTAGGGAAAATATATTAATATAAAATAAATTACGTTCATAAACAACTAAAATGCCCCACACGAATAAATGATTTCTGATTTGATTTGATTCCATAATGCTACAATAAGGAGTTGAGAAACTTTAATTATTTTGTTTAATATTTTTTCTCAATTACGTGTCAGGTAGTTCAGAAAAATTATTAAACAGTTGTAGACAATCGGTCTTATTCATAAAAAAACTTATTGAAGGTTTATAGAGCTCATTAGTTAAAACGTTCATTAGCGCTATTGAAGGTTTATAGAAGTGCGTTATTCATAAACCTATTATAAAGCCTCGCTAACTAATAGAGGTTTATAGGACTGTTTTTATCATTATGTTGCAATCTTGACGTTGGACTGTTTTACCATATACGCAGGTGACGTAATCAGTGTTGCTATTTTAGTTGCTTCACCACTAAATCTAGCAGAATTAACTCCTCCAGTATTGAACAAATTATGTAAATTAATACAGTTTTATTCATTTTCCTATTGAATATATATAAAATTGTATTTTATTATTGTAATTGTATTTCTATTTAATAAAGTTAAGGGAAGATAGAAGTATTTTTACATTGTTTTTAAATATTACAATGATTTTTGGTTTGAATATGCATGTATTTTTATGCAAATTTTTAATATAATGGTTTCAAGTAGTTTTATTAATTCATTAATATTGATTTAAATATTTTGTAAAACTCGAGGTTTCTTTGCTATATAGTGGATTCAATAAAACATCGTTGGCAACACTGGTCCTGTCAAAACGATTGTTTTATTTACAAATTGCATGTTATAATTTACGATTGTTTTAATATAGTTACAATTCGTTAGAATTAGAATCTCTTTAGAGTATTATGTTCCTTGATTAGAATTAACGGATTGATTACATATTACGGATTTCATTGTCTAGTAAATTTTAAAATGGATAAACAAAAGAGAGCACGAAGCGAAAATTGGTTGGAAGACGACAAGGTAAGATTGTGTTTACTTATCAATATTTGTTAATTTATCCAGTTTTGGATCAAGTAAATTATTTTTTATGTACGACTTTGAATTTCACTTGTTTTAACTTTTTATTACATTCATTTAATGCATACCTTATTTTTGATAGAATTTATTGTTGGAATTGATCCGCGATCGTGTCGCCGTACTAGAGAGAATACGGATACGAATACCAACAACTGTAAAAAGAAAGGATGGCTGGAAGTTATGGATAAAAATATTTTTGTAACAAGTTAAATATAAAATATAGTAAACAAAGTAAATTAACATAATTTATTTTATTAAAAATTATTTTGTATAAATGTATCCAAAATATATCGAGAGTGTCTTCTTACAGCACCATTGCCCATTCCTTCATCAATTTGATGTTGTGATTGAATGGTAACCTCTTCAAGATTCTCATATTCTGAAATTAATAATATTATTACTTTACAGGCCCATAATTTATTGAAAAATATAATGTATTGATACTTATCAAAACACAGCTTAAACAACAAGGATTAGAAACATGTCTGTATAACTATATTCAATGGATGACTGTGACTGCATCATATATCAGAAGATATAAATAACAACAATGTATAAACTACATTAAAACTTTGTCCTTTACACATAATCTGGATAAATAGTTTGAAAGTTACATATTCATAGCAGACCTGTGAGGCTTCAAAAATAATTAATTCTGGAAGATTTTTACAAAAATACATTTTCATATGAAGTCACAGGCAACCGCTAGTTGTAATAATTGTGTAACAGTGCAAATTATGAATGCACTGAAGTTGATAATCATTTCATAGTAAACAAATTAGTGTTTGTACAAAAACTTGTATTGTAAATTTTTTGTAAAAATTGTGTTTATTAAATAATATTGAAATAAATAAAGTAGTGTTTCATTAAAAGAATTACCTAATATATCGTCATTCCTACTCATAGCGATATTGTGGAGCACAGCTAAAGCCACTATAACTGCCTTTCCATTTTCCAGCGATACACTTAATCCATGTAGTAAACATTGGAATCTCTGTTTCCACACTCCAAAACATCTTTCCACACTATTCCGTGTTTTGATATGGGCAGAGTTATACCTTTCTTCCTTTCTACATACAGGATGCAAAATTGGTGTAAAAAGGTAGGGCAGAAGTGGATACCCTGAGTCACCGAGTAAACGTCCTCTAAAGTGACCATTATTAAACCTTTCTTTTATAATTGACTCAGTAAATATTCTACTGTCATGAGTACTGCCCCTCCATCTTGCTACAACATCTCTTATTACAAGTTTTGCATCACAGACAACCTAAAATCAAAATAATTAAGTACTTTATACATTACTAGTACATATATATATATATATAAACCTTCCTCTTGAATCTATTATAACCCCCTTCAACATGCATTGTATAGTTTTAATGTGACTTTGTTTTATACTATGTAATGATAATTAGTTAATCAAACAATATAGATATGTTTTACACATAATACATAATTTTATCACCTGCACATTCAAAGAATAATATCCTTTCCTATTTATGTAATATTGGGCTGCATCACCACCTGTTTTTTTAATTTTAATATGGGTACAGTCTATAGCCCCTGTAACCCCTGGAAAACCAGCCAGACTTTCAAAATTTGTCATACAAGACCGTTCCTCTGTGACAGTTTCTGGCATTTTTATAAAAGTGGAAGCAAGCTGAGCAATTGCCTTTGCCACTCTACTACATATCCTACTAACTGTGGGTTGACTGAGTCCATGAAGATCAGCACAATCATCCTGAACCTATGAAATGAAAGATATCAAGATTAATTATGAGTTTGAATTGTATGAAAACTTACATATAAAAACTTACATTATCCTATATATATATAAATATATGATTGATGAATGTATTGTAAAAAAAACTTACCTCTCTTCGTCCCCAACACCTCAAAGCAGTTAATACTTGCAACTCTGGAGAAACGGCACCACCTCTGGGATCTTGTTTTAGTTGATCGTACACCAAGGAAATTATATATCGAGCAGTACTTTTATTGAATCGGTATTTATATTTAAAGCACTTATCTGGTAAAAGAAATGGATTGACTTTTTTTTTAAATGTTTTTTTTTGGCGAATTCTTGACATATTAATTAAATTAATTGTAGAAATGGTCGTAATTGCTTCCATTTTATTAATTAACGGAATAATTATTTCACAATTTTTAGGTTAAAATGCCGCTAAAGTAGGGAGTCGGCTCTGTTAACTTTATAGGCTCGCTATTTGACGTTTTAACTTTATCGGACCGCTATAGAGCGTTTATGAATAACGTTTTTCACTATCAGAGGTTTATCATAGGTTTATAGAGGGTTTATAGAACTGATTGCTAATGAACAGTTATAAGAGCTTTATAGAGCGTTTATAAATAGAGATTTTTATAAAGCCTTTATAGCTCTGTTATAGTGGGCTTATAAAGGCTTCTTAAGTTTTATGAATAACACCGAATGTATATTGAATATTGCAAACAAACATTTAACAAATATTCACTAATATAGTTTAACAATCTCTGCACACTTATGTTGCGTTACGTATGTGTAAGACGAGCACAGAGCGAGGCAGCCCGGCCGGCGCGGCGGGCGGCGGGCGGCGGCAGGTGTGAATTCCGCGCACGCGCAGCTGTCACATTCTTATCTGCGAGCTCGCAGGGCTTCTCTTACTGCACGCTGCACCCGAGTGTGTGTACAGTGTACAGTATGCCGGACCGGACGGCCAGTGTGTTGTCGGTGGGCGGCGCACGTCGCAATAATACCAACAATAGCTATTAATTTATTCGTACATCTGATCGGGTTTTTATATACTTTATTTACAAGTCATATCTCTATATGATGATTTTTTTAAATTGTGGTATTAAATCTTGTGATGTTTTTATCAAGTTGATATTTAAAAACAATGTAAATCATTACATAGTATAAAACAAAGTCGCTGTCGCTGTCTGTCCGTCCCTATGTATGCTTAAATTTTTAAAACTACGCAACGGATTTTGAAGTGGTTTTTTTCTAAGCTGGAGTGATTCCAGAGGAAGGTTTATATGTATAATACACGTACACCCGGGCGAAGCCGGGGCGAGTAGCTCGTAATAATATACGACAATTCATGTATAAAAAATCTATGAGTTTCATTTTGGTTTCGTCCATATGTATTAGAATATGACGTCACTGCGTATTGGCCTAGTACCTACACAACATTATATTTTATTTTTGTACTTGTTTACCTACCTAGTATTTGTATGTGTAAGTTTTTGTTTCTATTATTGTATGCATCACCTATATTTTTTTTGCTCAATGCTTCTATCTCCCCGGTTAACTTTAAATTACAGACGTTAGAATCTACTTTTAGCAACAAGGCAGCCTTTTATTTAGCTTACCTCTATGTAAAGTTCTCTTTTTGTAAATAATATTGTATAACTAACTGTTCCCGCGACTTCGTCCACGTGGAAATTAACTTTATTGATGTAAAATAAAAGTAGCCTAAGTTAGTCCTTATTACATCAATTACCTGTCAAAAAAAGTCCCGTCAAAATCGGTCCAGCCATTTCAGAGATTAGCCGGAACAAACAGACAGACCAAAATTGTAAAAAATGTTATTTTGGTGTATGTACCGTATTTATATTAATATGCATTACAAACAGACACTCCAATTTTATGTATATGTATATATAAAGTGCTGTATTATTATCACACACAGTCATGTAGAGAGAGTCATGGAGAGAGTGCTATACCCATGTCGTTATAAGATGCAATAAGCAAAATTATACAGATGTATACAGTTAAAGTGTGTAGATATTAAAATATAACGCTGTCACAATACCCAATCGTAGGGTTGTCAAATCAGCTCTAAAATTTAGAAACCAACACATGACGCGGGAAAACACCAGATTTTAGAGTCCACAACCCGGACATGTCAACAGGTTTTTTAAACATAGTTAGTGTAATAGAAAATAGTTAAAAATGCCATAAATCATATTTTTATTTATTTTCAAATCTTAAAATTAAATGTAGTAATTTTTTATCATCATTTCAAATGTACCTAATAAAACAGAATCTTATTACAGTTTGTTACAAATTGTTTTAATAATCAGTTTGATTTATTTTTTCTTAAAATAAAACTCAATATATTAATATACTTTATAATTATACCTTACTAAAAATATGACATTACTCCGGACGCTCCCCGGATGCTCTCTAAACTAGGACAACTCCGGGGAAACTCGGACGGATGGCAACCCTACCCAATCGGTGAACGTTCCAGAAACGGTACAGATAATGAGCGCGCGAGGCTTCTTTGGATTTTTTGTTAAGGTTTTTGCTCGTCCCGACCAGCTGGCGGCCGCCCCCCCGCCCCTCCTGCACCCTCGGCCACCCCGCACGCTCATCTTAGTGCGCCCCATCCGCGTCTTATTGTATGGTCCATTCTCTTATCACAAAGGTGTGCGTTCACACAATAGACAACCGAGTAAAATACGCCCAATACGACGTTAATTGTTTTGGTTTATTTGTACAAGTGGTGGATACTGGCTGGACTCATACAACCAGTCAGTAATGTCAGTAGGTAAGTACTCGCAGCCCGCGGTCCGACAGATGTACGTACAACTTGTTCTGCGAGAATCGACAAGCGGCGGATTTATTATCATTGTGCAAGTCAACTCACTATCTACATATACTATATATTTGTGATATTGAAATAACCGTTTTTTACTGCATGCATATGAATATAAATACGGTACATACACCAAAATAACATTTTTTACAATTTTTGTCTGTCTGTTTGTTTGTGCCGGCTAATCTCTGAAATGGCTGACCGATTTTGACGGGACTTTTATTGGCAGGTAGCTGATGTAATAAGGAGCAACTTAGGCTACCTTTACTTTAGAAAAATAAAGTTAAATTCCATTAGGACGAAGTCGCGTGTACAGCTAGTTAATACATATAGTAGCAGGTCAATGCACAGTGATGCATAATTGTGACTATAAATAGGCACGAGCATTATTACACTAGGCATAGCATATTAGCACGCTGCTCAACAGCCTTGAGAGCGCGTTTTATTTTATATTTTCCTTGTTTTGCGGTAGATTTGTTACAGCACATTTCCCTCTCGTCGCAACTTACTAAATTCAAATTCAAAATATCTTTATTCATGTAGGTCTATTACAGACTCATATGACATGTCAATGTGTGATAGTCAATGTTTACCATAGCGTATGGTCGCTGACTCGCTGAAGGTGTCACGTGGGCATTAACCCTTAAGACATGTTATTACGCCCTGTTGAAATAAATCCGGTAAACGGCTTCAGTCGCAGTGATAAGAGCAGACCAGTCCCTACAAGCAGCACTCGTTCACGAGTATGACGGATGAGCCAGCCACATTATAGGGAGCCCAATGACAACATAACAAAGGACACGTGTATCGTTACAATAAGGCGGCCTTAATGCTAAATTATAATATGTAGTAAATATTGATATGTAATTTGAAACACATTCTGCAGTGAGTTATTTTCCCTTTATTAACTTAATAAATTATTTATATATACATCAGGAATTCGGAAAATTAGAGAAGGGTTAGGGATATTTTCTATATGTGGATATATTGGAATTACCTTTAAATAAATTCAAAACATCTGTTAAATCATATTTACTGAGCAAGGCCTAACTCACTAAACGATTACTCAAATGACGAGCGTGCATGGCAAAGTTGTTTATGTACGGGATTTTCATTTAATGTTAGATATAGATACCTATATAAATATACATTGTAAATAAACTAGCTTTTAAAAAAAGTAATTCAATTGAGTTTCTTGCCAGTTCTTCTCAATTGGATCAATATATCGAACTGGACGGTAGGGAAAAAAATTATAATGTAAAAAACTTGACGGTCTAAGCGGCCGATAAGCGGCTAAAATGTCCTACTTGAATAAATTATTTTTAAATTTGAATTTGAAAATTACGCGGAATAATAAAAACGTACAACTTTCATATGCTACTCCGTTTAAAATATAAAATCTTTTGCAAAGTAAATAAAATATTTATTAAAATTAAATATTTTAAGGACCAATATTAATTGCAATTAATCCAAGATTTTTTACAATCATAAATTCATTAGATGATTAAAAAAAACAGTTCCATTGACTACGTTAATTCTGTTATACGATCGGCCTATATAACCATCTGTAAACACACAGCTAGTGATCCGGCACAGCATTGAGTGCGAGTACCATGAATGGAGCCAATCCAATAGAATGCAGTATACAATAGGTGAGGGTCGTCGTCGACACACGTGCATCCGTCCGCCGCCTCTACCTGTGCCGGCCGCCCTCACCGCGCTCACGTGTAAGGGTATACAACCCTTAAGTAAGTACAATACCCACAACCTACACTGTGTGCGCTGTAGCATGGCGCGGGTGACAGTTACTAATTTTACATTTAACAATTGCTACATTCAAGTTAATACAGTTATTAATGATTTAAGATATTTTGAATGTGGTACAGCTGAATTACTAAGTCATAATTTGTAAATCGCGACAATGTTTAAGAGTGAAACGAAACGTTAATGAAACTGTCACCCGCACCGCATCATACTGCATGCAATGCACGTCACACCACGGGACCACACCGGGACGTCAGCTGATTGGCGATTGTGATGGGTACGGTAAAATCGGACAAGTTTCTCGTTGGAAGGGCTTACCATCCAATTACGTACAATATGTGTTATGTACTACTATAAATAAATAAATTAATTAAAAACATTTCTTGTAATCTACATTAATTTGAATATATATCATCTATCAAGTTCAGGTTCAAGTGTGGCGATACTTCTGAATTAATTAATGAAGTTATTTAAACAGATTTTTAATTAATGGCAAATTAAAACGCTAGTCATAAAACTAATCTGCTAACATTATTTTAATTACTACCATTAATAAATCAACTCTTTCATTATTCGCCTATTAAGTTTCTATGAATCGATCGTAATTAAAGAAATCAGTCACTGCATAATAAGAAATTGATTGCGTATATAACGTATGAGTACTCCGTACGATGTAGAGATTACAAATATGACCAAAAAATAGTAATAACGTGGACATTGGGCCTGTTCTGGAGATGTGTTAACTCGAGTTGCGCATAATTCGAGTTAACTCGAGTTGAATTCTAGCAACTCGAGTTGGAAGAATTCAACTGGTAAATGAATGAATCAAGTGAAAGAGCGAGAGCATGATGCTGTCATCGAACTGACAATGACATGAAATTTTCCGATCATTTCATATCATACAATTTTCACTCGTCACAAATATTTCAGTATTGATTTGAGGTTGTTATCATTTTTTTTCGCATATTCGTCCGATTATGTTATCATTAAAATGATTATGAGTTCTGCCGAGTACGACACGCGCGCTCATTATTCCATTTAATCAATTGTCTTATTTATTTATTATAGCTTTGCATTCCATAATTTTACAGTAGACAGATATATTTCAAAGTAAGTTAATTATGGAACCTGTTGGACAGCAAGCGGAAGAGAAGAGAGGAGGACGAGTTAATTTTTATATAATTATAGTATTGTATATATCTATCAACGACCACGGTGGTCTAGCGGTCTAGCACACCGCTTTACGTCCGATGGTCTCGGGATCGATTCCTCGCACGGCCCAAACATTTGTATTCATGAGTATGATTGCTTGTATCGGTCTGGGTGTTTTTTATGTATAATATGTATGTATTTACCAAAAAAAAATATCTATGTAATTGTATCAGTTATCTAGTAGTAGTAGTAGTAGTAGTAGTATAACACAAGCTTTAGCTAGCTTAACTTGGGTCTAGATGGCGCTGTGTGAATTGTCCTGAGATTATCATTATTATTATTATTATTATTATATATAATAATAATAGTAATCTGTATTACTTATTTTAATTATACCGAGTTACAGTCCATGTAAGCATTTAATTTCCTTAGTTTAGGACCCTACAGCCTTCGTGTAAGAGGGCTCTTAAAGAATCATAATAATAATGAAACGTAAGAGCCGATTTTGCTGTATGTGTCACTCACCTTCACATCAAACAGTTTCTCTTTTTTTTTTGGTTCCCTTTTTCAGGGAAAGGCAAAAGGACTCAGCCCATACAGCCATTGTTTTCAGTAGTGCGGCAAATGTCAAAATGACAGTTACAGTCAGAGATGTCAAACTCGAGACCAAAAGTGTAAACGAAGCGGTAACCGCTTCACCGAAATAATAATTTATTTTGTGTAAATTTCCAGAAGATATCATACAATATCGGGCGAGTATTCTACACATATGTATGTTATTAAACGTGTAAAATAAGACTTAATATTTTTTAAAGGATTATTTTCAGTAAAAGACGTTAAAGAATTCCAAATATTTTCAAATAACAGTATGTCTGGCAGTCAAGAACAGGTCAAAATGACTTGACAGGTCACAACTTTGTGTAAACCGGCGTCGTCCGTGTGTAGGGACGACGGGTTGGTTACTTATTTTGTAAGATATTTCTGAACAGTGATGCGGACTGACCTGGACAAGCCATTGTGCACGGGCGGCGGCGGGGGCGGGGGCGCGGCCTCCAGGTCTGCGGGGGCGGCGGCGGCGGCGGGGGGGGCGTCCGCGCCGTCGTCGGCCGAGTCGTCGAACACCTGGTCGAAGTGGTCGAGCAGCGTTTCCACCAGCACGTTGTAGAACTTGAGCTCCAGGATGGAGGCGACGGTCTCCCGCTCGGCTCGCAGCAGCGTGGGCCCGAAGCACACCGCCAGGTTCGAGTGCGTCATCAGGTTCTTGTCGCTCTTAGCGGCCACGCTGCGCACACACCCACACACACACACACATATATATATATCATAAAACATGACACTCCTTTATATTTATTTGTAAAGTAGGATCAACATCTATCGTGCTTTTCGAATCTGTGGCAATTGACGAATTCGGTGGTCTAACAGTCTAGCACACCGCTTTACGTTAGATCGTCGCGGGTTCGATTCTTTGCAGGGCATAAACATTTGTATTCATGAGTATGATTATTTGTGTCGGTCTGGGTGTTTTCTATGTATAATATGTATGTATTTATGAATAAAAAAATTCTATGTATTTGTATTAGTTATCTAGTACCTAAGGTGGGTCTAGATGGCGCCGTATGAATTGACAAAAAAGAAAATATGGTTATTATTTTCTATCAGCAATTTTTAATGAAAGGTTTGTTAAATCTGAATATATTTTAATAAGAAATGTTGAGCCAAAATAGGTACTATGTACATCGGAAATTATTATATAAATAGTAAGTTATGTTCATAATATATATCATAGTAAAGTTTCTATGTATGAAAGAATATAAATGTACCAAAAATGAATACTTTGTGTTTTTTAATGTTGGTGAGTTATAAACGAAGTCACACGGCGTATATTTTTAAATGTACGTTTTGTTCGCCGTGATCGTAGTAGTATCGTCGAGTATATTGTAACTAGGGTCATACTTGCGCAGGTGCGCGAGCACGAGCCGCAGCATGTCCCTGTTGAGCTGCGGCAGCGCGCGCACGAGGCGGCGCAGCGCGGGCGGGCGGTCGGCGCGCTCGCACTTGGCCGCCGCCAGGAACCGCGCGTGCAGCGCGCGCGTCAGCAGCGGCTCCGGCAGCGCGCGCAGGAACGCCTTCAGCGCCGACGTCAGCGTGCGCGTCTCCCAGCGCAGCGGGTCGCGCAGCTCGGCCGGCGGCGGGGGGCGCGGCGCGCGGGCGGCGAGCGCGGCCGCGCGGGACGCCACCCCCGCCACGCGGTACAGGCCCTGCTCCTCCAGCCCGCGCGCCTCCACCGCCGCCACCAGCGCGCGCGCGAACGCGAACCCGGCCGCGTCGAGCGCGGGGGGCGCGGGCGCGGCGGCCGGCCCCGCGCCCCGCGCCCCCCGCGCCCCCCGCAGCGCCCGCAGCCAGGCGGCGCGCGCGCGCTCGCCGGCGGCCTGCAGCACGAGCGGCGGCCGGTCGGCGTCGGCGGGCAGCGCCTCCCAGCAGAAGCGCCGCTCGAGGACGCCGTCGCCGCACTCGCGCGCGCCCACCACCGCCACCGACTCCGCCGCGCCCACCTGCCGCCGCCGCACATCAAACGCGAGTCCACCGACAGGTAGCGGAATACGAGGTTTATATCAACTTATATTTTTTATATGCCCCAATAACAAGCACAAAATTAACTAAACCGATAATAAGGACAAAGTAAACCAAATAACGAGCCTAAGTTAGTCATTATAAAATCGACAACTTCAAATACAGTGATCGATCCCAAAAAAATCTTGATTTCTAGGTCCCAAAAGACTACATCAAAAATCATTTCACTATAACTCTGCTGCACTACTACAATATCTACATTATACTTTGATAAAAAAGGGCAAAAAACTGACCAATAGGTTACACGTTTTAAAAAACAATCCAACCATATATATATATACCATGTGAATTTTAAATTCACAAATTTGTGAAATTCCTCGATTTTAATACACCTACAATACAACTGCGCTATTTCGCTGACAAATACAAAACTTTTGATAAATTTATTAAAACTTACATAAAAACTAAATTACTTTAAGAGTATATAAGAAACGCTAATGTTGAATTTTATTTACTTATTACTATCCTCCGTTCCGCAAACTGTTGAACTCTCCTCTTAGTACATACTCTATTAATGTCCCGAAACACATCTAAGTACCTTAATTTTAACAAAGAGCAAACTACAATATATATATATCATAACATGCAGTGTTGACAGACACATAAAACAATTGTAATATATTTTGCTTTCACCATTTATAAAATAGAACTAAAACCATATTAATAAAACTTAAAAGATACATGCAAGTTTAGTAATAGAAATATTAATATTATAAATGTGCGAAGATTTAATATTAAACAGTTCAGTTCCATTGCCCGTTGTACCTCGCGTATAATTAATAGATTCTATATATATTTATACCAAACTAAAACAAGTATCTACGTCAGACTTGGAAGTAATAATTTAGTAGGACGGACCCGGCGAGTACATTTTTTTTTCAGTATTTTCAGCACTCGTTTAAATATGTGAGCCTTTACTAAACTCGCAACACGTTCACAACATCCAGAAGCAAACGTATGTTATATGTTGCGGATGACTGCTGTTGTCCGCTGTAGTTTATTCATGTAGTAATAAGAGAAAAGACTAGGTAAACGGGGAAAAATATATATTAATATAGACTACTGACATAACTGAATAGAAAGAAGAAATTGAAGTAACAAATCTATAAATATTAAATACAAATTTAGATATAAAAACACATTTCTTCATTAGCCAGTTACAAAAGAAATGTTTTATCTTTTTATAGAATGTAACTGTAATATCTCGAAGTGTAATACATAAACAGTTGGATGTGGCAATGTTACACATTGATCCATGGTGTGGTGTGTGGTCGGTCGGCTCGTGTTCTTGTATTGTTATGTTGGTAACTTTCTACATCCACTAAGTGTTCATTCGTGTCCGTTCAATTCATTCACTCTCTCTCAGATCTGTACGGCTGTTGTAATAATTACTTACTTAATAATTAAACAAAGTTCTGTTATATTTACTGCGTTTAAATATTAACATCGTAAACATTCACGTATACATGTATGTATTAATTATAGGAGCCAACAGAATATCTTGCGCTGCAGATTTATCTGTAGCTGAGTTGGTCGCCTCTTCATCATTGCGACACATAAAGCCACCTCCATTTTGTAATTTCTATTTATATTTCTGCATTTTAAATTTGTATACTTTATTATTATTTATAAAATGTATGTCATGTTTGTAATTGTTAAATAAATAATTTATTTATCTATGTATCTATCTAATAAGGCGGGGCGCGGACGTGATGGTGGCATTATAGGGTTTGCTTCTGGACGCGTAGTGATCGTTGCGTCCTAGTTGGTACTAGTCGGTACTAGTTGGTACTAGTTGGTACTAGTTGGTAATAGTTAGTACAAAGTGCACGAACGGTGTTGATGAAGGGGACGGGCACGGGCGCCAGTACCGTTTTCACGTTGATCTGGTTGTAGGGCGTCAGCGTCAGCAGCTGCGACTCCTTCTCGTACGTGCAGTACTGCTTGCTCCACGTCGTGCCGAACGCCTCTGTGACGCGACACCGACACATACGAACACACAAACAAACAGACCAACACACATTACATACTTGCCAACATTCACAAATTTTTTTTTAATACGTAACAAAGTTTTTTTTTTAATTTTTCGTGGCTAAATTAAGATTAATATAACAGCAAACTATTTCGATATAAAAAACATTAAAATATATCTCAATATAATATAAATATATTTCAGGACAACTCACGCAGCGCGATCTAGTACCAAGATAAAAGATAAACAGCATTTTTCTTGTAAATACATACAAAAAAAATATCAATATAAATAACCATACTTATGAATACAAAAGTTTGTAGCGTATGAACCCGCGACCATGATAAGCAGACTAAAGAACTGAAAGAAATACTTGTATGCATTTTTCTTGTAAATACATACAAAAAAAATATCAATATAAATAACCATACTTATGAATACAAAAGTTTGTAGCGTGCGAGGAGTCGAACCCGCGACCATAAAAATAAGGATGTGTGCCAGACTGCCACACCATCGAGGCCATCATATAGGATAAACCCAGTCGGTTGGAGGGGAAGGCGATTGCTAGTAGTGGGGTCTAGTGTCCCCATTGCTAGCAATGTACTACGTCAGGTCGACCTCCACGCGGTTCCCCTTGGAAACCACGATGGGCAAACTGACCTGACCTCTCTCCTTATCATCCTCCACTGATGTCCCGCCAGCGTAATCCCTTAGCGCAGGTAGGTGCACCATTCCATTACCATCCATGAAAATAAAAACACTAGCCGGTTTATTGTATACAGTATAAAACAAACCAGTACTCACTCTTCTCCATGAGAAACACGTACCCGGCGCGTGACACGCCGCCCTCCTCCCCCGCCTCCTCCTCCTTGTTCTGTACACACCACACCACTACGTTAGTGTTGTTCACCACACTCGTCACACTCACACTCCCATCGCACTTGCCACACTTGTCACTCTCATCACACTCGTCACTCTCGCCACACATAGCGAAACACTTGCTAAACTACGGTTTCCCAAACTAATTTTACATAATTATCTTCACACTACGTCCTTTATGAGGTAGACAGAGAGAATCGAGTGATGAGATCTTTGTTTCTACACAAAACTTACGTCATCCACATGCATGTATGTGAGTTCTAGAGATTTGATACAAAAATATACTCGTACAGTAATATTGACAACCTCATAAATAATCAATACATAATATTTTCACATAAGATATTTAAGTTAGGACTGTTATACAGTTTAGAAATCTATACAAGAGTAAGAGACTATACTAGTCATAAAATATAACTAGATAAACTATCTGTTTTAAATAACAGAAAATTATCAAGAAATTAGAATATATAACTTGAAATATAATATAGCTAGCTACTCGCCCCGGCTTCGCACGGATATACATATATTATATATTAACCTTCCTCTAGAATCACTCCATCTATTAAAAAACCGCTTCAAAATCCGTTGTGTAGTTTTAAAGATTTAAGCATACGTAGGGATATAGCATACATACATACGGACAGACAGCGCCTTTGTTTTATACTATGTAATGATGAGCAGTTAAAACGTGTAGCATATATTTTTTACTATACATAAACACCAAATATTGTCCATGGCATATATAATTTTATGAATGAAATCATATATATTTGTTATGTGATTCATAACGGGGTCGATGGCCCGGAGTGTTATAAAACTTTGTTAATGATGTATCATACTGTTAGAAAGTCAAACACGGCGGTCACTGACTTAATGTTAGTTATAGTGTCACATTATTGCATTATGAATGGACTAGCTATTCGCCCCGGCTTCGCACGGGTGTACATGTATTATATACATAAACCTTCCTCTTGAATCACTCTATCTATTAAAATAAACCGCTTCAAAATCCGTTGCGTAGTTCTAAAGATTTAAGCATACATAGGGACAGACAGGATAATGATTAACATGGGTGATAAGAGGGAGGGGGAGTTGATGTGGCGGGGAGATAGCATGGTCCGCACCTGTCGCGCCTCCATCATCTTCTTCATGAGCGACTCGGTCTGCTTGCTGGTCTCCTCGAAGTTGCTCCGCGTCTGCAAACCAACGGACACGTCACGGCAGCCGCGCCGGACACGTGCACGCACTCGCACACGCACACGCACTCACATGCGGGCTCATTAAGGATCCGCAAAAATAGTGTTATCATCACGCCATCACACTATGCATTAGGAAAGTATGTTACAAAACAAAACGAACACGACAGATGGATGCGAAATGTTTTAATTGCAGTCAAACCAATTCACTTGCCAGTTATGAGTTCAGGTAAAGTCCTAAGGTTTCAAACTACAAGCGGTGATATTGGAGCCTAACGTCCCAGTATATGACTAAGTAGGATAGTGAACGTGTATTAAAACTCAACCTACTTATAAAAATGGGGGATAAAAAACATTACATATTTACAAATCCGTTACTGTGGCATTCAGAAGCGAAACAAACGTTAATTTTGTTCAAACAAAGTGGAACCCAACGTGTCGGTGGTACGCGAGAGACGCCGGGGCGCGCGCCGCTGCGTGGGCCGCGCTCGCTGCCAACGCTCACCCCGCGGGTACTACGTCACCAATCCTATCACTGTACGTATATACGATTATATAATGATACAGAATTTTCTTACGGCAATAGAAAGCGTTCTCACTCTATTCTCCCAAATTTGAATTTAAATGAATCTGTATTATTATAAACATGTACAACATTTATTTGAAAAGAATACGAGCTGAGTTTCTTGTCAGTTCTTCTCATCTCGAAATCATTCCGAACTGACGGTAGATTTGACATATGATAAGAGTCTGTAATAGACCTACGTGAATAAAGATATTTTGAATTTTAAATAAGTTCCAGTCACTGACAACTTCTGAAAGACTCGAGACGATTCAGTATAGATGGTTGGGCTGATATATTGATTTCTAACCGATTTGCATGTACTCGTCCCGGTCGTAGTCGTCATGCAATAATTTGATACATGTTCTAGTGTCCGACCCGAAAGTACTATTGTAACCGTAGTCGCAGACAGTTTCATAATCTGAACTATCGTTCGCGAGGTGTGTGGGAAGGGTGAATGTGTTACCCGTTGTATACGCAGCTGCAGGTCCCTGACGCGCGGCTCTGCGTCTGCGTGCACGTCGTGCGCCGTGTGGTGGAAGGTCCACCAGCCAAACACGAAGCTGAGCAGCGTCTCCACCAGCTCGAACTTCTTGCGCTCCTGCACCGCCTGCAGCTGGAACACGTACTCGAGCGAGGCGCGGCAGAAGTCGCGCTCCGCCATGTCCATCGCCGCATCCGCCTGTGTACACACACATCAACCGTACTAACAAAGAAACCAGTCCAGGACCAAGACCAAGTCAAGTCGATTTTGACTTAGTCTTGAACTGGTTTCATTGTCAGACCATGTCAAGTCCAGACCAGGACTAAACAGAACTCAGTACAACTAGCAATAGTTTACAGTTTCCGAATAGGGAAAAGGGGTTTGTTAGTAATGTGGAGTGATGACCGCACTGCTAACAATATACCATGTCAGGTTGACATCCACCCGGTTCCCCCTGGAAAATGTAAAATTCCTGGTGAATTCGTCACGATGGGCTAACTAACCTGACGCATGTATTGCCCGTAAACCGTTAGCGCATCATCCATAATCATCCATAATATAAAAAAACAATTGTGGGTTAAAGTTGTGTCGAATCTAATTAGATTTGCAAAACCAAGTCAGCAGCCCACCTGATGGTAACTGGTAACCGATACATGAACACCACGGACATCAAGTCATCATGTGACGCGCGTAAGTATAGCTCATGCGGAGGTCATATATAGTCCTCCAAACGATACAATTCCACTGCCATATCTCAACCTTCAACCGAAACACAGCTTACAATAAAAACCAAGTTACTAGTTGACTGAAATCTGTGAGAGAGAGATGCTCATGCAGACAACTTCATACAAAATCAAGTTCTGTGCAAATTATGTACGGTTCCATATTTTTTTTATAGTTACGCCCTTATTTCCATACACTGAAGGTTCATGCCCTTTTTTGCATTTTTTCTTTTTCATTAATTTTTTCCTGGCTTTTATTGCTCCGCGAATAATACGCATTGTGGTTTCCCGCAGTTTTTTTATATATATTCATTTTCTTTTTTTTTCTTTTCTTTATTAATATTTTTTTATATAACTGATCCATACTGAATTTTCAAACATTCATCAACATTCAACAATTAGTTTATTCCTAGCAGGGATTATGTGACTCAAACAGTTATACACTACCCCGCCACCACTCTAGCCTTTACTGCTACTATTACAATAATGAAGGCACTCCAAAAACTTTGTATTGAGTAATATATATTACCTCTTGGAAGACATTCTCTTGTTTCTTGGTGGAGAGGGACAGCGTCCGCTCCTGGCTCTGGCAAAACTTGGCCGTTTTTTTGTCAAATTTTTTCTTGCCCTCCTGCAAATAACAAATATATCTCGTTAAATTCAAATTCAAAATATCTTTATTCATGTAGGTCTATTACAGACTCTTGTGATATGTCAAATCTACCGTCAGTTCGGAATGATTTCGAGATGAGAACTGACAAGAAACTCAGCTCGTATTCTTCTATACATATAAATTAAATTGGAGTGTCTGTTTGTAATATTGAAATAACAGTTCTTTACTACATGCATATGAATATAAATACGGTCATACACCAAAATAACATTTCTTACAATTTTTGTCTGTCTGTCTGTTTGTTCCGGCTAATCTCTGAAATGACTGGACACATTTTAACGGGACTTTTTTTGGCAGGTAGCTGATGTAATAACGAGTAACATAGGCTACATTTATTTTAGAAACATAAAGTTAAATTCCACGCGGCCGAAGTCGCGGGTACAGCTAATTTCAAATAAATGTACATGTTTACAACAATACAGATTCATATAAATTCAAGTTAAGTTGTAATAATAATAGGTAGGTACATATACGGGCATGGTGCGTGTGCGGCGGCCCGGCATGTAATTGTGCATGTTATTAATATTACTTATATCTTATCAGCGCCGCCCCAATAATACTGTTAACGATTGTACGTACGCTGGAGGTAACAATATTATCACATTACAATTGCATTATAAACTGATTGTACATTCAGTGTATGAATGTCGTCGGTCGGCCGTCGCCTCATATTTTGTACAACTGTTACAAACTACATGTATCCTTATGATTATTATACATGTGAATATGAGTTTGTTTTTAGCAACTTTTAGGACTTTGTTGTACTTAGGATACGTAATGCTTCAACAAACCATAGTAACTGAAATATTCTTTGTATTTATCTGAAGATGGACACATGTAGTCTACCTTATTTTACCAATATTATAAAGTTTGTGAGCATGGGTGGATAGATGTTTGTCACTCTTTAACACAAATACTATTGAACAGATTTTGATGAAACTTTACAGTAATTATAGCTTATACATCGGAGTAACATATAGGCTATAAATATCATACGAGTGAAACCACGTATAACTGATAAGACTATCTTGAGACAATCAGTTGGTTCGTTCGATGTTGGTCTACTTCTACCGTGTATGACAAGCCGCTCTGTGGATGCCTCGTTTCTTCGTGAGACGTGATCGAAGAAGGTAAGAATGCGTGATTGTGTTAGGGGCGTCCATAAATTACGTGAGTTTTTTTTAATTTCCTGTCCCTCCCTCCCCCCCCCTAGTGAGATGTCGTGAGATATTATTCAACCCTTTCTCCCATCAACAAATATCATCTGAGATTTTTCAAAATGTGGATTTCTTACGTAAACGCGTTAGATTCTTATTGTAAAAAGAAAAAAAATGCCCCCTTATTGCTGTAATGTATAGACATAGACGCTGTATAATGCTGAGGTCTTCGAGCATAGAAACATTAGTTCTAAATTCGGTCTATGATACCCGAAGCATTCTTCTCCAGAGCGTCATCTTTTCCTTTTCTATATCAATTACCACGCAGGGTCTAACTGATACCACCAACCAGTTAAATGTATAAATTGAAATTTGCGTTAGTCGACCGGATTTCATTAAGGATAACTGCGTCATTATTACAATATGTTAATTATTATGAGTGATTTGGTTGTATATATAAATATACAAATATTGAATTAGTGAATAACAATACAAGGACATCGTGATGATGAGTGAGTGAGGCGGTGACGTGGCAGTCTCTCTGCAACCACACCAGACCGCCCAGCCAAAGGTCAGCTGTACCGGTATTGTTGAAACTACATTATTATAACAACTGTGGTCGGTGACTAATTTCATTTTCTTAAATTCAATCCAGACATGAACCTATACCTATTTAGAGTGGAGACAGCGTGGTAATTTTAAAGGAAGGGCTTGAAATTACAGAATGACATAGATTGTAAAAAATTATATTTTTGTGTATGCACCGTATTTATGTTCATATGCATGTAGTAAAAAAAGGTTATTTCAATATTACAAACAGACACTCAATTTTATTTATATGTATAGATAAAATTAAGTGTTACATCAATTCTCACAAAAAGTGCGTATATATAAATTACCAACAGATGGACCGTATGCCTGTTTGCCACCATAGTAGTATAAAAAAACTATACAAAAAGCTAAAAACCAATTATCATATTATCGCAAGCACCGTACGCTGGGTGACCGTGTCCGAATCGCACTTGACCAATTTATATTTTGTTATCGCATAATTATGTGTGAGTGGGACGAGTAGGGTTGCCAAATGGCCGGGAAATCCGGGATTGTCCCGGAATTTTGCGTCTTGTCCCGTGTCCAGTAATTAGACCTTATTGTTGTCTCGAATTCTGAAAACCTACTAGTTTTGTAAGAAAATAAATATTACGATTTAATTTATAATATAGTTTTCATTTTCTACCAAAGTTTAAATTTATTGATAAGCTAAGTGTTTAATTTTATTAATATTTAATGTGTTTACTTACTACCAAAGTTTTATATCTGCATCTTAAAATTATAACTGACGTTAATTACCTACTATGTACGTAGATACCTATCTAATAAAAGTTGTATCATTACATAGTATTAAACAAAGTCGCTGTCGCTGTCTGTCCGTCCCTATGTATGCTTGAATCTTTAAAACTACGCAATAGATTTTGAAGCACTTTTTTTAAATAGATAGCGTGATTCAAGAGGAAGGTTTATATGTATAATATACATGTATCCAGACGAAACCGGGGCGAGTAGCTAGTTTGAGAATAAATGGCATTTTCCTTTTCAAATCAAACTTTTTACTTTGGCCATGACCCGACACCGTTGTCCTAGAATTGTCCCGGAATTGATAAGTTTCTGGCAACCTTAGTGACGAATGTGTGTGTGACGAGAGCGAAAGTGTTGTGTGACCGTCGTGAGTGGCGGCGTGCACCGGCCCGGTCCTTGAGTGATATACACTGGTGTTAGTGTCCACTACACCTGTACACAGTAGGTATGTATTGCGACCACCACGTGCTCTGCGCGCCAATAAAGACACAATAACCGAGTCGCCGCGGCCGCGGGTACACCCAGTGCTCTCACATGTTACTATTGTCATACACGTAGCTCTATTACGTTGTTGTTGTTAGTACTAATTATTGATAGGTTGCATGTTGCTTCATTTCTCAAAAACCGTACTAGTTCGATATACTGTATTAAAAAAAAATACTATGGACACATCAAGACCTGAGGAATATTATAGATCACTACACATCACACTACAACCGCTATAGGGCCTCGGTGGTGTAGCGGTTTAGCGCACTGCTTTACTTCTGATGGGTTGCCGATTCAATTTCTCGCACGGTGCAATTTTTTTGTAGTTATGAGTATTAATTACTATTTGTATAGTACTATATATTATGTATTAAAAATAAAGTATTTGTGTCATTTGTCTACTAGACATAACACAAGCTCGGCTTGGCTTGGGACTAGATGCAGCTGTATAAAGTCACCTGGGTTATCATTATCACTACATAGTATAAAACAAAGTCCCGGTCGCTGTCTGTCCGTCCCTATGTATGCTTAAATCTTTAAAACTACGCAACGGATTTTGATGAGGTTTTTTTAAAAGATAGAGTGATTTTAGAGGAAGTTTTATATGTATAATACATGTACACCCGTGCGAAACCGGGGTGAGTAGCTAGTTATTATTATATTATAATATAGTATAGTTACCTTGACTGCTCCGATGTGCTCCTTCCGGAACCTCTCCAGCGGCTGTATGATCTGGTCGTGCGCCCGCCCCAACTGCAACACAACCATAACATACACACATTACAAACAACTACACATGCGACCTGACTTTGTCTGAGTTGTACAATACACACACACATAGCATAATGTATTAAAATTGATCTGGATCATGTAGCTATCTGGAGAGAACAGGTACACGCAGTAACGAGAACTAGGAACTCGAGTGGAATGAGTAGTCATACTCTGCGCTAAAATGTCCAGACATGTGGCGGCGTGGTGGGCCGGGTCATTGGGCTCACTGAAATATTGTCGAGCGCAGTGATGGCTGGCTCATCCGTCATACTCGTGAACGAGTGCTGCTTGTAGGGACTGGTCTGCTCTTATCACTACGACTGATTTAATCTTATTATGTATTTATATTCGAGCCAAATAAATTAGTGCTGGTTGGTAGTTTGTATTCACACGTTTCGACTTGTAAATGTAAACTTACAAGGATTATTTAAAAGAGCAACACACAAGTTTCTTGCTCGTTCTTCTTGTGATGAGACAGCTTTCCGAACGAGCGGTAGATAAAAAAAATTGTTATGACTATACAAAAGTGCTTAAATTAAGTTTATTTGAATAAATTACTTTCTATTCTATTCTATTCTCTAGGGCTTCCGTTGCAAACAATGTAGCATGTCGAAGTGTTTTAATTGTAATCAAGTCACACTTAAACCTAAAATGAAATCAAATTTATTTGCGATAAACATAGGTTGACATTGGTTGTTATTGTATTATAATGTTTTACCTCAATAGTAATGCAAAATTTAAAATTATTTAATTATTATAACAATTGTTATTGTTAGTTGCTCTGAACTATAAATACATATTATTATTATTACATTATTATTTATTTAAAAACTCGTTTACGGAGTAAAAACATTTGTCGAGTAACCAATTATTTAACCTATAATATTTGGTATAGAAGAAAAATACTTAAAAATAGTCTGTTATAGCGTGGTATATATATATATGTGCCGTATGTATATATGTGGGACTAGCTGTACATGCGACTTCGCGTGGAATTTAACTTTAATTTTCTAAAATAAAAGTACCCTAAGTTACTTCTTATTACATCAGCTATCTGCCAAAAAAAGTCCCGTTAAAAAGATTGTTTTTATAATTTTTGTCTGTCTGTCTATTTGTTCCGGTTAATCTCTGAAATGGCTGGACCTATTTTGATGAAATAAGGAGTAACTAGTATGGTACTTTTATTGTAGAAAAATAAAGTTAAATTCCACGCGGACGAAATCGCGGGAACAGCTAGTCTATAATATAAATATTATAAATTTACTATAGAGTTCTCTACCTACAAACTGAACAGTGTTTAATAACATATTACTAGGTCTCCAACAGTGCTCCGGATTAAAACAATTAAACCACGGCCGTACTCTATGGGCTGCGGTCTTGCTAATATTTTTCTCAGATAATTTATCTCAAGAACTATCTTGCGAGTGCTTGCGATCTAAGCCACCTGCCCAGTTCTTATTGAGGAGATATAAACACATGAGCTGGCTCACTCCAGTTCTGGCTGAAACTAAACACAGGGCGCGGTTTACATTTATATTATCTGTTTTAATTTGAATTTGAAACTGGTCAATGTATGCGCGTATAACACTAATATAATAGACATATATATTTATATTATAGTAAATATATATCATATATATAATAGATTTTGTATCCCATTCGTAACAGATCAGAAGAACAGAAGTCGAAATTAAAAAGAGCACTTTTAGACAAAGTTTAAAATATAAATTGTACATAGATTCTTGCTAGATTTCTGTAAAAGCGTATATTTATATGTATAGATGTATATAGGTAGGTAAGTATTAAGAAAACTGAGCTAGATCTTGCCAACAAACTGTCCTGCAGTTTGGCGAGTCAATGTGTAAAAATAAATGTACTTATCTTTTTATTAATAATAAAAAGATAAGTACATTTAATAAAAAAAAAGAAATCTTTTGGGGACAAACCAGCTTGCGGCTCACCTGATGGTAAGTGATTATCGCCGCCCATGAGCAACATCAGTTACAAGTACGTTGTCGGCCTTTTAAAAAGGAGTAATAATAATAATAAATTCTTTATTGTGCACATAGTAGAAATACAATAAGGAGTAAGCTATTTTCTTGAAGGTTTCAATATCGTATCGGTTCGGAAATACTATTGCTGGAAGGTGATTCCACAATGTGGTTGTGCGTGGCAAAAAGTTTCTAGAAAACCGCACTGTAGAGGACCGCCATTCATCCAGATGATCAGGATGGTAATCTGCCAATCTATATAATAAGCATGAGTATTTGGCTGCACTCTCTCGGACAGGCGGATGTATTCGATAAAAAAAAACTAATATATATTGGTTACACATAATATATGTGTGGGCGTAGTGTTGTGTACACAGATAGGTGCAGGTGGGTACCTACCTATTGTACACACCACTGTATGCTCTGTAAGTACTGTAACACGTACACTACACAGATAACACGCTGACTCAGTGCGTACGACCGTCTACTCACACCGCACAATGTTTTTTTTTCGGACTACACTAATGCTGTTCACCGGACGATAGGGGGCGAGTGCAGATGGCACTACAAACCAAAGAAAGGACTTATGGAGCGGCTGAAGGCCAACTCACACCTGACGGATACGACTTTAGTCTGAGGGCACCGCTAGGGGTTCTAACCTCGGCTAAGGCCTTCGTAATTTCGATCCCCGTTTGTGTTGGATGGGTGATCGATTGAAGTGGGGCACAAAAGTGCAGAACTTATTTCATTCATGTAGGTAATTAAGTTAGTAAACAAGCTGACACGCTTCGCTGCTATTTGGCGGGAATCAAACACCCGACTAAATTGTGCTAAAAACGTACTCATTCACTCTTTTCCTGTGTAGGAAAGTAGAGTCTTCACTGTGTAGTGAAGACTCTACCTTAACTTACTACATAATCTGTAGTGGGTTATAGTTTAGTGCAGTGATTCCCAAAGTGGTCTATATCGACCCCCAGGGGTCTATGACAAACTGCAAGGGCTCTACGACAGCGGTCATCTTGTTGTTTTTACTTTATGTTTTTAACACTACACTTTACTACAGTTAGAAATTTACAAAAATCAATACACAAAACTGAAAAATATGGCAAGGGGTCTACGACACACAAAAGTTTGGGAACCTTTGGTCTAGTGGGTTTTAGCTATATATTAATATATTGAAACACCCCTATTTACAAAATTGAGCGGGCGGCGGAGTATGAAGTTTTGTACACTTATAGTTTATATAGAGAAGGAGTGCAGAATGCTGTTTTTTTTTTATTATGCATAATAAATACATTACATCCATATACTGAGATGTATTTGATACACACATAATAATATGCTCTACTGTTCATTTGTTACAGCTGGTTTCAAGACCTTTTGTATTTATATTATGGTCGCATTTTCAACGGGCGACCTACATATAATTATACATATTTGATAATCAATACACGGATCACTAGACATATTAGCCTAGCTCTACCCGCGATTTCATCCGCTTGGAAATTAACTTTATTTTTCTAAAATAAAAGTAGCCTAAGTTACTCCATATTACATCAGCTACCTGCCACTAAAAGTCCCGTCAAAATCGGTCCAGCCATTTCAGAGATTAGCCGGAACAGACAGACAGACAAAAATTCTGAATGTTATTTTTGTGTATGTCTCATTTTTATATTCAAATTCGTGTAGTAAAAAAACGATTATTTCAATATTACAACAGACACTCCAATTTTATTTATATGTATAGATGTTAGTTGTTATGTATGCATGTATGTATTGTATTAACAGTACAATGCGATTTCCAAAATGTACATACAGCCATACACTTAGTGGCGTGTGACGTCACACTCGACGGGTGCATGTAAATCATTTACCAGCCGCCGCGTCGTCTCGACACCGTGTTAAATATGTTAACGGCTCACTTATAATGAATGCAAGTGAGCCGAGACCACTCCAGTAAGGCAGCTACTTCTTGTCACATACAGTATACACAGATAAAGGTGGCCCGTAGATATATGTCTGTATTTAAACAACGAACTCCCTAATAATCTATACCTACATATGTATATAATTGGAGTGTCTGTTTGTAATATTGAAATAATCGTTTTTTACATGCATATGAATATAAATACGGAACATACACCAAAAAACCACTTTTTTAAATTTTTATCTGTCCGTCTGTCGTTCTGTTTGTTCCGGCTAACCTCTGAAATGGCTGGACATATTAATACAGGACTTTTTTTGGCAGGTATCTGATGTAATAAGGAGTAACTTAGGCTACTTTTACTTTAGACAAATAAAGTTAAATTCCACGCGACTTAATATTAATAACATACAACAGACGCGAATAATATTCATAACATGACTACCAGATTTAAAGACAAACTTACTGTACCTAAGTATCGTTCAATAAAGTCATTAGGTCTTTTATGGAAATATGTATAAAATTTACTACAAGATACAAAAAGATATACTAAAATTACCCTTAAATAAATTCAAAACATCTGTTAAATAATATTTACTGAGCAAAGCCTGTCTGTAAGACATAGGCGTTGGCACGAGCTGTGAGCGAGCATCCAGGTAAATTACTAGTGAATTGACCACGATGGGTGACTGACTTGACTTCAGCCTCCACCTCCGCTGATACCGTTATCGCAGCCCATCGCATCATACCATATTTATCCATAAAAACAAACTGTATGTATAATAATTTGCATAGACGTGTAGGTAGTGGGTCTTTGTGGCCAAACCTTGTATAAAATCAAATTCAAAATATCTTTATTCATGTAGGTCTATTACAGACTCTTATGATATGTCAAATCTACCGTCAGTTCGGAATGATTTCGAGATGAAAAGAACTGACAAGAAACTCAGCTCGTATTCTTTTCAAATAAATGTTGTACATGTTTATAATAATACATATAATGCACATACGGTCACCATTACAAAATTAAATATAGTTATGTAGTTAGCTTCGCCCGCGGTTCCCCCCGCATTAAATTTCAATAAAAAACATAGCCTATGTGTTATTCTGATGCATAAGCTATATTACTGTACAGTTTCATCAAAATCCGTTCAGTAGTTTTTGTGTGAAAGAGTAACAATCATCCATACTTGCAAACTTTCGCATTTGTAATATTAAATAGCTGTTCCCGCGACTATAATATAACTTTATTTTTCATCAGCTACTTTCCAAAAATAGTCCCATCAAAATCGGTCCAGCCGTTTCAAAGATAAGGAACAAACAGATAAACAGACAGACAAAAATTGTAAAAAATGTATGTACCGTATTTATATATTACAAACAGACACTCCAAATTTATTTATATATATAGATAAGATTAAGATATTTTATGGCTCTAATGAAAAAGAATTTCAAAATTACTTTTCAAGAGAACCAAAAGACATTTTTTTTAATGTGATCAACAACAAATTCGTCAATATCTAAATGTAGTCACAGAGCAGGCAATTATATTGTTAAAAATTAATATTTAGAGGAAGTACATTGGTGTAGGTGACGCGCTACCAGCTGGGGATACCCACATGTAGCAGCGCAACTCATCACACAAATATCACGATGTGGGCCTAGTATTTATAGAAATACCCTCCTTATTTGGTACTAGCTGTTCCCGCGACATCGTCCGCGTGGAACTTAACTTCATTTCTCTAAAATAAAAGTAGCCTAAGTTACTCTTTATTGCACCGGCTACCTGCCAAAAAAAGTCCAGTCAAAATCGGTCCAGCCATTTCAGAGATTAGCCGGAACAAACAGACAGACAAAAATAGTAAAAAATATGCATGTAGTAAAAAACGGTTATTTCAATATTACAAACAGACACTTCAATTTTATTTATATGTATAGATAAAATTTAATAATTATTTGGTTAGACTTTTTTCATTGCACGTGGTTATTATTGTTCCGCGTACCGTACGTGTTGCTCGCTGTACGCCCTGAGCCCCTGACTACCGATAAATTGATAAGTATGGAAGTCAATACGAAGAATAGCGGCCGATATCGTAAGTTAATAAATTTTAAATAGAGCGGTATCTATAGATACAGTGCACATACCGAGTGCCGTCGCGGCGTCGGCGTCGTCACCCAATGATTCACATGTCATACAATATCCCGCCCCTTTTTACCACAGTTAGGGCATTATAAAAATACTTTGTTACAGACTCTCCATTCTAATCGTTCCACAGACTACTACAATTCAATTGAATTTGTTTTATTGATGCTTTATTATGTATGTCTTTGTTATATATATGTACTACTAGCTACCCACCTAGTCTTCGTATGGGTGTACAATGTACATGTATTATACATATAAACTTTCCACTTGAATCACTCTATCTATTAAAAAAAACAGCTTCGAAATCCGTCGCGTAGTTGTAAAAATTTAAGCATACATAGGAACGGACAGACAGCGACAGCGACTTTGTTTTATACTATGTAATGATATTGTATATGTGTGTGTGTGTGTGTGTGTGTGTGTGTTTACATGTATTTTGCTTTTTATATTACGAGATAATATTTCTCATTAATTATATTTGCACCGGTTATAATTTTTTCTCTGCACAGCCTGTAGTTGAGTGATACAAAATGCCTTAAGGCGTTAAGTCCGTCATATGTACTGTTACCATTATAATATATACATTTAAGTTATATAAATAAATAAATGCCTGTTTTTAAATCTAGTTTAGTTTTTATCAACTAGAATTTAAAATGTTTGATGTATAACTAATTTATATGTAGGGGAGACCTGGTGTCTAAGGTACAGGCTATGGCTGTTTGGGCTCCAGATTTCCCACAAATTATATTTGTGACTTTTATTTGTTAGCATTTATATAATAAAACTGGAATTATGTAATTTGTGGAGATGAAATAAAATTTATTAATAATAAAAAATAAAAAAAGTTAGATGTTCTTTATTTAAGAGAGCAACACGAAAGTTTCTTGCTCATTCCTCTTGTGAGGAGTCTACGAATAAGTGGTATATGACTATTCAAAAGTAATTATGTTATCTTTATTTAAAAAATATATTATTTCTATTTCTCTGTGTACTATACATCTATTACGACCATGTCTGCTGGTGGCAATTTACATTTCCAGAGGTATGACGTACAATACAACCTAAACATATGTAGTAACGGGTGCTTGCGTGTGTTATGTAAGTGATTAATTAGTATTGGTCTCGCGGCGTGCGACCCGAGAACCTGTCTGAACCTCGCTGGCGTGCTCGAGTACTCGCGAGTAAAAGTGGTCACTCGTGGTCGATAGGTCGGTCACCCGGCTCGATACAATGCGAGAAAGTGGTTCTGTTACGAAGGTCGCACATGTGGCAGCGCCGAGCGGCCGCTGTCGTGACCGTCCACCACCGACCACCGACACACACATAATCAAACTACATCATATTTTACACTATACATATACAATATATATTTATAGCCACGGCATGTTTGTATAAGAATATCTAATTTATAAATTTTTTGCTTCAGACTTGTTTGTAACTAAATTTCTTTGAAGCGGCTTGACCGAGTCTTTTTAAAATTTTTCGTGTATATTCAATAGGACTGAGAATAGCACGTTTCACTATTTTCATAGTGATAAGGGTGGTCCACCCCGAAAATATTATTTTATTTTTATGCTTCCCATTAAAAATACATACTACCCTATATCTTCACGCTTCTATCATGAACACCTATTTTTTAATAGCGATAATAGTACTTTAATATTTTTTTACTATGCGGTCCATAACTGATTAATTTATATGGTAAAACAACGTTTGCCGGGTCAACTAGCAATATTGTGTAGTTATTTACTTTATTTAAAAAAAATGTAGTGACTATTCAAAAGTGTAAATAAGTTTATTTGAATAAACAATTTTCTATTCTATTCTATTCTATTACTTTATAAACTGTAAACTCTTACGAGGTGATAACTACTTGCGAGGCAGTTCAACATCCTAGGTAGTTCTGTGACCAGCTTTTAAAGTACTGTCATCATTCAGGGTAGTAATATGTTTTAATTCTACTGACCATGCGGTCCCTCTCGTCCTCGATGGTGCGTATGAGGTGCGCGAAGTGCCGCAGCGACGTGGAGATGACCCGCTCGTCCTCTGTCATGGAGGCGCCGATGCACTCGAAATCGAAGTCGTCCATACTCGCCGCCAGCGCCAGCTGCGCCGCACCCAAACCTGTACCACACATTATTTATTACATGCATAAATTCCTTATTCAATTCACCACTGCCCTCTGAACGATCCCCCGTCCAATTCTAACGGGGATCGGTGCCCTCAGACTATAGTCGTATCCGTCAGGCGGGAGTTGGCCTTCAGCCGTTTCATAAGTCCTTCCTTTAGTTTGGGTGCCATCTGCACTCGCCCCCTGTCGTCCAGTGAAGCTGTAAAGACCTGCTGCGGCCAACAGCATTAGAGTAGTCCGAAATAAAAACCGATTACAGACATAGTGTACATTTTTAAAGACGCGGTCATTATATATATATATATATATGTAGATACAATTAGAAAAAACCGTCATCCGGATTGAAATTTTTATACTCCTGTAAGTATTTCGCTCTCATGATAATACATTCGGTTGGTGTAGTTCTATTTTTTTTTATAACACAGGGGACAAACAAGCTACCGGATCACTTAATGGTAAGTGATTACCGCCGGCCATGAGCACCCGCAACACCAGAGGAATTGCCAGTACGTTGTCGGCCTTTTAAAAAGGAATAAGCTCTTTTCTTGAAGGTTTCAATATCGTATCGGTTCGGAAATACTATTGCTGGAAGGTGATTCCACAATGTGGTTGTGCGTGGCAAAAAGTTTCTAGAAAACCGCACTGTGGAAGACCGGGGTGATCAGGATGGTATTTTAGTTTCAACTCTCAACTCAAAACTCAACGGCAGGTATTAATCCGAACAATTCACAGAACACTCCCCGTGATATATGCGGTAGAAATGCATAGAGATACAATATCTCGCCGCAAAGCAATGGGTCGAGTCTGTCACATAGACGTTGATTACCAATTTTTGACTCTAACTTATCATAAAATTAATACATTTTACGATTAGTAGGATACAGAGTACCTTAATAATAATCATTCAACTTACAACGTCACAGTGCCCTCTATACACGACCTCGGTGATCTAGCGGTTTAGCACGCCGCTTTAATTCCGATGGTTGCGGGTTCGATTCCTCGTACGGGGCAAATATTTGTATTCATGAGTATGGATATTCTATCGGTCTGGGTATTTTCTATGTATATTATGTATGTATTTACAAAAAAAATATTTAACTATTTATATCAGTTGTCTTGTACCTATAACACAAGCGCTGCTTACAGTGGACCTAGATGTCGCTGTGTTAATTGTCCAGGGTTATTTATTTATTAAATATTTATACACACATACGCTCTACGCGACTTTATGCAATGGAAGGATGAAGCTATTATATATATTATTATATACCATACAATAACAATATACTATATATACATTGAATACAATGCGGTGTATATGGTATATCACGATTCGATTGACTGAGTCTCACAATTATGTATGTATGACTGTACTGTACTAGTTATTAAGATTTAGACTGAGACTTAACTGATTTCCTCTTATTAATTGTTTAACCAGTTGGTTATATATTCAATATTTTCTCTATTTGAGTATTTAAGGGAATTAGCGCTAATTGGTGGTTTGTATTCACACACTTAAACTTAAAAATGTAAAGCAATAATAAAATTATTTAAAAGAGCAACACGCAAGTTTCTTGCTCGTTCTTCTTGTGATGAGACAGCTTTCCGAACGAGCGGTAGATTAAAAAAATGTAATGACTATTCAAAAGTGCTTCAATGTAAGTTTATTTGAACTTTACGTTCGCGAGTCTTTATTATTCATCAGTCACACTTCAGTTCCTCTTCCGAAGCAACCGCAAACTATTTATAAAATCGAAAAATAAAAAATATAATTTTTAATATTTTCATCTGTTGGGTATGGCACGCGTATTGACGCATGGTGGTAAATGAAATACCAACCACAACCATATAAAATTAGTCGAACAAGTCAGTGGCTATACACAATAGTCGACAACTATGCACGTCGCCCGGCCCCGCTCACGGCCAGGCGTGCGGCGGGCGTGCGGCGTGCGGGTGTCGCATTACTTACGTGCGAGCATTGCTGAGTGTTCACTAATTAAGAAAGTCATTGACACACATACCGACTGCACTCATGCATTGAGAAATTGCATGCACCATAAATATTGACAGATGACACCCGACTACCTAAACATTTGCTAACCCACTGCTACCCACCTACCAACCTACTTATATTTAGATTTTAATATTTATTCAAATTCAAAATCTCTTTATTCATGTAGGTCTATTACTGACTCTTATGATATGTCAAATCTACCGTCAGTTCGGAATGATTTCGAGATGAGAAGAACTGACAAAAAACTCAGCTCGTATTCTTTTCAAATAAATGTTTTAAATTCAAATTCGGGAGAATAGGGTGACCAGTGACCACCAGCATATTATGATGTTGTTGTAAACGCAAATATGTAGTCTAATCAGTGTTCGTAACCCAAACATAAGTATTATTATATATGTACTAGCTGTGCCTGCGGTTTCACCCACATGAGATTTATAGCCTATATGTTATTCTAATTCTTAGCTTATAGCTATATTATTATGAAGTTTCATCAAAATCCGTTCAGTAGTTTTTGCGTAAAAAAGTAACAAACATCCATCCATACTCACAACCTTTCGCGTTTATAATATTAATACATTTTGTTATGTCTTCACTGTTTGTTTCCTTTGTTTTAAATTCTCAACAAACTCCGATTAATAAAAAAAATATCCCATCCACAGATTACAATAAAAGCAGTATCTGTTCCTACCTTGACTTTGGCAAAAACATGGCACCCGATGGAGCCAAAATAATAAAAAAAACTTACCTACTTACTTACGTTTAGATAAGTTGTAATGTTAGTGGACCTATTAGCATCTCTTAATTGTTTATTGTGTGTTTACAACATGTATTTAGATAAGAAATAATGTTATTGCTACCAGTGGCACTCAATGAGGAAATAGCCATTATTATTGCTAAAAGTTGCATATAGATGGCGTGATTGGTATCGATGGAATTCTTCATAGTTTTGCAAACGTTTTAAAAAACAAAACTGTGTTTTCAAAATAGTTTAATCCATTTTTAAAAAAATATATATACATGTTAAAATGAAATAATGCGTTTAGAAAAGTAATTTTCATATATTTACTCATTTTGTTATTTTCCAGTACTTAATTACACTTTAATCAATGCTAATACGGGGCTCAATGTTTTCAAAATGCTTTCATAGATGGCATTGTTGTCATTTGTATCGGCCTAATTAAATGTCTTTTTTATATTTTCCAATAATAAGCACTTAATATATTATTATTGTAAATTAAACATATAAAAAAAGTTTAAGTAAATTAAAAATAGCCGAACAAGCAAATAATACTATTTCCAATAATACTTATGTATGAAGTGTTGTCATATTAAAAATAAATACATGTATTATCGATTTTTTTTTAATAATCGATAACAGGATTTTATTACAGCGCATTATTCGATGATGCTTTTAATGAGTCGTTGTGAACAGTAAATTTTCATTATTTTGTATTAAGTATAGCAGTATTCCGTTTCAAAGAACGGAATATAGTAGTACATTATTAGTGTCGTTGGTTATTTACATTTGTACTGAAAAATCGATTACATAATAATTTAAAATATCGAGTACGAATCGTAGCTGTCTTCGAATACTGGCAACTGGTAAGATTAAAATAGTTTTAAAAAAAAGAGAGAAATCGACCCTAACTCGAATACCATAAAGTTTATTTTCCTTTCTCATTAATATCATAGCAGTTTGTTTTTAACTTGCGTATGACTCTGTGGTATGATGTTTAACGTGTATTGTTATTGTACGGTGCATACATTTCAAAAATTATATTTTAATGTAGGTACAAACATTTCTTTCATACATTTCATACATGTCAAAAATTATCTTTTAATGTAGGTACATACATTTCTTTCATACATTTCATACATGTCAAAAATATCTTTTAATGTAGGTACATACATTTATTTCATACATTTCATACATTTCAAAAATGAACTTTTTATGTAGGTACATACATTGTTTTCATACATCTCATACATTTCAAAAATTATATTTTAATGTACATACATTTCTTTCATACATTTCATACATTTCAAAAATGAACTTTTTATGTAGGTACATACATTACTTTCATACATTTCAAAAATTATATTATAATGTAGGTACATACATTTCTTTCATACATTTCATACATGTCAAAAATTATCTTTTAATGTAGGTACATACATTTCTTTCATACATTTCATACATGTCAAAAATTATCTTTTAATGTAGGTACATACATTTCTTTCATACATTTCATACATTTCAAAAATGAACTTTTTATGTAGGTACATACATTGTTTTCATACATCTCATACATTTCAAAAATTATATTTTAATGTAGGTACATACATTTCTTTCATACATTTCATACATTTCAAAAATGAACTTTTTATGTAGGTACATACATTTCTTTCATACATTTCATACATGTCAAAAATTATCTTTTAATGTAGGTCCTTACATTTCATACATTTCAAAAATTTCATACAATACATTTCTTTCATACATTTCAAAAATTATCTTTTAATGTAGGTGCATACATTTCACACATTTCAAAAATTTCATACAATACGTTTCTTTCATACATTTCAAAAAGTTTTTTTAATGTAGGTACATAACACCCCATGTCAGACCCCTTATATTTGGAAGAAACTTAAAAATAATGCCAAAAATATTAGATGAATATATTTTTAATACGAATATTGTTTTATTTTTGTTCATCAACTTTATCCCTCACTAACAATACTAGTAGTAGTACATAACCTGGTTTATACCGCTAAAGATATTGAAAGATATACGAGTAATTCAGAATGTTATCAAGTTCAAAATAAGCACACATTACTTGCTTAGATAACAGAGTAATATTACTAGTAATAAAAACATTTGTAATACACATATGTATACTACGTATGTATAGTAAGTACTTACGCTGCGGCGCCGTGAGACTCGTCTAAGTACTTCATCTACTCATCTACGCGCGGTAACCGCGCCGACCGACCAATAGGATAGCGCCTCTCGTGTTTCCAGAAAGTTCGCGACTAACGGACGATATAGTAGTAAGGCAATGAGTGTCCCAGTGATATCATTATAATATTTTCTCGTTAAATTTTATTGTAATATACACAATTTCGCACTAAATAACGTGTTACCCCGTTACACATTTCTAATAATGAAAAACCTAGACCGACCCTGTTCACTTAATCTTACAAGATCTGACTTTAAAAATTACGATATCCTCATATAGCCTTTCATTTCCCCTTTCAATACTTTTTCGCATTAAAAAGTAGCCTTTCTCAGGGTCTACATTATCTGTCTACCAAATTTCAATTAAATCAGTTCAGTAGTTTTGGCGTGAAAGCGAGACAAACAGACAGACTGAGTTACTTTAGCATTTATAATATTTGTAAGAATATCGCTATTAAAAATAGCGGTTGGTGAAAGACGGGTGAAAATTTAGGCGTGTATGTATTTTCAATGTAACATTATAAATAAATAAAAAATTGTCCATAATACAAAAAAATATTTTTTCGGGGTAGGCCACCCCTATGACTTAAGGGTATAAAAAATAGATAACAACCCTACCTCAGACCTGGGAAGTATACATATCAAATTTCATCAAAATGTGGGAGAAATATGGCAACTAACACTGTGATACAAAATTTATATATAAGATATAGCGGAATTCTCATTAGGTAAAAGAGGGGTACATCGTAGAATACATGAGGTATATACCAGTAAATTAATTGTAGCTAAAATCAGTCTCATACATATAACGATTGAAATAAAAAATCGTATAGCCCGATTTTGATACGTACGAGTATAAACGTATCAAAATCAGGCTATACGTATAGCGCAGACGCGTTACAACATATCAAAAAAAATAGGCATGGAATGTAAAATAAACCATAACACAATAGGTATATACATTGGCACATAAGCCATATCTGCAGAGTGTCGGCTAACGATATTATACCTACACATTTACATTGAATCTTGAATCGTCCCTAATGAGGTACACGATACAGTTACCTACATATCTATTATATACATATCTTTGCAAAACAGATGTCATGTAGACTGAATTCACTGCCATCTATTTTCATGCTTTGTTACTAAGCACCCACTAGTAATCCGAACTGCTTCAGATCTAGCGACATCTAGCGGCTACGGTGGCGAAATAAAATAGCCCGAAGAATAGCCCGAGTTAGGAAGGAACCATTTTCTTGTATGGGATGGGGTATCTGTATGTAATATTATGTTATCTGTGTTGCTACGATCATTATGATTCTATATTTATGTACAGTCCTAATGTAGCACACTTGTGGATGTTACAAATATTTTAAACTATTATATGTACTTTGACAGTATGTATTAACCTAACTAGCTATAGCTGTACCCGCGACTTCGTCCGCGTGGAATTCAAGTTTATTTTTCTTAAATAAAAGTAGCCGAAGTTACTCCTTATTACATCTGCTACAGGAGCAGGTACGAGACATACGCTTCCACAACATAGTATTTTCCCTAACACTATCAAACAATAACATTTTGTTACCATAGCATGTTACCTCAAGTACCAGCAAAATAATCATTAAAATCTTGAAAATGCAAGGCATAACAAAATTTAAAATAGTAACACATAAGTTTCTTACTCATTCTTTATGAGACGAGTCTGTTTTCCAAATGAGTGTTAGAATAAAAATATAGGATTATTTAATAGTGCTTCTAAAATATTTATTCAAATAACGAATATTTCTTTAAAAGAAATACTTATTCTATAAATGCTTATTACTCTGTAAAATATTTTTTTTTTATAATACGATGGTAGCAATCAAACATACGACCCATCTGATGGTAAATGTCACTGTAGCCTATGAACGCCTGAAACACTTTGGAGACATAGTTTTATGGTATACTTAGCTGTTCAGACTCCTCTAAATCCCTTGGAATTCTAATTTTACATGTTTTGATTTATATTCCTGTCACAAGTGTATAATTTTATATGCCACCAGTTTTAGGGTTGTTTAATTCTTAAGGATATTTAACTGCCTGCTACATATATTGGACCTTCATTCATCCATTTCGATCCATTTTGAGTTTAAATTTAGTAGTCAACATTTGAAACAATTTGTCTTTACATTAAAGGCAAATTGTTTCAATAAATAATTTACAATGTAAATATTGATATATTATAGTAATTTCCCTAAGTAAAACACACCAGAGGAAACATATTTGGTCACACAAATTATAAATTTATATAATGGCCAATCAAATAATTCAAAACATCCAATTTATTTTCAACTCTACTGATTAGAAAACAGTGTTATGAAATGATATATGTAAATTAATAGCCATTACTTTCATTTGACAATATTTTTATGGATCTGTATTCATGTAACATTATTTATTGCTGTTTATGTTGACATAATTGTGTGTATTATGTAAATCAGTCATTAGTTTGCGATCACACTTTCCACCTGACCTTAAATGGCCGCCATGTACTGGCTACACATACATCCATGCATGTGCAATGTGTGTATATTACGAAAGTTGCACATGTGAATAATTATATCACATTACATGTTACATAACGCATGTGTTATGAATTAATACAGATTGACAGCTATATTCTTGCTGCGGCTTGCTAGGACTAGGTCTGTTCACAATTAAACATTAACAATGACATGCAAACAACTAAATAAATTAAACAAAATAAAATTGTAAAGGAGATCCTCAATTGCAAAGAACAATATAAATAGCGACTATGTAACCACCAACTGGCTGCAATTATTACAAAAACTTTGCCCCAAGCGACTAAAAAGAAGTGACATTATGTAATATTTGCAGTATTCGTAAGGAGCAGATCCTCCCGTTGGGTGGACACTCCATTCTTAGTTCCCACTCCTAAAAAATCTGGTCACAGTTCTAGGACTGATATATTACAATTTTTTAGATATATATATTTATCCCCTTAGGGGAGGAATTTATCAAAATCTTTTCTTAGGAGATGCCTACGTCAAAGTCTAAGCTTGATCGAGCAGTTTTAATATTGACAAAGTTTCATACAAACTTTTTTGATTTATATATATTTACATAACTATTTTTTACTATTTATATACCAGTGTATGGGTGTGATAAGTCTACTTCTATTGGCTAGGACCTATTTATTGAAAACTAGCAACCTGCTCTGTTGTATGAATAAATAAGTAACTTTACACAAAACATTAATAAATAAAACAAACATATTATGATGTATCGTAATTAGTTATAAGGTGTATTGTGTATGTAATTAATTTATTTTATTTAATTACTTAATATATTATTAAATATTGTAATCAAATTTATATTTTATAAATATCATTATTGTTGTTTACGCCGAAACGTAACTACTATTCACTCCAATTGTATATTATGACTTGCCATATATGTAAAGATGTTTTTTAAATTGTTCAATAAATGAAACTAAACTAAACTAAATTGTTATTGTTCTCTTGTAAATCAACTTCAGAAATCTTACTGTTAACAATGAACACTACATGAAAATGCACTCAGTAGTTTTTGAGATTATTGTGAACATACAAACAGTCACAGGGAAAGACTGCTTTATAATATGTACTAGCTACCCAACCCGGCTTTGCATGGGTGTACATGTATACATATATAACTTCCTCTAGAATCACTCTATCTATTAACAAAACCGCTTCAAAATGTTGCTGCATACTTTTAAATTTTAAAGCATAGATAAGGACAGACAGTCACAGTGACTTTATTTCATACTATGTAATGATAAAGAGGTACTATTTTTTTTCACCTGCATGCTAATTGAATTGACAACAATATTCCACTGTAAGGCAGGTAAATATTATTCAAATTCACAACAATATATGGACTCTATCCAATGAAAATAAAACATTCTAATTGAAGCACAGAGTAATAAGTCATGCATGAGTATGCGGGTCAATCCATAGAATATAGCTATGTCAATATTTTATGCCATATGTATAACATTAGATGTCCAAAATGCTACCTGTGTATGTAGATTAGTGTTGCACTTAAAATGTAGAGGCCGTGAGATGGATTGTCCTTCCAAATACATAAAATAACACTAAGAAACTATACCAATTTGGTGTTAGGTACAAAACCTTACATATCAATACCCAACATTCTCCTACTGAAGGTCTTTAGTTATACAAATTTCCTACACTCAAACTTAATATGGTACATACTTTTTTTTTTAATAAATGATGCAGTTTAGGTATTTCATTATAATGACATGTATTAGAAATCCCAAAGAGTGTAGTATAAACACTCTGTTTACTACTTCATTGCTGTAGTGTTACTTTATGTGGTCACTTTACAGAAGAAAATTAATGCAATGAAATTTCTAGACTGTGTATTAACAATATAACGTAAGAGAGTACCTACCAATAACATAAAGTTACATCGAATAGATAAGATTGAAGATAAGCACCGCAGATTGTGTTCATATGTAGGGGCTATAATACCTAACGTATAGTGCACAGCAAGCAACTCACGTTTGGCTGCCTGCACGACATCTTTAACTTCTTTGATGAGCTTCTTGATCTGATGGCTGGTACGGTCGAGCTCCTTCTCGTGGCGCTGCAAGTTGTCCCGAAACTGCGGGCTATCCGCCAGGCACTCGGTGAACTCGAGCGGCTGCAGACCCACGCCCATTGTCACCCACTCGCAGGCGCGCGCCTCTATCACGGTCACAAGCACTACACACCACCAACACTTTCACTGGCCGTGCCCGCCCTTCGAACGGTGCATCATCGCGCACCACACACTTCACAATATCACCGGACGGACACAATTATATTGCTCAATAGGATGTATATTTAATGCAGATTAATATAATAATAAAACGAATAAAAATACAATTATCAAAACACAGTCTAAGCGATATGTTACCCGTACTACACTAAACACAAACTAACAGAGTTACGACTGACATGACTGTTTCAACAATGTGACATTTAAAGATAAGTCGCCATCTGTACTTTAAATCTAGTAACTATGATTTTATTGTTTACGCATTGGCGAGAAACAGCCAAAAGGTACATTATAAAATGAACTTAATACTTGGTGTGTACCAATTGCTAAGTTTAGTTTTGTAATAGTAAACTAATCGTATAAAACTAAATCTTCTGTTACGTACAAGTGTGTACTGTGACAAGATCTCAAAGTAAAAGAGAGTACACCTGTACATTTCTTCTTCAATCTATTGCTGCTATTGCTATTACAATAGAAAACCTAAATCTAGAGCTTTAAAATCAGCTCACATAACTTTGTAGGTCCCTTTAACCTTTGTACACCTGAATATAGTAAATTCAAGTACAAATCTCTTCAGCGAAACTGTAAAGTACCTAGACAATGGCTCACATGACCTAAATGCGTTAAAATCTGGAGATATGAGAAATAGAAATAAGTTTTCAACTAACAATAATCGCACCTCGGATTCACCTCATTGGTTACGATATTGCCTCTGCGCAAAGAGATTAATATCATCTCGAAAAAATATACATTCCATTATTCTTTTAGTGCGAGGATTATATTTACAGAGGGCGCCTTATCAAATGATTAGAGCTTGATTAAATTCTTTTCTCGAGGATTTAGGGTTGCCAACTACACAGGGAAATTTTCACCGTGGCCAATATTTTGGATTTCAGTAGTCAAAATTTAAATATATTCAATATTCTTTAATTGTGCATGACAAAAGTTGACAACAATAACATTATCTCTTACCAATATAATTTATTTTCATCTGTTAATGTATTATATCAAATACAACAAAAACAGAAATAAGCAAACATATGTAAACACAGCACATAGCAAAATCTGGCAAAAGTGGCGCCACCATGTTATGATGTTTACAAAGAAATATGTTTGGCACATTATTGACAAATCGGTATTAAACTTGTAACAAAATATCAACTAACTTCGTCTGAGTCACGTTTTCACAGTTTTTGTTACATTTTTCATTACAGTTTCGCGCTCATTGGTAGCGTGATTATATAGCTTATGTCCTTGGTCTTTCTTGATAAATGGCCTATTCAACATTTAAAGAATTTTTAAAATTAACTCCATAGTACCGGAGATTACACCGAACCAACCTTGCACACTATCTCTCTATAATATTAATACCTAATAGTGACATCTATCCGCTTTGTCAGTTGCAGTATTTCATATCATTAGAAATTTCAAACATTAGGTTAAACAAATAATTGGTTTTGTTCAGATGATTTAGCATTGTCTATAATTTTAATATATTTTGAACTGCGAATACTGCTGGAAGATAATAGTATAATAGTATAGTAATAATAGTAAGTAGATGAAGCTGATCAGGTGACGAATTTAGTAGGAATTAATGCGGTCCTTATTCCAATACTAACAACTATCTCCCTCTAATAAATAATCGTATACGCCAGTTGTTAGGAAATCAGACACAGATAATTCAATTTAATTGTATATTTAAACATTCTGATGTATTTAGCTATGAACGCTATGTATGATTTTGCAGAGAAGGTTAACGCTGCTGGTGCGGTCACGGCTTCCCGGCGTCGGTCGGCGGTTCATCCTCATTGTCCGATTCCTCCTCTGAGTCGTCATCAGAGTCATCCTCCTCCGACTCGGAGTAGGACGAGTCGCCCGCCGCTCCATAGTCCGCTGCAAATCGTAAATATTTTTATTCTCAACTCCCACTAATATATAAGTGAATTTATTGCTAATATTAATTCAACATATCAAACACCTATAGAATTAATTTATTTGCAGCACAAGTTATGTGACATACTTGTATAGTAAATGGAAATTTCCAGGGCCGTAAAATACTTAATAAAAAAAATACTTGTAGTTTTTTTTTTCTATCCACTATTTATTCCATACCAAATAGTGTTTCCTTTACATCCCGGAACATTTGTATATTGCGTGGGTGTACTACTTTGCCGTTTTTTTTCAGTTTAGAAAGTACCTACTGCAGAAAATATCTGGCAGGATAATCACTGTTTTAAATTCTGAATTGTTAATATAACACAGCTGATCATCTAAAAATAATACCACAACTTTTAAAACAGGATTATATCTTATAGGCTTTTTCACTGGTACTGTTCAAGAGTATGCTACAGTGACTACTGTCTGGATCAACTGGATCAACAAACATACACACCTGCATGGGATCCAGAGGCGTAGGAGGCGTAGTAGTCGTCGTCGTCGTCGTCGGCGGCATGCGCGGTGCCCTGCCGGCCGTACCGGTGCGAGCGGGCTGCGGGCAACAGTATACAATGACATAATTTTTGCGGCCTCTTTGGACAGGACCGCTTGCTGGCCGCTTATAAGACGTGACTAGGACAGACGGAACAACTGACGGGACATATACGACAGAGAAAAAAACGGACGACAAGATCTTCTTTAATTAACGACGACATTCTTAATGGGCGGCCGACCAGCAGACCATTCAATAATGTTTAAAAAAAATCTTATTGTCCAATTTTATTTAACAGAACCTTTAAAGTATTTGATCAAACACAATAAAGAAATGTGTTGTTTGCTTATTACGCAAATCTAGTGCAATTGCTTATAAGAGCTATGACTTATAGGTGTTGACACTGGATTATGTTAATTATTAATGAGTGTGTGGTGTGTACTGACTGGACATGCTGAGGTCGGCAGTGAGCTGCGTGGGGTAGGCGCAGCGCGGGCAGGGCGGGGCTGCGCCCCTCGAGCCGCCGGAGCCGCCGCGCACGCCGCGCCGCCGCACATGCTCCTCGCAGAAGCATGTCTTGCAACGCAAGCACGAGTATTGCCCGAGTCTGTTGCATGACTGACCTGGAAAACAAAATTTTATTTTTGGTTTATTTGTACACTATAATATACACTTATTGTAGTACATTTGTTATTATTAGTAATAATTATTTTTTGTTTATTTTCTATTAATATTAAATTCATATTAGTGACTCACACTTGTAATTCTCCGACTCTAGAACTTGGCAGGAAGCTTGATGCTCAAACTGGTCATCTTCACATAGAAAACCACGACAGAAGCAACACTGGAACACGCGCCCGCCGTGTTCCCAGACACCTTTAAGAACAGATTTAAAAAAATATATTTCTCATTTACATAATATTTTTAGGGCAGTAAACTCCTCGAGTGGCGACCTCGGCGCGGAAGACATAGCCGATGTGTTGTATAACAATAATTGTGTGTCTTTTATTGTCACCCTCAATATAACTTTTTATCAAAAAAGTCAAATATGTAGGGTACTAAAATATAATCATTCCATGTAAGCCTCAATACAAGCAGTCATATTAAAAAACATGTTTCTAAAATATAAATGTGTTTTAATCCATAATATTGGCGACGAGTGATAAATTTATAGTGATAATAAATGTACAAACATGCAAGCAATTAAATTCCACGAGTACCGACCCGGGAATGAAGATTTTAGTCACTACATAGATAGGCTAAATTATTGTTTTGTGGCAAATGGAATTTGCGACGATAATGTGAAACTTGCTAATTTCTATACAATTTGTGGCTCTGAGGTGTTTGAAACGGTGCTAGCTTTGATAATACCAAGAAAATCACATGAAGTCAGTTTTAACTATGTGGTTGGTACAAAACATTATACATCTAAATCTAATGAAATCACCATGTCCTACAAATTTTACAACCGCAACCAAAGGGAAGGCGAAAAGGCGCTCGATTACTTAACAGAATTGAGGAAAATAGCTGCACATTGTAACTTTAGTAATTTGGAACGAAATCTTCGCGATCGTTTAGTATGTGGGATGCAAGATGAGAAATTGAAATTTGAGTTACTGAAACGAGACAACTTAACATACAAGGAAGTGGTGGATTGTCTAACAGCAGCAGAAACAGCACATCGTGACGTCACAATGATGCGTGCAGTGCAGCCGACCCCAAGTACATCCAGTTCAACATTTGAACCAATGGATATTGGTGCCATACGTGACAAAAATACCACCAATAATAGATATAGATTCTGTTATCGATGTGGTGATAAACATAGTGGTACATGTCGACATGTGAACTCTAAATGCAATTTTTGTCAAAAAATTGGGCATTTAGAGAAAATTTGTACACAGAAACGTAAAAATCAGAATATCCGTTACACAACTGAGGAAGATTCGAATATTCAGAATAATGATTCACTTAACGGTATATATTGTGTGAATGATATAAATAATCTACAGAGAATACCGCCTATACAGGTTGATGTCTTATTGAATGGTTGCGAGACAAAAATGGAAATAGATTCGGGGGCATCATATTCAATAATAAATGTAAATACATTTGAAAAATTGCCTAAATACTTAAGGAATAAGTTACAACCAATGATTCTACGGTTATCAACATGGACAAATACATCACTGCACTTACTAGGACAATTAGATGTTAATGTGACATATAATAATAAGCAATGTCCATTAACAGTTATTGTTGCTAAAGGAAAAGGCCCTAATTTGTTGGGTCGGAACTGGTTTCAACCTCTAAATATTTCTATAAATAATATAAATTTAATAGAGCATGAGGGCATACAGTGTGAAGACTTACTAAATAAATATAAAAATATTTTTTCACATGGCTTAGGTACTTACAAAGGAGAGCCTGTAGCAATACATTTAGTGCCAGGAGCTGTCCCTAAATTTATAAAGGCGAGACCAGTACCATATGCTCTGAAAGATCGCGTAGAACAAGAGATAGACAATTTGGTCAAAGACGGTATATTGAAACCCATACCGTATTCAGAATGGACAACTCCCGTAGTACCCATTGTAAAAAAAGATGGCAGCATTAGATTGTGTGGTGATTACCGAAGCACAGTGAATCAAGCTACAGAATCGGATACATACCCGATGCCGACTGCTAATGAAATTTTTGCGCTCCTGGCAGGAGGACGATTTTTTACAACTTTGGACCTGGATCGAGCGTACACACAGGTGCCAGTTGATGAACAGACATCAAAACTACTGACATTAAATACAACCAAAGGTCTGTTTTCAGTACATAGACTAGCATTTGGTGTTAAAGCCAGCCCAGGTATTTTCCAGCGAGCAATGACAGCATTACTTGCAGATGTCCCAGGAGTTGCTGTTCTGCTCGATGACATTATTATTACTGGTCATACACTAGAGGAAATGAAAACTCGACTGAATATAGTTCTGCAACGTTTAACAAACAAGGGACTAAAGCTTAATCAAAACAAGTGTAAGTTTGCAAAGACGCAAGTTGAATTCTTGGGATTTCTAATAGATGCCGAGGGTATACACCCTGCAAAAAGCAAAATTAATGCAATAATAAACACGCCACCTCCAAGGAATGTTCAGCAACTTCAAGCATTCCTTGGATTATATAATTTTTATGAACGCTTTGTACCTCACAAGGCAACAGTTTTGGAGCCACTACATAGATTGTTGGACCAAAAGAAGGATTGGAAATGGAGTAAAGAGGAACAACAATCTTTTAATACCGCAAAAAGTCTACTTGCAAATGATGTCTGTCTTACACACTATGACACAAAGAAGAAACTGATTTTAACTTGTGATTCATCAGACTATGGGGTAGGAGCCGTTCTGGCACATATTATGGATAATGGTGATGAGAAACCAATAGCTATGGGATCAAGAACACTACACCCACATGAAAGACGATATTCTCAATTAGATAAAGAGGCCACGGCAATTCTGTTTGGGATTAAAAAATTCAACAATTATTTGATGGGTCGTCGATTACAATTATAACGGACAATAAACCGCTTCTGGGAATATTTGGGACTAAGAAGAAGATACCAGATATTCTTTCACCACGATTGACTCGTATATGTTTGACCTTAGCAGCACATGATTACGAAATTGAATATAAACGTGGTAAGGAAATTAGTAATGCTGATGGACTTAGCCGCTGGCCAATGCCAGTATCATCTCAAGATATTGATACTCCAGGGGAGGTTCTCTTAATAGCAGAAACACCACACGACTTGCCATTTGGTCCAAAAGACATTGAAAGAGCAACTTCTGGAGATCCAACTCTCCATAGAGTAAAATGGTTCATTTTGAAAGGGTGGCCAGCCCGAATTACAGATAAAGAGTTACATACATATTGGTTACATCGCTTGGAGTTGAGTATACAAGATGGCTGTATTTTACTGGGAAGTCGTGTGGTATTACCAAATAAACTTAGAGAGGACATGTTAAAACTATTACACCAAACTCATAATGGTATAGTACATACTAAAGCTCTGGCTAGGAGTTATGTATGGTGGCCACAAATGGACAGAGATATAGAGAAGATGATCAGCAACTGCCATTCCTGTTTAGAAAATAGAAATATGCCAACAAGATCATCACATGAATGGATTATGCCTGCTAGACCATGGTCCCGTATTCATGTTGATTTTGCAGGACCTTTTCAAAATAAAATATTTTTGATAGTAGTAGACTCATATTCAAAATGGCCTGAGGTTCACATTGTAAATTCTATGGCATCTAGCATTGTTATCAAACATTTACGATATATCTTTGCGCAACACGGGCTTTGTGAAACATTGGTATCAGATAATGGTACATCTTTCGTGTCAAAGGATTTTGAGGACTTTTTAGTGGCTAACAAAATAAAACACATTAGGACAGCGCCATATCATCCCGCCACCAACGGGCAGGCCGAGAGAATGGTTCAAACTTTAAAAAATAAACTAAAAAAGATGACAGATGTACCTTGGGAAGTAAAATTACCAAGAATTTTGCTGACATTACGTAGTACGCCTTGCACATCAACTAAGAGAAGTCCAGCCGAATTATTGATGAATAGACAGCTGCGGACTTTATTAGACACTGTTCACCCAAATATCAATCATTACAGAAAGACAGAAAATCAGATTATACATAATGCAAATAGGAAGAATCGTGAAACTCAAGTTGGAAAGAAAGTAATGTACAGGAACTATGCAGAAGGAGAAAAGTGGAAATCTGGAACAATAATAGGGAAGGAGGGTCCTTCTAGCTATAGAATAGAAACAGAAAATGGAGAGTGTATGCATAGACACATAGATCAATTGGTAACACTTAAGGACACAGAGACAGAAGAGTTAAGAACACAGGGGACAGAAAGTGAAATACAAGAACAGGATGCAGAAGTGGAGCAGGAATTGACAAATGAAAACTTAGGTGAAGATCAGACATGGGAAACAGTGCAGGAGCAAGATATAATTGAGATACCCAGTTGTGACCAATGGGCGGACATGCTGGGAATACCATCAACATCAAATGTGGGAAAGATAAGAAACAAACCCAAAGGACATTCTAAACTCCCTTATGATAGATTGTAAATAGGATAACCATATATTGTTGATTTTTTTCAAGAGTTTGTTAATATTAGTGTTAAGCTTGAGGGAAAGGTATGTTGTATAACAATAATTGTGTGTGTCTTTTATTGTCACCCTCAATATAACTTTTTATCAAAAAAGTCAAATATGTAGGGTACTAAAATATAATCATTCCATGTAAGCCTCAATACAAGCAGTCATATTAAAAAACATGTTTCTAAAATATAAATGTGTTTTAATCCATAATACGATGGATGCGAGCAGCACAGGACCGATAGTCATGGATATCTCTGTGGGAGACCTTTGTTCTACAGTGGACGTTTTCCGGGCTGAGATGATGATATTTTTTATGAATGGTTTACAATTTCATATTCTTACCCCGTTCACATTCAAGGCACACAGCATCAATGAGTGGACAGGTGCATGCGTGCGCTGTCAAACACTTGCGGCCGTGGCACACCCATGCCTCACAAAAGTCGCAAATAGCTCCCTGAAACCATTAGCAACACTTACAATGCAATTATTACAGATGACTCAGACACCAAACAAAATTATGTAAATACATTATATCTGAATACAGCAGTCTTATGGATAAAAGCCAATTTGTAATAATTAAAAATATAGCCAAACATGTAAAACTTTATCCCTATTACTTTTAATTGAGTTAATTTAGTTATTATTCACATGGAAGTGGCAGAGCATGAATGGAGAACTTGTGCAGTGCCTCTATTGATATGAAAGGAATCATACATACCACCATGCCTAGACCCGTTGTGAAGACACCGGGATGCCTAATGACACAGTCTCCAGACTTCAGCATACATTTAATTTTGCCACAGTGAGCACACGCTGGCAATCTCTGCAAGGCTTGGCAGAAGTAGCAAAATGCTCGGTTCTTTTGCTTCCTGTTGGACAATACTATATTAAATACATGTTGACACAAAACAGTTTTGTATTACAGTATTACACTGTCCACATTATACTGACAATTACAGCAATGTATTAATGTATAAGTTATTGTTAAATTGACTAAGATAAATAAAATGTACATTAAATTGAGGAGTGATGTCTGAAATAGTTTACACCAGCAAAATATAACTAAGCAGAAAGAACTTGTTACCTTTCTACTTAGGTTAATTATATTTTATATTACATGTAAATTTTTTAAAATTAATCCAGCACTTATTTCTAGAACCTATTAAAATCTCACTACCATCACACCCCCGTTTCCTCCTCAAATCCTCTGAATACTAAGCAAAACTGGTTATAGGCTGAGTTTACAATCAACCTATATGAAGAAAAAAGGAATATCCTGTTAGGAGACTTACTGCAAAGGTTCATTTTTATTCGAAACATAAATCATAGCTCAGCCTGTTCAGAATATTAGACCAGGCTACATCAAAATTTCTTTGCGGTAAACTTACTTTTGACACTTGTCACAGTCCATGGGCAAGTTGCATGGGTGCTGCGCTAGATCCACGTTGTCACGAGCATTGCGGATCTCCTTCTGCCTTTGTCTTTGCTTTTCAGCTTTTTTCCGCTGTCCCGTTTTCTTCTTAGGCATATTGGGTATCTATTTACTTAGTTAAAAATATAAAAAAATTGGTTTCCCCAGTCAATTATGTTCTAATTGCTTAATCAGAATCTTTTAACCAAGAATCTACGAGTGATTTTAATAAAAGTCTAGTAACAGGCTGTGTGAGACACAGACCATATAATACTTTGCAACAAAAAGAATGAACGTATAAAATTAATTCTTTAAGAAATCCCGAAAGTGTTATAGGACTTTTTGACGTTTTTATAACAATTTCTTTCATACATATTTGACAGCAGTCCATAGATTAGTAAAATAGTTATAAAATCACAGATAGAAAATTATCACGCATATGAAGACAACATGACAGTGTACACGCGCCATTACTCTATCCACGTCAAAATAAAAGATGCAACTGATCTGTGGTAGCCATGTGAATTATCTATAAAAGTCTCTATATTTTGCAATATTTGTCTAATCTTTGTTGTTTTTGTTTGTATTCTTTACCGAAATCAACCGATTATAAAGATAGTGAATTCTGCATGCTTTTTATCTTGAAATCAAATTAAAACGAATAAACGGTTCATTGTTTGATATTTGTTTACATGATCTCATCTAATAAATTTGGTATTTAAATGTGCGCAGTTTGCGTAGTTTGCAATTAGCAGGTGGACATTTGTAGTGAATTAAAGTTTCATATCCACTCCAGACAACGCAAAATGATCTCCCCGTCTGATCTGGTTAGTTTATTACACTTATTATTTGTTTGAAATATTTTTTACTTAAACAATATATAAAATATATTATTTTTACATTAATCATATAAATCATTTATCTAAAATGTATTAAAATACTTATAATTGAAAAGTCCAATTAAGTTTAGTCTCAAACTACGGAGAACTGTGATTATTAAACAATTAATTATAATTCATAATTTTCTAAAATTACATGATATAGTTATCATTTTCATAGTGTTAAACCTATATCATCAGTATATCAGAAATTTTATGAACTTTGACTAAAGTAAGCCAACCTCCTGAATATTTTTAGTACAGTTATTAAACATTGTAGGCACAAAGTAGCTCTTGTTTCTTATTTATTTGTTTATGATTTCAATTCCCATGATAAAAGTATTTGTATTTGTCCAGACTGTAGAACTAATTGCTCTAAGAATCATAGCTCTGTAAGCCGTAATACACATTGTAAATTATACTATGTATTTTATTTATTTATTGACTGACATAATGTTTTCAGAGCACACAGATTAATTAAATTTGCTTTAAAAACACTATAGTAAATTGTCAGGTAATTATTCTGACCAACTTATGAGAACCTAATTACTATCCGCGTGTGGAAACTATTTTTTATGTTACAAAAATAAAGTACTTAAATAGATTCTCCAAAATGCCTCCAAATTGTGCAATGTATTCTAATATGATTGATATAAATTACTCCATCTCTAAATTACTTTATTAATTTTTCATATAATAGTAAACAAGTAGATAAATATGTGTGTATGTATGAATTTGTATTGATCATGTTAGGTGTTGTCTTTTGGTGGACTCTGTTACTTTGTAAAAAACACTTACATAATTCTACAATTATACATAATAATGAAACAATGTTATGGTGTAGAATTGTAATTTTTAATGACTATGGTGTATTAAGTACAGTATATTGTATATTAACAATTTGAATATAAAGAGAACTTAAGATTACTTCTGGCAAAAGACATATATTATAAAGGAAAAAAGGTATTTAAAATGTATATATAAAAAAAGTATAAAATGGTGCATTATGCACAGTACTCAATATTTGTTTGTGTGGTTGAGTTGTGTTTGTGTAATGTTAGATGAGCCGCGTGGGCGTGGGCGGGCGGCTGGTGCCGTTCTTCAAGGCGGTGTGCGTGTACTTCGTGGCGGGCTGCGGCGCCACGCCCTCCGCCGCCGCCGTCGCCGCCAAGTGCGCGCCAATCCTCTGTCTTCTCCTGTTCGTGTTGCTGCACCACGGCTCCGCCATTAAACCTCAGTGAGTACCCAGTACATCAATGACATGACATTAAAGGCACTGTCAACACTGTGGGCCATCCATTATTTACTCAAATACACAAAGTAAGTAAAAGAACGACTCTCTATACAGGTGCGGATCATGAATTTGTGGGGTCTTGGGTTAAATCTACTTAGGGGCCTACCTACCGTATCTAATCATATTACTCAACTAGAAAATACACAGACCAAAAACAAGCGACCAGAAATTTCCCGTTCCTTTCGATAGATTTCGCGCACTTGCATGGATTGATTGATCTCAGGGTTGCCAACCTTATGATGGGTCTTTTAACATTCTAGATATTTTTTATATTTTAAATATCGTGTCAATGGGGACCTTTTTTATCTTCGGGGCTTGTAGCCCAAAAAGCCCTTAGGTAGATCTTTCCCTGTCTTTATATTACGTTAGTAGTTGTATCATATTACAAGGCTGCTAGGCTAGTTTGCCGACTAAGGGAAAGCTAATGGGAGCCCTTTGCCGACGCACTGTTGATGTGCGTCGGCAGAGGGCTTCCTTAAACTTACACGCCGGTCCCAAATCTCGGAAATTGCTCGGAGTTTCCCTTTCTGTGACACGAAGCCATCGAACGTTAAAAAGTTCATCTTTTTATAATCACGACGGCTCGTTTTCTCATCCGAGCGACACTTGGAAACGTGCTCGAACCGCTTCGAGACGGCGCGGAGTGGTACAGTGTGCGGCCGCGGTCAGGGGGCGGTACGCGCGGCGCATCGCGGCGGGGCTGGCGCTGTCGGCGCTGGGCGACGCGCTGCTGGTGTGGCCGCAGCAGCTGGTGGGCGGGATGGCGGCGTTCGCGGCGGCGCACGTGGCGTACGTGGCGGCGTTCGGGCTGCGCGCGGACGCGCCGGCGCTGGCGGCGCTGAGCTACGCGGGCACGGCGCGGTACGTGGCGCTGCTGCGGCCGGGCGGCGCGCTGCGGGCGCTGGTGCCGCTGTACGCGGCGCTGCTGGCCACCACCGCGTGGCGCGCCGCCGCCGCCGCCGCCGCGCGCCGCTCGCGCCCGCGGCTGGCCGGCGCGGCGGGCGCGCTGCTGTTCCTCGTGTCCGACGCCGTGCTCGGGTACACGCTGTTCGCGGGGCCCGTGCCGCACCACCAGGTACGCTACACCCTCCACTCTCACACGTACTCGGCGATCGAATCAGACTATCGTCGTTCATGTAGGTCTATTGCGATCTTATCTAGTCTAGTCTAGACTCGACTAGTCTACCGTCAGTTCGGAGTTACTTGGAGTTAAAAACTGACAATTGATTCATCTCTTATTCTTTTCGAATGCATGATTAGAAAAATATAGATTCATTTTTAAATTCATAATAGTGAGAATATAGTGACCGTCAGCATATGCTATTGCGTTTTTGTCAAAAGAAAATAATTTACCAGACCAGTCCTCACAAACGGCACCATTACGAGTAATAATCATTACAATCAGATCCACACGTTTTCTGCGCTGATTTGAGCGGCTTTGTTGTACACCAGCATAATTTGATTGAATAAAAATAAAATTTATGCGATGTTTGTCTAATTGGCGACATGCGACAGGTGCTGATTATGTCGACGTACTACCTGGGTCAACTGGGCATCGCGGTGAGTGCGCTGGAGGCACACTAGCGGCGCCCGTCCGGAGCCCCCGGAGCCCCCGGCCTCCCCGGCGCGGCGACGTCTTCCTGGGCGAAGAGTCCGCGCAGACGCCCGGCTCGGAACCCTATCGCTACTTCTCAATCGTAATCTGAACGTAACTGATCTGTGCAATGTTACCACGTAGGTGACTGTAGACGTGTACTCGTAGGGCTAACTTTAGTTTAAGCTTAAATTGGTTATATATAAATCTTCCTTTCTTAGACTTAGTACAATCGGTGTACGTACGTATATATAGGTGTACAAAAATGACCGCAGGAATAACCAAGAGCCGGGTAGAAGTGACTCTGACCTATACGCTCGACGCAGTTAAATTAAACTCATCATTCAGTTCAGTTAGCGAGCGGTTGACTCGATAATGACGAATTTATGACCATCTAAGTGAACGTACCATTGTGGTTACTACATACATTAAAAAAACATTGTGGCAACCCTACTTTACAGCGCAACAATAACACACTAGACCGGTGTTTACCAATTAGTGGTACGCGTACCCCCAGCGGTACGTGAAGTTGCATCAAGGTACGTACGGCTATCAGTAGAGCAAATATATACACACACTCAAAAACTTTCACATTTATAAGCTTAACTGTAAGTTTATATTCTGTTAATTAAATAAATAAATAAAATAATATTAGTGTGATTGCTACAATAAGGAATACGCAAGGTGTGAGGTCTTTTTTGAAGTGGTGCGCAGCAAAAACTAATTGGGATCCATAATCATCTGAGGGGAACAAATATAAATGTAGTGGCAATCAGCGCAGATCCGTGGGTCACTTCTCACCAGCTCTTCGTTATGGCCATGTCGTCATAGACACCAGCTTACATAGAACGATTCCCGTGTAAGTAGGGTGTATATTTATTGTTCAGGGACGAGGTCTGCGCAAGTATCTGTGATATGTGCTCGGTTACTATGTCTTCTAATTAGATATTTTAAAATGGTTTGCTTTATCGGGTCACCGTGTTCCATAGAAGAAAGAGGGAAATAATCTTATTGCGCAAGTGCCAAAGTGTGCTAATATTCCGGCTCTGAATACACGAAGATGCGTGCGTGGGGTCCAGTACCCGCGGGGTGATCACACGTAGTTACACACATAGTATAGCTATATTACTGTAAAGTTTCATCAAAATCCGTTCAGTAGTTTTTGCGTGAAAGAGTAACAAACAACCATCAATAGTCACAAACTTTTACGTTTATAATAATAAGATATTGCGCACTAGATACCCGGCACGGTTTGGCTGTGGTTGCGAATGTTTAATTTCTTGAAAAAATAAAACAGCACGTGGATTTTGTAATTTTCTGGAAGTTAAAGATTTTTAAATACTTGAGTTGATTTCATATATAATGTTTGGTTACAACTCATATACCGCATGTGTTCCAAAGCGGGCAGGTCTTAGATGGAATATCTTCAAGCGGTGGGGCATGTACCCCCTGCTGGACCCTCACATCTCAGATTAATATGTGTTCCTCCACGGGTGACTGACAAGACTGACACCATATATTTTTGTACTGGCTTCGTTTACTCGTTCTGCAGCAGTCGGACGCAAATCTTTTAATACATCACGTGTATCTCATCACAGAATATTACATCTGTTGGTCGCATGTATATAATTAAACGAACCTTAACTAATACATTGTCGTCTCCATATCTTTATATTTGTATGAACGGTAAAAATGTGAAACCTTCGATGTAAATGGCGAATAGAAACATAGAAAATTATATAGAATCTGTTATCACACTGTTAGATGCCACCATAGATTAAAAATAGTTGTTATTCACAAAATATTGAGGTTTTTAGATTTTGCAGTGAAGTTTAAATCTCCAATCAGACTAACTATTGTTTGAGTGAATGTAGAAGTATTGGGAAAACGCGCTAAATAGTCATTCAGTTGTCAGCATTCCATTCATTCTAATATAATAAGAGACGCCATGTTCATATTTTAAAATCCATTTTATTGTAAGTAGCCAACGGTTCGAAATAATTCATTTTACACGTACAGTGATAGGCAGCACGTCGCAATATATTCGTGAGTAAGCTGAGGTATTCATAAGCGGCCTCAATCATTTTATATTACTTGTCAATTTGGGTCAAGAATTTCAATGCATTTGATGTTGTAGATATTAAATAATATACGTTTTTTATTATTGTAGTAGTAAATATATTTATATATACAATGTACGTGCTTATTACTCTATTCATACTACTCGGACATTTCCGCGCCGTGTCGCCCGCGCTGCGGGGGAGTACTTTTTGGATGTAACGATCTTGTTAGTGTGGAATCTCTACAGGTGTAGTGTTAGTGTTTTTAGTGCAGTAGGTAGGTGCACACTATAGTAGTTACCACTAAAATATATTTTGTAATGTGTACATCGGACAAACATATCTCTTAATAATACCACGATGAACGGTCGCCGCTCACTGCGAACTAGGTGGGTAGGGTGTTTGTTTCGTGGTAGTAGTAATATGTTGTAACTCGTACTTCCACGGCACGTCATTAGAGCTGCTCTCGGAGTTAGCGATCGTCAGACGACGAAACATGTTACGCTCTAATGTATTCTTCCTAATAAACGAAGCATTTGTAATTGTAAAATATTTTCTGTCTTAATACTCGCACCTAAGGTCGTATGTCACTTGCGTTGTTTGTTAGTCGTTAACTGTCTTTACACGACACGTTTTTCACGAAATTTAGCGCGGGAAAGTCAGCGCGTGCAATCGATTCATGTCAATTACTTTTTTTTTTACATTTTTTTATAATTCACAGTTTTTTATCCAATTTTTAAACGTTCATTATTTATCAATAACTCTATAATTATCTCCCTTTTTATTTTCATATTTGTTCACAAGTCAGATCAGCCATTTTTCAATGATGATTAAAAAAAGGAGCTAAAGAACACGAAAAATCATACGTGAGCTGCACCTTGAAGAACGTGAACTGGCGCACACACATACACATTATTTCGTGTGCGAAATTCGTTTCACGTCTGAAATTTCGTACGTGTAAAGACAGTTATTAACATAGATTTAGAATGTTATTGACAACAATATCTCGGGAACATTAGTGATGTAGTGTAGGTAGGTGCACTAGTAGCACACCGCTCCCGGTCCCGGCGATCCGGATACAATCTGGTCGCGGGGTTCCTTCCCGGGAGCAGTAGAACTCGGTAGTGTGGGTGGGTAGCCATTAGGTGATTGTTAGATTATGTATTTTAGAAATTATTATTACATGTTATATTGTGTATTGAACACATACTATTTTATTAAATGTTTATACATATTACTCCAGTGTAATTATACATGTACTGTATAATAAATCAAGAGAATTTATTACCGTGTTTTCTTTCGTAATGTCTCTCCAAAATTATATGTCCGATGATATGGTTGGCGCCGCCAATTTAGCGGTTACTAATGTGCCTAACATTGGCTGAAATGAAAAAAATAAATTAACTACTGTTCCTGTACTGTACTATGATGTGATATAACCAAGAATAAATTATTTTCACTGCTGGACAGTTGCTAAAAATCTCAAAAATATTACAAGTTCATCTTGACTTACAGAAGCTGCTAAAATGTCCTACATGAATAAATGATATGTGATTTTGATGCCTGTAATTGTATACACGTGGGCGACCCTTGACGAAGTACTGTTATTTTCTTTACAGCAGTCATACGATACTACCATCAAGAATGAGAATAATATTATATAATCACATTATCAATATATATCATACTAGCTTTTGCTAGCGGCTTCGCTTCGCGTTAAATTATCCCTCTAGGGATGGAATTTATCAAACTCCTTTCTTAGCCTACGTCATAGTAGCTTTATGCATGCAAAGTCTCAGCCCGATCGGTTTAAAATTGACGAAGTTTCATACAAACTTTCATCCCCTATTTTATCCCCTTGGGGGTAGAATTAATCAAAATCCTTTCTTAGCGGATGCCTACGTCATGACATCTACCTGCATGCCAAATTTCAGCCCGATCCGTCCAGTGGTTTGGGCTGTGCGTTGATAGATCACCATGTCAGTCACCTTGGAGTTATATATATTTAGATTAATTTTTATCAGAATAAACGATTTGTATGTTAAGGTCTATTCAATAGTATATAAACGTTCAAACATGTCTGCAAATATTCCAATATTCAAATAATATGAATAATTAACATTTGTAGAAAAAAAACACGACATAGTATAAAAATATTTATTTAAATATAACTTATATAATCTTAATTACAATAACAACGATCATGTAAGACCCGCGCACACAATGGACGTTCTACTGGCGTATATATTTGTTCCACATATTGTTATACATACAATTTGTCGTATAACGAACACTTGGATGAGACTATTGTCAGAAGCGTAGCGTGCCCCGTATAAAAATTTGTTTGGAGGCCCTTATGAAAGGTAAAAATTACAAAAGAAAAAAAATTGCATAAAATTAAAAGAAATATTTATTCATCATAATTATTTATCTGTTACTTTTCCCTTTTTTTGTAAAAAAATGTCCTTGCCTTTATCGGCAAAATCATTTATTAAATAATTTATAGCTGGCGCGGAAAAAAAAAATTGCTTTTATTTACTTTTGTCATTTGTGAAATAAAAAAAATGTGGTAAGTTAATTTTTGCTTACGCATTTTGGGGGTCCCGTACAATTGATACGGCAGATACGGGGGTAGCTACGGCCCTGACTATTGTATCGTGTTCTCAACACTATGAAACTAAACTTTGTCCACTACATGCGCAGGCTCCTATGATCTTAAATTCAGCGTGCAACATGTTACTTCCACGCTCCGCAGCTCTCAACAGTGTCCAGCAAAACAAAGTTGCAATTGCACATATACTTATTAAGTAACGGCAGGTGGAACTTCGGCCCGACCTTGTGTGTAACATCGCGATTTAAATGTACATAGCTATATTTACATCATACAATACAATTCGACTCAGCCGTGTGCCGACTCTAGCCTATACAACATATAGTGATTCACTCTTATCGCCCACTCATTCAATTTCATTAAGGGGTCATGTTATTTATAGTACATCTGTACAATATAACGACGCGGGAGATTCGGAGGGGAGTTATTGCAGAACCACTGCTACCGGATCATAATTCTGAATTGGAAGTTTTTTTTTTCGGACTACTCTAATGTTGTTGTCCGCAGCTGGCCTTTACAGCTTCGCCGGACGATAGGGGGCGAGTGCAGATGGCACTCCAAACCAAAGGAAGGACTTACGCAGCGGCTGAACAAGACTCAATAATAAATTTATATTCATTGTATATAATCACTATGTTATTGAACTCGTCTAAAATTATGTAATACAAGAGTACAACTTACATTGAAGTCTTTAAATAATTTCGTTAGCAAAAAGCTCTTTAAATAATTTCGTTAGAGTGATATTTTTCTCGATTGATCGTATCATATAGATACAATTTCCAAAGAAACAGAAATAATATATAATCTAACTTAATATAAGCACTTGAGTGGTAATATTTTTTTTATTCTACGTAATCGTTCAGAACGCGGACTTATCACAAGAAGCATGTGCAAGACCCTTACGTGTTGCCTTTTTTACATACATTGTGTTATAAGTAAATACACGTTAACAGGGACGCATGTGGCAATCAACATATAAACCGCTACGCACTCATTCTTTGTGCAATCAGATAATATTGTCAGAACTATGAATTTTATGTTACATTTTTTACTATTATCATCATTTATATATATTTTTATATTATCATTTATATATCATAGAGATCATACCGTCAATACATTTAATTTTATATTTTACACGATGTTTGTAAAATTATCATGACGAGACATCACGCAATTGCGTGATATCTCGTTACTACGTAACTATACAAAAATACTCTACACGTATGTTTGTATGAACTGCGCAAAATATACATTGCGTATTTGTGTCTAGTTCTACGAACGTCTGTCGGTGACATTTACGCTTTATACATTTCGCCCTTCAAAACTAACATTCGTCCGATAGTGTCGCATTCAAGACAATAATCTGCAAATCTCTTTGTTTCATTATTACTTACACATAAAGTCATTAACATTTCCGGATTTGAAGGATTATTATCAGCAGGTTTAAGGTTTATTATTGTCTGCACATGTTTTTAATAAATTAACTATACTGATAACAATCAGCACTGCTTTCAGTTGTAACAAACGTAATTTGTTTTCTCGTAGATAACGTATTTCCGTAATTCATATTACATGCGTTGTATAGACATATTTCGTATCTTTGTCTATCACCGCTCGTCCTTTATGTAAGCCTAGTACATTTTGCCCTTTAAAATTAATATTCGTCTGATAATAATGCAGATAAGGATCTGCAATCTTCTTGTTTTTATTGTTTTATAGTTCACTACCTACTCGTCCCGACTTCGCACGGGTGTACATGTATTATACATATAAACATTTCTCTTGAATCACTCTATCTATTTAAAAAAAACCGCATCAAAATCCGTTGCGTAGTTTTGAAGATTTAAGCATACATAGGGACGGACAGACAGCGACAGCGGCTTTGTTTTATACTATGGCTATCTGTATTAAAAGTCATTAAAGGTACGAGCTCCGCGCGCTTATTGACTATGTCCGTCTGTTTGTTATATTAAATATATTGTTTTTTTACATATATCTATTTACGGATAGGTAAATATATTTATTCAGGCATATTCAATTTGTGGGCATTAATTTTAATAGTAATTGAGTTTTGGGAACGCATCTGTATAGTTAGACATATAATTTAATGAATACAATCCAGTCTACATAATTTTATGTAAAACACTTGAGAAGTTATGTCTGTCCATGTGCACCATGTAACCTCATCACAGTCAAGTGCAAACAGCACTTATATTGTTACGTCTATACATTCACAGTGTCTTTAATTCATTTATAGTCTATACATATAAATAAAATTGGAGTGTCTGTTTGTAATATTGAAATAACCGGTTTTTACTACATGCATATGAATAAAAATACGGTACATACACCAAAATAACATTTTTTACCATTTTTGTCTGTCTATTTGTTCCGGATAATCTCTGAAATGGCTGGATTGATTTTGACGGGACTTTTTTGGCAGGTAGCTGATGTAATAAGGAGTAATTTAGGCTACTTTTATTTTTGAAATATTAAGTTAAATTCCACGCGGACGTAATCGGCTAGTATTATATAAAATCAACCAAATCAATTATCTGGTCAAGATCACTCGAAGGCATTGGATGCGAGCAGCGCAGGAACCGATCGTCGTGGAGATCTTTGGGGGAGGCCTATGTCCAGCAGTGGACGTCTCCCGGGCTGATGATGATTATATGAAATAACTTTTTTATGTGTACGTTAAAATACATCTGCCCGAGTCAATGTGGTCACAAACAGGTAACCAGCCTGATTCTAAACAAAACACGTCCATTTTCGTGAAACCTAGGAAACATGGTATAATTGAAGAATAATGCAGTGGTTCCGCAGTGGACGTACATGTGTGGCGAGCGTGGCGAGTGTGGTGAGCGTGGCGGGCGTGGCGGCTACTCGCGGCGCAGGTTGTCGAGGCGGGACTGCAGCTCTGCGTCTGCGTCGCTGACGGGCGCTCCGCCGCCGGACCCGCCGGCCACCGCCACCGGCGTCTTGGCTGCAACCACAACCACACACACATACATCACCTACTTGCGACTTACGATACACTTCCTAATTCTTAATTCGATAGCTATTTTTTACCGACTCCAAAAAAGGAGAATGAGGAGCTAAATTTTTTTAAGTGCTTGTTACTAGGTATAAAACACAGTCATTAAAAACCCGAGTTGATGAAACTTTATTATTTAACACGATGAAGACCGCATTGAAAAATCTTATTACTCACATAGCGACCGGCATTTTTTTATTGTTAATTACGTATATTATTTGTTAAATATGTTTTTAGTGTACTATAATTTGAGGTAGACATTATTTTACACCAACATTTATTTCAATTAAGGTCCCACCGTTGATCACCCGGTCCCAAAGTGTAAATTTACTTTCGTCGCGGAGTGATCCACCGGCCTTGCGATCTGTACCAGTTACGATACCATTTTTAATTCGATAGCTATTTTTTACCGACTCCAAAAAAGGAGAATGAGGAGCTAAATTTTTTTAAGTGCTTGTACTATAGTAGTACATATATAATAGAGATGAAACGGATATCCGGTAACTATCCGGTATCCGGCCTATCCGGCGGCCTTAATACTATCCGGTCGAATACCGGATAACTACTATTGGTCCGGATAGGCATCCGGCCGAATAAAAAAAATTTGGGTAATTTTTTTTAGTAAGTAATTATTTGCTTTATTTAGTTAGTCTTAGTATTACATAAGGAATAAAATAGTTTTAGTTTTTAATTTTTAACCACTTAATAGTAAATGACTGTTATAGAAAGAAAATGAATTTACTACTTAGCTAAGTTCCGCCGGATATCCGGTTATTCAGCCTCATCTCTAATATAATAATAATACCGTTATTCAATTTCCAAACTTGCGCCCAATTTCCTTTCTTCAATTTAGAAACCCAGTCTATAAAACCTTTACTAATTAAAAGAGGATACCATCAGATTGGTTTTATTTTAAGTAAATTGATCGTGTTCGTGCTTGCCAATTCTATACCGATTTTGATTTTTATATATTGATCATTAAGGTTTAAAATAAACACAGGAAATCTTTTGGCACAGTCCATACGTATCAAAATTAGATTTGTCCTAAATTATTTGTTGCATAATGCAAGTAAAAATGCAGGTTAACTGTGTAATAAATTAAAATTACCAGAGACTGAGAGAGATCCAGTGGCCTGCGGTAGACCGGACAGCTGGTCGTTGAGCTGTAATCCTAACTCGTCCAGGATCTGCGACACTACCGCGTCACTGTAACAATACATTGTTTTTTATTTCAGTCACAGTTGAGTACATGGTAAAAAGTTTTGTATTTATTTAAATAATTCATTAATATCTTAATTTTAATACAACAATATTATAAACGCGAAAGTTTGTGAGTATGGATGGATGTTTGTTACTTTTTACGCAAAAACTACTTAACGAAATATGATGAAACTTTACAGTAATATAGCTTATATATCAGAATAACACATAGGCTATAATTTTAAAAGATATTATATAAATTGGGCGAATTATAATGATGAATATCATGTAAGTGTGATGTAGACTAAGTTGCGCGGGTCACCTAGTAACTTAATATAGTCACATTGTTTTATTCTACCACTCATTCCAAAAACACCGCAAGAAGAAAGAGAAATAATCTTTATTCAAATAAACTCATTACAAGTACTTTTGAATAGTCATATTTTGATTCTACCACTCATTCGGAATGCAGATTCATCACAAGAAGAATGTACAAGAAACTGCCAGTTGCTCTTTTAAACAAATGTATTATGTAATTAAAATAAAACCAACTGGACTGCCTTAGTGGTCTAACACACTGCTTTACCTCTGATGGTTGCGGGTTCGATTCCTTACACTACGCAAACATTTGTATTCATGAGTATGAGTGTCTGTATCAGTCTGGGTACTTTCTATGTATATTATGTATGCAGTTGCAAAAAATTACTTAAGTATTTGTAGCAGTTGTCTAGTATACAGTCCCATAATATAAGCTCCGCTTAACTTTGGGACTAGATGCCGCTGTGTGACTTGTTCTGGGTTATTGTTATTATTAATCATTGAATAGATAGCTAAAATGTAGTGTGATATGGATAGACTTGGAAACATTATTGTCCTCGATGAACCCTTTTCATAGAGGGTACTGTTTTTATGTCTAAGAGAAACAAAGAAAATACTATCTGCAAGTACATCTAAAAAGACGACCTCGGTGGTCTAGCGGTCTAGCACACCACTTTACGTCCGATGGTCGCGGGTTCGAATCCTCGCACGACACAAACATTTGAATTCATGAGTATGAATGTTTGTATCGGTCTGGGTATTTTATATGTATATTATGTATGTATTTACGAAAAAAAGATTATCTATGTATTTGTATCAGTTATCTAGTACCCATAACACAAGCTTTAGTTAGCTTAACTTGGGTCTAGATGGCGCTGTGTGAATTGTCCTGATATTAAAAAAAATATATATAAATAAAATTGGAGTGTCTGTTTGTAATACTGAATAAACAGTTTTTTACTATATGAATATAAATACGATACATACACCAAAATAACATTTTTACAATTTCTATCTGTCTGTTCCAGCTAATCTCTGAAATGGCTAGACCGATTTTGACGGGACTTTTAATGGCAGGTAGCTGATGTAATAAGCAGTAACTTAGGCTACTTTTATTTTAGAAAAATAAAGTTAAATTCCACGCGAACTAAGTCGCGGGTGCAGCTAGTAGCAAATATGAAGCACAATGTATGTAATATATGTAAGTTTTAAAGATATATATGATATACAAACCTTTCTTCTTCATCATCGTCACCTTCCATCGCCTCATCAATTGAATCATTCATCATCTCTTCCTTCATGTCCATTATCTCGGACTGCTTTTCAAATTCCTGTAACAGAATCAATGCATTAAAATTTGTTTTATTAATACTTCCATAAGGTATACATTTGGGCACTGGGCTCATCTATATATATTACAGAACAGTGTCAGTTACTCCGTCTGTTAGTATGTTTGCAATTTAAAAAATTCTCAACATATTTTAATGCAGTTTTTATCTAACAATAGAGTAATCCCTGATGAAGATTTACGTGCAAAATATAATTATGTTCTACAATCTGTGAATAGTTCAGGTGGGTCGCAAATTTAAATATAGTACTAGTTAGATAAATATTAAATGTTTTACATAGTTATATGGAGTTACATGGCAAACACATTTGTATAGAACTAGCACCAGTAATCTGTATTGAGATGATAAAGTAAGTTCACATATAACTTCAGCAAAATAATTATATTTCACAAAATTGCATCAATTGTCATTATTACAAAAGTAGGACTCCTGTAATGCAGATATAAGACAAGAGAATACATACACCACATTTCCTCTCAGTCACTCTAAGGTTGACTGCAACATATCCCTCTTTTGGGATAAGTCCACTATTGCATGCATTTATTATTTAAGTCAATTGTGCTCTTTTATTTATAATTTCTATTGTACAATAAGGTATTATAGACTAATGTAAACTATTCATATAAAAAAAAGTCAATTGAGAATCCTCTTTATTTAGTATGTAAAACATTGTGTGGTGGTGTGTCACCTGTAATATCTTCTGTATCTGTGGCATGTTGAGTTGTCTGTTCATGGTGGCCATGGCGCGCGTGACGCCGCGCATCGCCTGCGCCATGGTACTCTGTGACTTGAGGGTCTGGATCTTGAGGGACACGGCTTGGATATTGGCCTTCATCAGCATGAACTTCCGCACGTAGCGCCGCGTGCGCACCAGGTCTTTCGCCATTATTTTCACTGCATCCTAATTGGTACAATACATGTCCATAGAGTAACCCCATATTCATAAAAATGGTAAATATCTATTAAAAAAGTTTAATTATAGAAGCACTTCCTCCTTGCTCTGCATCTGTGAGAATATAATAATAGATCCAACAGTCAAAATTTATTAATAGGTGATTCTAATGTTAGGATTACAATTATAGTGGTTCCATTAGTTATACAATTATATGTTGTTTATATGTATTCAGAAGTGCTTTAATTTAAGTTTATTTAGATAAAAAAAATCTATTCTATTCAATACAGATTCATAATTTTATTACAAATAAGATTTAACTTTTCTTTATTTGGTATGCGGTGTGCACAAGGATTACAGAATCAGTATATTAATGAAATATATACACTTCAGAGAAGTCATCATCACAAATATTTTGTCTGGAGCGGCGTGTATAATGTATTAAGAGACAGTTAAGAAGTTATGGTAATCAGGGTAAGTCTTTCTTCACCGTACAGCACACCTAGTGTGGGTCCCACAAATAATATTAGTGGTTTAATAATGGAATGTGTAGACACATACACCGGACAGCTAATATAAGATATCAATAAACACATATAATTAAATCTGTGATATGAAATAACTATTTGTAATTTTAGTTTTACATCATATATAATCAATGTCTACAACTGTTAAATACTACAGGAACAGCAAGTTATATTTATTACTAGCAGTTACCGCAACTTCGTTGCATTGCATGGAATTTATCTTTATTTTTCTAAAATAAATGTAGTCTAAGGTACTCATCATTACAATGTCCCATGAAAATCGGTCCAGCCAATTCAGAGATTAGACAGAACAAACAGACAGACAGACAGACAAAAATTTTAAAAAATGTTGATTTGTTATATACCATATTTATATTCATATGCATGTAGTAAAAAACCGGTTATTTCAATATTACAAACAGACACTCCAATTTTATTTATATGTAGATTTGACATCACAAACCATTTGTCCCTCTTTGGCCAGTTTTTTAATGTCAGCGATGACTTTCTTCTCCTGCTGTTCCATCTTCATTCGCTCGCGGTCGAGGTCGCGCATCGCCTTGTTCAGGGCGCGCTGGTTCTTCCTCAACATCTCGTCAGGCGTCATACGGTGTCCGAACAGCCACTCCATTGTTTATTATAATTTGACACTGAAAACAATACAAAAAAATTGTTTACAACTTTGTTATGTACGATGTAATTACAATTCGTGTATTGTTCCAAATTGGTATCTGTATCATAATATATTAATTAATCTGTTTGATTGCTAAATTCTTTTATTAACTTTAAAAATTACTTACATTACAGGTAATCTTTTTTGGGTGATGATTCACTCAACTTACAATTAAATCAGTTCAACAAAGCGTTATAGGAGTATAGAGAAAACATTTAAAAAACCAATGGTTTAAATAGACTAGTATTGAAAATTATATTAATGCTAGAAAACAAAGTATTATAAAAGTCTTTAGATAATTTCAGAAATCATAAATATTTTAGAAAATCTGTTTACGACTCAAAGGGAGAGCGGAAGAGGGGAAGGGGAGCAGTCATGGTATGTCAAAATGACATTGAAGTCACATAAAAATTACGTCACGGATTGTTAAAAGGCAATTTCATGACTCATGTTTGTTGTCGTTCCTAAAGGCATGTAATATTTTTAAAATATATAATCGCAGAAATTAGTAACTGAGGAAACACCATAGTATTTACTTAATAAGTTGAAATCCCTTTAGTGTTTACAAGACAGGCAAAGGGAACTGTGCCGAGACATCTGTCATGCGATGTGTAAAGGCCTTAAAACTTATTTATTATCTGTCTGAAACTGTCACATTTTGACATTTATCTGAAATATTATTTCCCGGTTACTGTTTTTAAAATATAATCAAAATATTTCACATGTAATTATAGAAAAGTATATAAAAACAACTTTAGCTTTGTCTTTTTCCTTTTTATATGACAAAATGAGCGACGACAGTGTAACTATAATGGAAGTCGATGACACTGAATCGACACAAAATAAGCCTGTTAAAAGTTCTAAAAGCACATCACACTTACCTTGGATCGAGAAATACCGGCCTCAAGTATTCACTGATATTGTTGGAAACGAAGACACAGTGTCTCGGTTGGCGGTTTTCGCGCGGGCCGGCAATGCTCCTAACATTATAATTGCTGGACCGCCTGGTGTCGGAAAGACTACTACAATTCTCTGCCTGGCTCGGGCACTGCTCGGTGCTTCGTTTAAGGATGCTGTACTCGAGCTCAATGCATCCAACGATAGGGGTATAGATGTTGTACGCAATAAGATAAAAATGTTTGCGCAACAAAAGGTTTGTTTTATGTTTATAGTATCTACAATTAATTCAATGAAAAGAAGTTCACATATTATGGGCGATATGATATATTAATAAATATATATATATATTTCCCCTGTGTTACTTGTTCTTTTCTAGAAACTTTTTGCTATGCACAACCACATTGTGTAACCACCTTCCAACAATGGTATTTCTGAACCAATACAATATTGAAATCGTCAAGAAAAGAGCTTATTCCTTTTTAAAAGGCTGAGAACATATTTGCAATTTCCCTGGTGTTGCCATCAGATGAGCTTCAGGCACATTCGTCCCCTGTGTTATAAAAAAAAACTTAAAATTTAAACAGGTACAAATACCTGTTCTGCTAATAATGTGTTAATATATAAATATTTAACAGTCATTTTGAATCTTTACTTAAATATTTTTGCAGGTGACACTGCCACCGGGCCGTCATAAAATAGTAATACTAGATGAGGCAGACAGCATGACGGAGGGAGCCCAGCAAGCTCTCCGCCGGACCATGGAGCTGTACTCGAGCACCACACGGTTTGCACTCGCAGCCAACAACAGTGAAAAAATTATTGAGCCGATACAGTCACGGTGTGCTGTGCTGCGGTACTCACGACTCACAGATGCACAGATACTTGCCAAGGTACACACACACAAATACTGGCATCACATGTATTATACATATGAATGCAGATTCAAAAGCCGTTTAATTGTTTTTATTGAAATATAAGGTATCTTTATTTTGGTGTCATATAAATTATTTGTCAAAATAATAGCAACTGCCTAAATGATTTATAAATTAATATCCAACATACCAAATTTGCTATGAACTATATTAGTAAGTTTTTTTCATAACCAGTGTTAATACTTGTTGTATAATTAATGGTTTTTTTCATTGTTATCCTCATTATCATAGTATTTTAATTATATGGTATGGTATATGGTAGAGATGTGTCAACTCGAGTTGCGCATAATTCGAATTAACTCGAATTGAATGCTGCCAACTCGAGTTGGAAGAATTCAACTGGTAAATGAATGAATCAAGTGAAACAGCGAGAGCATGATTCTGTCATCGAACCGACAATAACATGAAATTTTCCGATCATTTCATATCATACAGTTTTCACTCCTTACAAATATTTCAATATTCTCTGTTTATGTTACCAATAAAATGATTATGCGTTCCACAAGTCTTTCCGCTACGTTAAAGTGCCATTTCTACTCGCCCCCTATAGTTCGGTGAAGCTTTCAAGGCTAGCTGCGCCCAAAAACATTAGAATTGTTCGAAAAAATAAAAAATAAACTTTATTCCAGGTAACTCGAGTCATCTCGAGTTAACTCGAGTCACGTTTATTACGAGTTAGCACATCTCTAATATGTAGGGTACTTAAATGTAGTTTATCTGTATAAGCAACAATAAAACGGCAACATCTTTTGATTCATGATAATACTGTAATATTATATTATCTGTGATAATACTAATTAATAATAATGGTTAGTTAATTAAGATATGTGCCCATCTTTTTGTGGCTTCTCAATACAATCTTTAACGAAACGGACATTGTGTTTTAGGTACTAGAAGTATGCCAGAAAGAGAATCTGTCATATACAGAGGAAGGTGTGAGTGCTGTGGTGTTCACAGCCCAGGGTGACCTGCGCTCTGCCCTCAACAACCTGCAGTCCACAGCGCAGGGTTTCAACCACATCAGTCCTGACAATGTGTTCAAAGTGTGTGATGAACCACACCCATTACTCGTTAAGACGATGCTGGAAGCTTGCACTAAACAGGATATACACGCTGCTTATAAGGTATATTTCACTTTTAAATTAGTTTTTTCTTGCCTCTGTTAAATTAGTACCAATAGACAGTTTGTATTCACACATTAAAAAAAAAATGTAAGGTTACAGCAATTAGTTAAAAGAGCAACAAGTCTGTTCTCCTTTTAATGAGACCTTTCCGAATGAAAGGCATAATAAAAAAAACTATAATTATTCAAAAGTGCTTAAATTAAATTTATTTGAATAATACATTTTCTATTCTATTCTATTTATTACTAGCTGTACACGCGACTTCGTTCGCGTAGAATTTATTTATTTATTTATTTAATTCAGGCTACATGGCCCATATTATAAATACCTTATAGACTAACATACATAAGAAATAATAATAAAATATGTAAATAAAATTGTCTCTATGATCACGGCACTGACGACGGCAATCTGCCACGGTAGCGCCGATAGACCACCCCCCTTCGGCCAGTAGTCCTCCTTCATGTAACTTTATTTTTCTAAAATAAAACTAGCCTAAGTTACTCCTTATTACATCAGCTATCTGCCAAAAAAGTCCCGTCAAAATCAGTCCTGCCATTTCAGAGATTAGCCGGAACAGACAGACAGGCAGATAAAAATGATAAAAAATGTTATTTTGTATATATGTATCATATTTATATTCATATGCATGTAGTAAAAAACGGTTATTTCAATATTTCAAACAGACACTCCAATTTTATTTATATGTATAGATAAGATTAATTTATCATAAATAGATAGATCTATCTGGTAAATATTTATGTGCAGGTAATAGCTAACCTATGCAAGTTGGGTTACGCCGCAGAAGACATCGTGAGTAACATATTCCGTGTTTGTAAGACCCTGGACATATCTGAAGACTTAAAGCTGTCGTTCATCCGCGAGATCGGTCTGACGCACATGCGCGTGTCGGAGGGGCTGTCGTCTCCGCTGCAGCTGGCCGGGCTGCTCGCGCGGATGTGTCGCGCCGCCGCCGGGTTCGAGCCCGACTGGTGACACGCTCTTCTCTTCTCTTCTCCAGAAATATATTGTTACTACAAACGTACCCACTGTGCCTAAAACTTCATTAAGGTTGTTATTATGGTCTTATGAGGGACTAGATGTACCCGCGACTTCGTCCGCGTGGAATGAAAAATAAAAGTAGTTACTCCTTATTACATCAGCTACCTGCCACTAAAAGTCCCGTCAAAATCGGTCCATCCATTTCAGAGATTAGCCGGAACAAACAAACAGACAGACAGACAAAAATTGTAAAAATTGTTATTTTGGTGTATGTACCGTATTTATATTCATATGCATGTAGTAAAAAACGGTTATTTAAATATTACAAACAGACAGTCCAATTTTATTTATATGTATAGATGTTATAACCGTTTTCCTTTGTACTGTCACAAATAAAGAGCAACAGTACAACACATGAGCTGTGACAATTTTACGAAATTAAAATAAAATATGTGTTTAGATAATAAGTGTTGGTTGGTTAATAATTAATAAAACAATTTCATTGTAAAAAATTAATGTTACTTCCATAATATACAATATTTCGCCATTATTTTTATATATTTACTTAATAATACATAGTTAAAACTCAACAATTGTCCTTAAACGTTATTATGGAATGTAGAAATCATCGTTTGATCTCGATCAGCTTGTTGTGCTCCACCATTAGACTCTGGAATAAAATAAATTTATTAAATAAAACGTTCAAACACAAATAAACTTAGTAATGAAATGAAATTATGATATTTTTTTACTATCATCAGCCCACTGCGTCCACTGCTGGCCATAGGCCTTTCCCAAGGCACTCACTGGGCACGATCTTCAGCCCTTTTCATCCAGTTACTACCCGCAACCCTACGTATGTCGTCGCTCCACCTAACTGCAGGGCGTCCTACACTCCGTTTGCCAATTCGCGGTCTCCACTCTAGAACACGCCTCCAGCGAGCATCTGTTCTGCAACAGATATGACCAGCTCACTGCCACTTCAACTTACAGATGCGAAGAGCTATGTCGGTGACATTAGTTCTCTGGCGAATTAACTCGTTTCGGATTTGATCCCTCAGAGAAACTCCAAGCATAGCTCTCTCCATAGCTCGTTGAGCGACTTTGAGTTGGTGGACCAGTTGTATCGTCAGTGTCCACGTTTCGGCACCGTATGTCATAACGGGTAGGACGCACTGGTTATAAACCTTGGTCTTGAGGCTTTGTGGTAGCGACGACGAGAAGACTTGACGAAGTTTCCCAAAAGTCGCCCAGCCCAGCTGTATTTGCCTCTTGGCCTCCCTCTCAAAGTTGTTTTTATCTAGTTGGAGCGTTTGCCCTAGATATTTATTAAATCAGTAGATATTTATCATAATATTTACTATGTTTTGTGTTAGCAATACTACTAGATACATTTTATGTTATCGTCTGATACTATTATCTATACACTGGGATAAATAAAGGACTATATGTGGCATTTAAAAAATGCTTATCATTACATTGCCACTTAATTTTTGAAATTATTTAGTATCAGGAATCTGCTATTTTTTATTCAACATTCCTGTCGCGTCTTCCTCAATAGTTTAGTACCGGTAACCTGCTCCAGCAAGGTGGACCGAGGATCTGGTCAAGATCGCTGGAACGCGATGGATGAGAGTAGCGCAGGACCGATCGTCGTGGAAATCTTTGGGGGAGGCCTTTGTCCAGCAGTGGACGTCATCCAGACTGTAATGATGGGAACCTGCTTTTTTTTATTGAACTTTCCTGTCCGTTTTCCTTATTTACACTACAAGTTTTTTTAATGGATGATAATGGACTAGTGCACTCATTTATTCGCTGGCTCGGCACCAGTGGAGGACTAGGATGGAGTCACAGAGTCAGGTCTGTTGTACATCGTGACCAATTCACAAGGGACTATAACTTGACCATAACCGCTGTACCGCGCCCTAGGTATGTGCAGCGAGGCGGGGGACGGGTAGAGAGAGAATAAGCGTGGACGGCCGACTGACACATCAGCGAGGCCGGTACCCTCCCCCGCCTCACCGCGCACATACCTAGGGCGCGGTACAGCGGCTATGGTCAAGCTATAACTAATATAGTTTCCACGGTCGACCTGTCTGGAAGTGGTCATTAGTAACAGTCGTAACCTCATCGGGACGTGGGGTGCTGCGTGCAGTATACGTACGTCCGGGGAGCACCGCGGGGGGGTCAGTGCACGAGGCGCTGCTCGTGGACGGGCCGGTCGGCGATCATCTTCTGGTGCTCCTCGCTCAGCGCCTGCCATACCACCGCGCACACATGTACACTCAGCCTTAACAATGCAACGTACGCCTACTGTCCTACACTAGTAGTACATTGTACTTACACATGTACAATGTCCTGATAATTTAAAGCCCAATTTACACTCAGCCCGAGTGGGCAGGGAAGTGAACAGCGCGAGAGTGTAAACACGATACTTCCCATGCCATTGGCGCTGCCACTCGCGCTGACGGCGCTCCCTCAATTGTCGGTTTTTCGTGCGCGAGTCAAAGGACTGGCGGCGCGAGTGGCAGCGTGTGTTTACATTCAGCCCTGCCTGTCGCTCAGTTGTCGTAGTAGTAGCTCAGTGTCGTGTAGTTTTAAGCGGAAGGTAAGGAAGACTTCCGGTAAATAAGCATGAGGGCTGAGTGTAAACGACACTCACTCGCGTCGACTCCCGTCGACGCTGACACGGTAATATTTCCGGCAGCGCGAGCGGCAGGGGAAGCGGCTGAATGTAAACGTAACGTAAGACGTTGCATCGCAAATATTGACGTTAGAAATCTTCTACTCAGCAATTATAAATAATTCGTAACTGATATTTAGGTATTTCATTTTTCACATCTTTGACTTCATATACATTTTTTTTGTTACATGATTAACTTTTGTAGCAGAGAAAAATATCTCAAAGAATGGTCTTATAAAATACTAGCTGTTCCCGCGACTTCGTCCGCGTGGAATTTAACTTTATTTTTCTAAAATAAAAGTAGCCTAAAGAACTAAAAATTTATTCGTTCCATTAGGTACTGATAGGTTAAAACTAATACATTTACATCCTGCAACATACCTTATTTTATCCTCATGGGGCTTGAATTTATCAAAATCCTATTTAAGCGAACGTCTTCATCATAATAACTCCAATCTTTAATTTCAGTCAATCAGTCGAAAATCTAAGAAGATTTATACAAACTTTCATCCCCTACTTTATTATCTATTGAATTTATCAAAATCCTTTCTTAGGGGATGCCTACGTCATAGTAGCTTTATGCACGCAAAGTCGCAGCCCGATCGGTTTAAAATTAACAAACTTTCATCTCCTATTTTATCCCCTTGGGGGTAGAATTAATCAAAATCCTTTCTTAGCGGATGCCTACGTCATAACATCTACCTGCATGCCAAATTTCAGCCCGATCCGTTCAGTGGTTTGGGCTGCGTTGATAGATCACTATGTCAGTCGGTCACCTTTGAGTTATATATATGTAGATAGATTTACTTGGTATAACAAAACGGGACTGTTTCGAGCTAGCGAGCGCTGACGGTCGATCGGCAACACGTAAACCTATCGGATATGAGATATATCGGATGCATGAGATGTGCGGAGCACGGAGCCCGATTTTGACAATACAAAGCAAGACTCTAAAATGAAGGCGGTAGGTTAGTATTCCATAACGACAGTGTTAGAAAGCTAGCAATATTAGTGTAGTGTGCCTACATGTATTTATATTTTTGTTCTTCTATTAGATTACTTCCCTATATAACAGATTTCTTTTTTAATTATAAAGTCAGTCCACATCTCGACTCCGTGTAGTGTTTGCTAATAAGCCATGTAGGCGACACGTAAATATAAAAAGATCTAAATGTAAATGTATTCTTTCGCGTTATGGCGGACGTAGGTGCGAGCGAGCGCGACTGCAGCGACTCGCGTTTTTCTTGCAGTACTAATCGGTTGCCGCGCCTTTTTGTTCTCGCTTCGGATCGCGCGGACCTCCGCAACGCGGATAAGCAAAAAATCTATTTATTTCTTTTACATCCTTAACAAGCCATGTAGTACACTATCGAATAAACTTACTATAATGTACAATTGTTACACCCGTATAAGCTCTACATAACAAATTAAGTAGCGTCAAGTTATCACATGATACATAACTACAGTGATGAGGTGATACCCGTCAAACCACAGTGGAATACACATATATCACTGTTTGATATAGAAGCGAAGCGACATACGGCAACCCATAAAAGACGACAAGAAATTTTTCAGCATGCTTTAAAACTTTTCATTTATAAATTTGTTAATATCTGCCAGTGTGTTCCATTCAAATATGATCCATCATATAAAAAACACAAGTATTACACATGATATACTCAGTGGTGTAGTTAGGTAACCAAGAGCCCTGGGGGAAATCAAAAAATGGGGCCCCACTGCATAGCAGTGGGGCCCTACATTACAGTTTTATTAAAACGCACATATAGCTATCTGTTAAATTGACAACAGTGCCAACCCACAGAAAGAATTTAGGGGAGTTCCGAAGGTATAACTTTCGAATTTCTCTCAACTGAGTTGCCACGAGTAAAGTCGGGGTGCAACCTGTTATATTTATTTTGAAAATGGGAGAAATTTTCAAAAGTTCAGAACGATCGAGATTTTCTGGCAAGGGTTTGAGGGCCCCCTGACCTGGAGGGCCCCGGGGCACTGCTCCGCCTAGCCCCTAGGTAATTACGCCACTGGGTGTATTTTTACACTACTACATATATTTTTTTTATATACTTTGTATTCTTATTTTGTAACTGTAGAGATAGTAATTCTTGTGGTATATGTTGAGTCTGAGCGTACTCATGCATTCCTCCATCTTTTATACTAACCAAGATGAGAGAGGTGAAATTAGAGATTCTAATTGACTAATGTTAGTAAGATCCTGTTTACCTGAAGATGGTAGTGGTAACCAAGCTGACGAGGCATAGGAAGGGCAGGCAAGGAGGTGTACTCGGGTACCTTGAAGTACTTGACGGTCTTGACGCGCAGCTCGAGGGTGGCGTCCTCGTCGCACACGAACAACGCCTGCGGGTGCTGCTGGAACGCGGACACGGTCCACATGTGGTTGACGCCCTCCTCCACGGCCTTCGCCAGCGCCAGCGACTTGTGCACGCCCGTTATCAGGATCATCACCTGCACACACACAACATACAAACATCTACAGTATCAACCACACAACAAAGAAGACTCGTTTACTTTTTATGATCTGTGGTTTAAATGGTCTCTGTTGAGGGGATAATTGTGGTAGAAATATGTAGTAAAACTATTTATAAAGGGATCAATATTTTAGTGGTAATGGAAGACAGTGAAAAAAATAAAATATCAACATTTTGCTGCTTCAGCGCCATCTAGCATCCAGTAATGAAGTTATGCGAGCGAAGCCGCGGGTAAAAGCTAGTCAGTAATAAAATGATTAACAGTGTGCAAGAACTAATGGATATGTATTATATATAGAGGATAGTTACGAGTATATTAATTGAATAGAATAGAAAATAATTTATTCAAATAAACTTATTTTAAGCACTTTTGAATAGTCATAGTTATCATTATTTTAATCTACCGCTCATTTGTAAAGCTATCTCATCACAAGAAGAACGAGCAAGAAACTTGTGTGTTTTAATTGGTATGGTACTGTACCTCCTTGGCGTCCATGACGGTGCCCACGCCGACTGTAAGCGCCTGCCGCGGGACCTTGCTCATGTCGTTCCCAAAGAATCGCTTGTTGGCATCCAGCGTGTCGTATGCTAGCGTCTTGACGCGCGTGCGCGACACCAGCGACGAGCCCGGCTCGTTGAATGCGATGTGTCCGTCCGGACCGATGCCTAAAACAAACCAACCATATAACACATTCGATCACCAATTGAACTAATGCCAGAGTAGAATGGTATTCTATGCTCCATCTTAGAGCTCCCCATTCCTATAGTCTGTTTTTAATCGACGAGACATAATTGACATTACCGATGTTGCCAGTTTTTTGCAATTTTTAAATAGAGTCGAGCACTACCGGAATTTAATAATAATTAGATACCCATTTTTATAGGTCACTCAAAAATAAAGTGTCGGTGTTTATTTAAAACGCATTATTAGACAATTAATAAATATATGCTTGTTATATCAAAATAGATTTTTTATTTTTCACAAAAAAATATCTGTAATGAATTGCACCAAATCAAATCAAAATATCTTTATTCATGTAGGTTTATTACTCTTATGATATATCAAATCTACCGACAGTTCTAAGTGTTTTCGAGCTAAAAAGTGGCAAAAACTTAGCTCATATGATTTTTACGACTCATTTTTAAATTCAGTTACGGAAAACAGTCAACCGGAAAGTATCGTGACCGCATATGCGAAAATATCAAAATTTACACATATTATAATATCTGTGTAATATTAATATATTTGAATAAATTAAAGAGAAAATTATCAATAAAATACGATTCTGGCTTGACCCCTTTCTTCTTGTAACAATGGCCGACCGAGTAACACATGCTAATAGCGCGTTCCATTATGTATTTAAAACCAAAGGACATCTTGCTTAGATGTAAATCCACATTGGATATTGCATTTTTATCAAAAGAAAATAATCTAATCAGTGACCGTAACCCGAACAGCGGAACAGATCGGTCCTTACAAGCAGCGTCCGTACACGAGTATGACGGATTCTTCAATTGGTGTCTTGTATTCACTGATACCGCCAGCGAACGCTTATTCCATGTCATTCATGAGTACATACCTCCAATGAACAGGTGCACCCCGCCGGCCTTCTGTATGAGGTCTTCAAAGCGGTGGCACTCAGCCACCAGATCGGGAGCGTTTCCGTCCAGCACGTGCGAGTTATTGGGGTCGATGTCCACGTGCTTGAAGAACTCGTTCCACATGTAGTAGTGGTATGACTCGGGGTGCTCACGCGGCAGCCCTGGAACACCACCACGTGTATATCTATACTAATATTAAGAGTTTGTTTGTTTGAAACTAGTTAGTTTATAATATTAGTTCAGGTTTAGATCTGTTGGGAAATAAAAGTTGTAAGTATCTTTGAACATAAATTTAAAACCAACGGACTTGTAGCAGCTATACGACTCGCAATCCGCTTATTAATTTACTAGCTGACCCGTGCAACTTTGTCTGCGTTTCATTTCCCCACCTTTTGCACTATTTTTCATTGCAGCTCCGCTCCTATTTGTCGTAGCGTAACGTTATATAGCTTAAAGCCTTCCTCGACAAATGGACTATTCAACACAAAAATAATTTTTCAATTCGAACCAGTAGTTTCTGTGATTAGCGCGAACAAACAAAGTCTTCAACTTTATAATATTAGCATAGATAGGTAAGTTTTAATAATTTTTCTTATTTTTTATAAACTCCAAAAATATAAATTTATTTTTTTAATTATTCCAATCTCAGAAAGATACCAGAGGACAGAAATAAATAGAAAAAGAAAGATTTATTTGTCTCTGTTTTTTAATTGAATGTAGTAATTAATACAATGTATTTATTCGATGTAAATCGAGGTAGCAGACTTATTATATATACAAGCAATGTAATTTTCTGTATGTTTGTGTATAACATTAAGAGAGACTAGCACAGACTATTTATTCTATCCAGCCTTTAATATATATGGAGATAGTAAAGTGCATGCGATATCATTTACCTACGTACTCGTCCATGTTGAATGTAGTGACGTATTTAAATGAGAGCCGGCCCTCCTTGTGGAACTGGACCAGCTTGCGGTACATCCCGAGCGGGGTGCCGCCCGTGGGCAGTCCCAGCACGAAGTGGCGTCCGGGCCCCGGAGCGAACTGAGTGATCCGCTGCAGCACGAACTGCGCCGCCCAGTCCGCCACCGTGCTCGCGTCGTCCAAGATTATTAAGCGCATCTTTTCTATATTCACATCACAAAGGAAACAGACAACATATATACATAATAGAAATAGAAATAATCTTTATTCAAATACACCCATTACAAGCACTTTTGAATAGTCATATTCAAAATATTCTACCACTCATTCGGAAGGCAGATTCATCACAAGAAGAATGAGCAAGAAACTTGTGTGTTGCTCTTTTTAATAGATGTTTTTTTTATATAAATAATTAGAGTAAGAGGCATGCGATAATCAACATAGAAACCGCTACGCACTCATTATTAGTGCTTTAAGTTTTTCAATAGAAATATTGTTATCATTAACTAATTCTAAATAATAATTATTATTTATTCTTTTTACGGACTGTTTTTTAGTGGTGTAGGGGTTTTTTTTGTGGATGTTAATGAAATGATGCACCCGCCTGCGCTAACGGTTTACGCTGGCAGGACACCAGTGGAGGATGATAAGATGAATATGAGGTCAGGTCAGTTAGCCCGTCGTGACAAATTCACTAGGAATTTCTAACGATGGTTTCCAGGAGGAACCGCGTGGAGGTCGACCTAACATGGTACCTCGCTAGCACTGGGGTTTACTAGTTCCCATTACTAACAATCCCCTTCCCCCCGGTATAGGGGTTTAGTACATCGCTGTCATTCCGATGGTCGCGGATCGATTTCTTGCACGGTACAAACATTTGTATTCATGAGTCTAGTTGTTTGTATAGATCTGGGGTAAAAAAAATAGTTCTTTTTTTCTGTTATATCTATATTATGTAGCGTTGAGTGAATTTGAATGTGTATTATTACTATAGTTTAACATAATACAATTAAGGAAAATATAAAATGTCACCAAAGAAGATAACGTGATTATTTATTTTACGACTCATGTTAGTAGGATCGAGACAAAGTAACGGAAGGTTCAGCTAACCACCGTAAGTGAGAAGAAAGGGGATTGTTATTAATGTGGACTGATGATCTTATTGCTACCAATGTACCATCGTGGTAAATTCTTGGTGAATTTGTCACGATGGGCTAATTGGCCTGAGCTCATGCTCATCTTATCATCCTCCACTGGTGCCCCGCCAGCGTATACCATTAGCGTAGGCGAGTGTACCATTCCATTATCATACATAAAAAAGAAAACAACCCTAAGTTTCAATGAAAGAAAACCCTGCTATATTTATATTTTTTAATAACTAAAGGTACCTGTTATAGGCTATTCATTGTTGTCTATGTAACCGATAAATAAATAATACGAATATCTAAATAATTGCTTATTTTGTATATAACAACAATTGGCGACGGTATGACGGACCCTGAAGTAAAAAAAACCCAAAAAGTAAGGGCATAGCCGAAGCCGAAAAAGAGATGGATGGACTGTATGAAAGATGATATGGTAAGAAAGGAAGTAAATAACGAGATGACTGCGAACAGAGATGAATGAAAGAGAAAAACATATTACACCGACCACAAATAAATGGGATAAGGAAGAAGCAGATGATGATGATAATGACGGACCCTGAAGTAAAAAAACCCAAAAGGGTAAGAGCATATTTACGAGGCATGTTGACAAAAATAGAAAACTTCCTAAATACTCAGGAAAATATCTCCTTAATAGAAATAGATACGAAGTGTCAAATGTTAAGTGATACAATGAAGAAAATTTAACAAATGCAAAAAGAAATTGAACAAGAAACAGCAGAGGAAGATTATTTTGTATATAACAGTACCTATTTAAAGATAATTTGCCAGGCGGGTGCACTATTCCATTGCATCAATAAAAAATATATAACGAACAAAATTTTGGGACCAGTTTCCTTTCAGGGACACCGGAAACACAAATCAAAGAGTCCCATTTAAAACGATCATATTAATTATACTAAACAATAATAACGTAGGTACTACATTATTATTATTTCGTTGTTAACACTAACAAAGAAATGACAATAATTACTTATGTATTAGACGGTCTTAATGAGGTCGAGTGTAATAGTATAGCTTACACATAAATAAAAGTAACACTTCAAGTGTTATGATTGCAATGTGTTGTTTGCTAACACTGCACACTCAGTACAAGTGCCACTAGTAAGTGTTATGATTGCAATGTGTTGTTTGCTAGCAATGTAACACTGCACACTCTTAGTGAATTTGTACGAGTGCCTGACCTAGTAACTGCGATTATAGGCCAGCGTTTCAGGTGAACCATTCCATTATTATCCATAAAAAAAAAATTAAGTAAGACTATAGGCCGCGTGCCAGTAATGTACCACGTCAGATTGACCTCCACACGGTCACTCTGGAAAATTCCTTGTGAATATGTAAGAGCTAACTGATCAGAGTTCTTGTTTATCCTCCACTGGTGAAAATTTTTGCTAAAAGAATGTCGCCAAAAAAAACATATAAATAAAATTGAAGCGGCTGTTTGTAATATTGAAATAACCGTTTTTTACTCAATGCATATGAATATAAATACACCAACACAACATTTTTTCAATTTTTGCCTGTCAGTGTGTTTCGGCTAATATCTGAAATGGCTGGATCGATTTTAATAAAAAATAGTAGTTCACGTTGTGTCGAATCTAATTGGAGTTGCAAACCAACTCAACACCCAGGATGGTAGCTGGTAACCTCATAAAGTCATCTACTCATCTTATCATCCTCAACTAGTACCCCGCTAGCGTGCAGGTGGGTGCACCATTCCATTGTCATCCATTAGAAAAAATAAAAAACATAATACAATTGTTACTCAATCAGTCATACCTACCAGTCGTTATTAGTAATATACAGATAAAATGTCAATGTCCTATTTACGTATGATAAGTGGCGGTTCAAACAAATAAAAACGAGAGAATCGATAAGAAGTTCAATTAATACGTCTACTAATATGATTACTTTAAATAGATACCCCAAGTACTCAATGTGCAGTCCACAAGTACATACTTACTGTATGTATGTCATTTTAACAATATTTACGAAACAATACTCCAATATATCAGTACACTTATCAAAGTGTAATCATTACATAGTATAAAACAAACTTATTATTGTATGTAAAAAAATCAATACACATAAATATGATTTGCTGTTCGTTAGTCTCAGTAAAACTCGAGAACCGATTTCGCTAATTTTAAGCTTGAAATATTCGTAGAAATCCAAAGGTTTAAATGGTGATAAAATAAGAAGAAATTGAATATGAAATAGTAAAAACAACAATTCAAGAGTCCGAAAAAAATACTTAAGTTTAAACTTTCGCGTTTATTAGGTACAGAGTCAGCTCGTGACCACGGATAGTGCAACCTAGTCGATCGCCGTCGTTCTATTCAGGTTTATAGGCGAGGAATACCAATAACTATCAGTTTATCATATGATTTATTATAAAAAGTTTACAAAAACTTAGCTTAGATCAATATCTAGAATTTAAAGATACGCCGATCGCTCGCTGATTTATTTTACCATGTATTGAATTTGACATGAACAAGAATTATATAGAATTAGCTACTCGCCCTGGCTTCGTACGGGTGTACATGTATTATATATATAAACTTTCCTCTTGAATCATTCTATTTATAAAAAAAAACGCTTCAAAATCCGTTGCGTAGTTTTAAAGATTTAAGCATATATAGGAACGGACAGGCAGCGACAGCGACTTTGTTTTATACTATGTAATGATTCCTTTCGTTTTTATAGGTTGTGTTTTTGTATTGTATACCAGCTGACCCCGCGAACCGTTCCGCCTCAAAATTAAATATGTCAAAGTTTAGTTACGCAATAAATTTCTGAACGCACCTGTTTGAGAGGTATAGTCGTTTGTATGGGAAAATATAATTGTTGTTTTTAATGATGATGATGATTGTTTGTAATGATGATACTATGCACAACTAGAACAGTAATATAAAAAGATTATAATGTATACTCACGCCGGGGATCGTATGGTATAGGCAGAGAACCGAGTGTTAAGTGGCGTCGAGACGATAAACCTCTTGAAGATTGGCTGCAACCAATTACATTATATGCATTCCTTATACAGGGTATATTACCTAGGTACTAATGATTGAAATTTCATGCCTCTAGGAACATAATTTTGTAAGTTAACTACCTACGTAATATAAGTGTATATTTTTATCCATAAACATTATTATTGTATATTATATTATTAACTAACTACCCACCCTGGATTCGCACGGGTAGACTTGTATTATACATATAAACCTTCCTCTTGAATCACTCTATAATATCTATTAAAAAAACTTCTTCAAAATCCGTTGCGTAGTTTTAAATATTTAAGCATAAGTACATAAGGACAGACAGCGACAGCGACTTTATTTTATACTATGTAATAATGATAATGGTAGTTAACCATATTCTAAAAACATTTGTGCCATTAACTCAAGGTCGACTCCTTTGACATGTGTGAACTTGAGATGTCCTAGATTTCATTTTAGAATTCCATCCTCAAAGTGACCCTCGCAGGACACTGCAATTTTACAGACACTTTCTTACGGAATATATCTTCCGAGTTCAGGTTATATATTATTTTATTTAGTTCTTTGTGTACAGTCTGGAGGGTAATGACCTTTTTCAGAGGTTACTCACCTTTCAAATTGCAATAACAGTGGCAAATCGATAGTCTAATAACTAATAACCACAATTCTAATCAAAATATTACAAATTCACTTTGAACTAACGTATAAATAAACTATTAAATAAGTTTATTGTTTATATTTGTGTGTACGGTTGTGTCGAGCACACGTCTGTTTACGTCAACCGATGTTTTGTTTCTGGTTTCAGACACTTTCTGTCGTGAATGTGTGCACGCCAGCCGTCATTTGGCCCGATATTCGATATCAGTTTGCGTGCACTTCACTCCACTCCACAAGCATCAGACGCCGCTACTTCACTGTGGTTCATTTGTCACAATTTATATTGCTTGTATAAACAAATGAAAGTTGTATTTACGTTACGCAGGGGCGCAGCTACCACCCATACTGCGGTTCAAATATACGGGGCCCCCAACGTGCGTAAGCAAAAATTAACTTGCCAATTTTTTTGTATGTATGTTTATATATGAACCATGTATTATATATAAACCTTCCTCTTGAATCACTGTATCTATTAAAAAAAAGGGTCCAAAATCCGTTGCGGTTTTAAAGATTTAATACATAGGGACAGACAGCGACAGCGACTTTGTTTTATACTATGTAATGATTACTACTAATTATATAATTAAGCGCGTAAGCAAAAATTAACTTGCCAATTCTTTTTATTTCACAAACAACAAAAGTCCTAGAAAGCAATTTCTTTTTTTCCGTATTAGCTATAAACTATTTAATAAATTAGTTTGCCAAAAAAAAGGCAACGAGAGTGTATATTTAAATTGAATTGTTTGTAAAAGACACACACACACACAGATAGATAATTATGATGAATAAATATTTTCTTTTAATTTTATGTAAGGACACAATTTTTTACATGAGGCCCCGTAAGAACGGTAAGCTTCTGATGTTACGCATAAAGGAAAGTCGGGGTGGAAATAACTTGAACACACAATGAATTCCAATAAATGAAATTTATTTCTAATACATTAATACTTATGTGGAGATTATACAAAACGTTGTAGCTCACAACTAATATAATCATATCGATCGACATAGGGGCCATCCATTAATCACATGAGGTTTGAAAGGGAAATGAAGGGGTTTGACAAAAATCACGAAATATCACGAGGGGAGAGCGGGCGTCTACTAAGACATCACGTGTATTTAATTTATGCCAATCAAAAACAATCTGCAACCTTTCTGTCTAGACATTTAGTTTAGATTCTTTTAGTTTTAAACCTCACGTATCACCAACGGGGAGGGGGGGGGGGGGTTAAAAATGCCTAATAAGATCACGTGCTTAAAGGACGGCCCCATACGATCGTCTAAAGAGATTTTCGGCCGTAAATCCTAACAAGTTTATTACAAACGAAGGAGAACAGTAAGAGAGCGAGACACTGTGTTGTACACTTCACTTAAAACATTACCTAATATAAACTTACACGTCCGGCGTATATTACAAACGAAATACATACTTCCTAATGTGATGGTCGGGGACTATGGATCCCATTGCTAGCAATGCACCATGTCAGCTTGACCTCCACGCGGTTCCCCCTGGAAACCATCGTGATAAATTCTTGGTGAATTTGTCACGATGGGCTAACTGACCTGACCTCGTACTCATCTTATCATCCTCCACTGGTGCCCCGCCAGCGTAAACCGTTAGCGCAGGCGGGTGCTCCATTCCATTATCACCCATACAAAAAAAATGTGTTGGTCGACATATTGAGAATTTATAAAAGGGCCAATTCGCGCCCTCCTATCTGAAACATATAGCTACATATAAAAATATTACTACAATAAAATAAAATATATTTTGCGCGTATTTTTATATCAACCCAAACTTAAACTAAAGCTGTTCTTTTAAATCACGAGGTTCCCAAACGTTTTTGTGTCGTAGACCCCTTGCCATATTTTTCGGTTTTGGCTAGACCCCCATTCTTACTTGGTATTGATTTTTTGTAAATTTCTAACTATAGTAAAGTTTAGTGTTAAAAACAACATGATGATCGCTGTCGTAGACCCCTTGCAGTTTGTCATAGACCCCTGGGGGTCGATATAGACCATTTTGGGAATCACCGTTTTAAATTAATACAATCTATACATATTATGCGCGTGGCATTGCTTGCGATGCCACTTCAGCGACACAATATAAATAGACTCGTATGACTTCGAGTTGCATAATAAATTACTTGATGAATTTATATTATTTTATTTAATTCGCTACCATTAGCATGTGTGAGACCACGAATGTTAAGTGCGGAAATCTGACAAACGCCACCGGAAGCGACTGTGTAGTCGACGTCAGTGAACATTAGGCTTTCAAACTACATCCGAACTCTATTCTTAGCGTAATAATGCCTCGTTTTCAGGTGACACTGTTATCTGGCTAATCTGAAATGAACTTATTCCAAATTTGTATTTAAATTTATAGTTCTTTTACAGTACATTCTCGTTATATACTAGCTACTAGTTACTCGCCCCGGCGTCGCACGGGTGTACATGTATTATATATATAAACATTCATCTTGAATCACTCTATCTATTAAAAAAAATCGCTTCAAAATCCGTTGCGTAGTTTTAAAGATTTAAGCATACATAGGGACAGACAGCGACTTTGTTTTATACTATGTAATAAAGTTGTGTCTTGTCATTTCATCTACATGATTATAAAATAAAACTACAAGAGAAACACGTCACAATATGTGTGTAGTTCTCTATTGGGGAAAGTCATAAGGGGCCGGGGCACAGGGGGGAGATGGGGGACGCCCCCCCGTTCTTTTCCTTTTTTGCTTATTTTGGATGACATGGTGGTAGATGATGATCACGTCAACAGTTATTTACTTTTTTACATGTATGACAAGCCTCAGATTGTTGAATTGAAAAATGTGTACGTAAGTATGAAGGGTAAGAGCTTTGCTTACTTTTGCTGAGAAGAGGGATGAGGGGTAAATAATAGTAATAAATCTGCTTAACGGCCCCTAAAGCTTCCAGTAGGAATGCACAGATTTCCGCACTGAATGTTCGTAGCTTCACACATGCTAAGGCTAATGGGATGAAACCAAATAATATAATCCACTAAATAATATAATGGACTTCCGCAAAATAACACCTAATTCTATAAAATATACACAATAAATTATCAGGACGTCGCTGCATGTGGCTTACACTTACATTACACAAGAGTAAACAGATACGAATACGAGCATAAATTATACATATAACAGTTGAGTACGCCATAACATATCATAGAATACAATCAATAATTGTGGCAGACTGATACCGAATATTATTATACATATGATATCTATACATATAAATAAAATTGCAGTATCTGTTTGTAATATTGAAATAACAGTTTTTTTACTACTTGCATAGGCATATAAATACGGTACATACCAAATACCAAAATAATATATTTTACAATTTTTGTCTGTCTGTCTGTCTGTTCCGTCTAATCTCTGAAATGGTTGGACCGATTTTGACGGGACTTTTATCGGTACGTAGCTGATGTAATAAGGAGTAACTTAGGCTACTTTTATTTTAGAACTATAAAGGTAAATTCCACGCGGACGAAGTTGCGTGTACAGCTAGTACTAAATAAAAATATAACTTAGCGCCAGAGTAACGCGCGCAGAACGCTAGCACGCATATACATACGCACTTCACATACATTTAATGTAGTCTTATAAAATCCTTAACACTTAACACGTACTTACATTAACGAGTGACAATATTGAAAAAGAAGCTGGACGCTCGGTATTACATATATTTATATAGGAAACATAAAATAAAACTGAATACATTCACAGGATGTTGAATATCCAACTTTTATCCTGACACATTACAGGAAATACATGTATTTCTAAAACTGGTGATGAAAGTTATTTATTGCAGAGAAATTAAAATAAACGTCTAAAAGATAATGTGCTATCTTTTAGCATCGTATCATATCAACAAATAACTTTCATCACCAATTTTAGTAATACAGGTTAATACAACAAAGTGAGATAGGAGAATTATTTGAAACAAATCACAAAGAGAGTATAGTACCACGAATAATAATAAACAACCGAGCGTGCAGGTTTCTCCATTGGCTCACATTTTTTAATAAGTTTAAAATACAATTATCCCTAAGTGCCAACAATTCAAAATACAGTGATGACCTTCAGGAAACATGAGTAGGTCCAGTAACTAACAAATAACCGCGTTGATCACGCTACACGCGCACCGGAAACAACAACATATAACGCACGACGAGCAACAGCGTCGCTACAATCTTGTCTTTTGTTCAACAAAAAGGAACTTTATTCGTTACATACTACAGTGTAACATCGATTACATTACATATTTTAAGTTTATCTTAAACTAAATATCATTTTAAATAAAATGTCTTCTTAAATTATCTCTACACACCGGTGTAAATGAGAAAAAGATTAAGTCTTCTTTTTATTTATAAATATTTTAATTAAATTACTAAATACTATTTGAAAATAATTATTTATATATTATACTAATGATAATTATTACCGTTCAATTTATTTTACGCAAGTTGTTAGACAAAGTGTTTATTAATATAAATGAACTAGGGCAGCCTCTACTGGTTGAACAGATTGCTCCAAGAGAATGTGTATGTGTATGTATGAGAGTTGCTCCAAGTGGTGTTTGTGATGAAATGTATGACGTATTCATTCAAAATATACATTACTGAACGTCAACAGAATTATATACGAACGGTCAGTGTACACATCTGGTATATTGTGGTCTCACGAGACCACTAGTAGTCCGTCCAGGCAATCCATTCATTGCTGGGACATAATCCGGATTCTAGACTTTTCTATGAGATCCATAGATCGTGCTCGTTGAATCAGTAGTATGACAACGCTGTGTAAATCATGATTTCTCTGATAAAGACGTTCCTAACATCTTTTTTCAATAGTCAAGTTACATCAATCAATATATTTAAAATGTCATATATCAACAGAGACCTCAACTTTGCTTGGTGATTACACAAGCTCTGTTACATTTTTTTTTATTCCACGTAGGTGGCAAACGAGCATACGGCCCATCTGATGGTAAACGTTTACCGTAGCCTATGGACGCCTGAAACACCAGGGGAGTCACGTGCGCGTTGCCGACCCTTAAGAGACCTTAACTTATCCTTCTTGAAAAAAGAAATGACTGCAATATCAATACTGATGTATATCTACGTGTAGTACACGTGGTGGGCGGCGACCGACTGTGCGAGTGAGAGGTCTGCCGCGTGTGACGTCACGGGCGGGTAGCGTGCGGCGTGGTGGTGACGTCACTCGAGCCGCGCTCTCTTGGCCGCGGGCGAGCCCTCCCCGTTCCAGTAGGCGTACTCGGGCAGCCACTTGAGCAGCTGCGCGTCGAAGAACTCCTCCAGGCGCTTCGCGTCCTTGTATATAGTCGAATCCGGCTGCGATACAACAAAATAGTTAGTATTAGAAGTACAAGTTTTACATTTTGTGTGTATAATATACTCGCGAGCAAACTATGTAAAATAATAGCGTCTCTTTTATACATTTTTTTTTTTGTTTTCAAAAGTATTTAACTTTTTTTTTTTTATTCCTTTATGTACACAATTGATTCCGCGCGAATGTTGAGGGAACTGGCTTTCAATAACTTGTAATAATAAATAGGGCTGCAACTACAACTATATTTAATTCAAGTGCATTTATGTTTATTATTATTATTATTAAGTTACTTGTAAGAAAGTCAATAATAATAACATGATACAGAAAGTCAATAATAATAAGTGTGTTGCGTATGTATGTTAGTGATGTACAAGTGTGTTGTACGTACCGGATTGTAGTGGTATGCGTTCCTGAAGAGTAGCCGGCAGTCGGCCACAAACTGAGCCACGTGGGTGTACCGCAGCGCCGCGCGCGGCTGCAACTTCAGCCGCACCAGGTCCAGGTACATCGGACGCGGGACCTGCACCATACCACCACACATCACCACAACCTTCCTACCCATACCCTTCCGATCATATCGCATTTTTTATGGGTAATGATGACATGATGAAAATACTTAAAAACTTGACTTGCACGAGTGCCTGGTATATCCTACAGTGAGGGGAAGGGGAATTATAAATATAAATAATCTTTATTCAAAGAAACTTAATATAAGCTCTTTTGAATAATCACATTTTTTTTTATTCTACCACTCATTCGGGACGCAGATTCATCACAAGAAGAATGAGCAGGAAACTTGCGTGTTACTTTTTAAAATAAATCTTGTGGCATTAAGCATGCGGCAATCAACATATAAACCGCTACGCACTCACTCTTTGTGCAATCAGATAATATTGTCAGCACTATGAATTTTAAGTTGATTGTTAGTAATGTGGATTGATGATCTTATTGCTAGCAATGTACCGTGGATTGATGATCTTATTGCTAGCAATATACCATGTCAGGTTGCCACGCAGTTCCCACTGGAAGCCATTATGATAAATTCCTGGTGAATTTGTCACGATGGCTAACTGTCCTTATCATCCTCCACTAATGCCCCGCCAGCGTAAACAGTTAGCGCAGGCGGGTACACTATTCCGTTGTCGTCCATAAAAAAAGTCCTACAGTAATATAAATAATCTTTATTCAAATAATTTTAATACAAGCATTTATTAATAGTTATATATTTGAATTTGAATGCTGTATTGTAAATGCAGGGAGGGGAAGAATTTGAGAGTAATGGAACAAGTACCCATTGCAAGAAATTTATAAAATAATTTATTAATTTTAGGAATAAAATATTTTATTTTTTTAATATAATTTATATATATTTAAATTGGTACATATGCTAACGGCCCCCGTCATCTGCAGATAATGAATAGCACTACACTAGCGTTACCTTTTTATAACACCCGCCTGACTGATACGACTTTAGTCTGAGGGCACCGCTTTGAGGGGTTCGAACCTCGGCTCAGGCCGTCGTAATATCGATCCCCGTTTGAATTGGACGGGGGATCGATCGGAGGGGGGGAGTGGTGGAGTGATTCCCACAACAAATAGAATAGAATAGAAAATTATTTATTCAAATAAACTTAATTTAAGCTCTTTTGAATAGTCATAACAAAATTATTTTTTTAATCTACCGCTCATTCAGAAAGCTCTCTCATTACAAGAAGAACGAGCAAGAAACTTGTGTGTTGCTCTTTTAAACATTCCTTGTAAGTTCACATTTTACAAGTATAAACGTGTGAATACAAACTACCAACCAGCACTAATTTATTAGGGTCAAATATAAATACACAATAAGATTAAATCAGTCGCAGTAATGAGAGCAGACCAGTCCCTACGAGCAGCACTCGTTCACGAGTATGACGGATGAGCCGGCCATCACTGCGCTCGACCATATTTTAGGGAGCCCAATGACCCGGCCCACCACGCCACCGCATATCTGGAGATTTTAGTGAGCATGACTGCTGATTCCACTCGACCCCATCATAGCTACTTGAAAATACTATATAGTCGGTAGTAAATCTGCTAAAAGCTCTGAGAACCGATCCTAGATATAGATATAAAGGAGACCCGAACCTTGGAGTGGTAGTGGAGGTTGTCCCCGGGCACGGGCTCCCTGAAGGGCAGGCTGGCCTCGTACTGGCAGTAGAGCTCGAGCGTGATGCGCTCGATGATCTTGAGCTGGCGCGGCGTGAGGCCCTCGTCCTCGGCCGGGGGCTCCTCGGGCGGCAGCTCCGCGAAGTTCACGCACAGCAGGCACTGCCACGTCTCCGTCTCACTGCACACACCACGCACACAATACTTTTTATTTTATATACAGACTACAGCATGGGGTTTTTCGAGAAAGGTATATTAAGATTTTTTAAGGGTCGGCAAAACGTCCGTGACAGGCCTGGTGTTTCAGGCGTTCATAGGCTACGGTAGTCGTTTTCTATCAGATGGGTCGCATGCTCGTTTGCCACTTATGATATTAAAAAAAATCACATGATAACATATCTAATATATAAAACTCTCGTGTCACAAGTTTCTATTGGCCGTAGCGTAACGTTATATAGATAAAAGCCTTCCTCGACAAATGGACTATCTAACACAAAAATAATTTTTCAATTCGACCCAGTAGTTACTGAGATTAGCACGCCCAAACAAACTCCTAAGCTTTATAATATTAACTACCTACTCGCCCCAGCTCCGCACGGGTGTTCATGTATTACACATATAAACCTTCCTCTTGAATCATTCTATCTTTTGAAAAAACCGCTTCAAAATCCGCTGCGTAGTTTAAAGATTTAAACATACATAGGGACAGACTAACAGCGACAGCGACTTTGTTTTATACTATGTAATGATATAGATAAGTAGACAGTAGTCTGGTGATGTGGTACTCACTCTGGCAACTTCTCTATGGTGGGTATGTGGCAATACTGGTGGAAGACCTTGGGGCACTTGTCGCAGCACATGAGCTCGCCGCCGTCCATGCACACGGCGCACCAGTCCTCGTTGGGGTCGGCGGGCGCGTGCTGCTGGTGCTGCAGCTGCTGGTGATGGTGGTGCCGCGTGCGCTGCTCGGTGGAGGAGTGCACGGGCGCGGGCGAGCTGGCCGCGCCCTCGGCCACCACCTGCACGCCGTTGGAGTCCAGCTTGGCGATGGTGGCCATCAGGTCCTGCACAGACTCCGCGCACACCTTGTCCAGCTCCGACGACGCGCCGCCCTGGGACATCACACATCATTACTACTCTGATGATCGTATAGATATATTATATATATAATAGATATATTATATATATATAAACCTTCCTCTTGAATCACTCTATCTAATAAAAAAAAACCGCTTCAAAATCCATTGCGTAGTTTTAAAGATTTAAGCATATATAGGGACGGACCGACAGCGACAGCGACTTTGTTTTATACTATGTAATGATATTGAAAACTATTCTAAACAATTTCAGCGACTATTTTGATATCCTATTGTAAAAGTATTTTTGAATTTAGTTTAAAAAATAGTATAATGATGGGAATGAAAAGTTGTATTCAGATAAAATTTCAAACAGTTTCGTCTTTACTAAACCCGTTTAATTGTACCAATAATGTTCAAGTAGTTTGTCTAAGATAAATCAATTTTCACAACAAATAATTATTTTTTAATATGATAAATGTTTATTATTGTTTATCTGTTCACAACCTACGTGCGTAGTGCGTAGCGGTTTCTATGTTGATTGTCGAATGCCTAATCCTTGTTAGGCAATTAATATTTATTTAAAAGAGCAACACACAAGTTTTTTGCTCATTCTTCTTGTGATGAGTCTGCATTCCGAATGAGCGGTAGAATCAAAATATGACTATTCAAAAGTGCTTGTAATGAGTTTATTTGAATAAAGATGATTTCTATTTCTGTTATATTGGGAAGTTTCACAAAAGATACGTCGATGCAGCGGTACTTATATTTTATTCTTTTTTCAAAAAACACTCCACACAAACTGCGTCGCTGTACATTCACGTCTGGTCGTCTCGGTCGCCTCGAACCGAGTGAGAGCAGCCCGCGAGAGATAAAGAGGCCGGGAACAAGGAGGCCTCCTTGTTCCCGGCCTCTTTATCTCTATTACTATTGGTGGCGGCATAATCGTGACGTCACTGTTACGGTCCGGCATATACCAACCGCAATGAATTAGATACAGTGAGAAGGCTTACATTGAGACTGGGGCTGGGCGTCTTGGGGTTGGTGGAGGTGACTATGGAGGGCGTGGTGGGCGTGTGCGGGGCGCGCGCGGGGGCGGGGGCGGGGGCGGGGGCGGGTGCGGGGGCGGCGGGGGGCCGGGCCAGCGTGATCTTGAAGTCGGCCACCCCGCCGCCGCCGCCGCCCGGCACCGGCGCCAGCTCCGCGCCGCCTGCGGACAACGCCCACGATGAATACCAGCGACAACCGTGCAAATATTTTTTTATATATGTATATTAAAAAAAATACAGCTGAAATAGACTCTCACAGCAGACAACAGTCTTTGGTTCTAATCCATATTGTAAAATAAATAGTGAGAACTAGTGGTCACATTTAAATGATCCTTCGAGCCGGATATTGGGTAGGCCCGCCAACAAGAGCGACTGCATGTAGTTACTATTGTCTCTGTACTGCCTTCTATAGGCGACACCGTATGTTAAATCGTAGACTGAATAGCAGGACTACTCTAACTTTGAATGACATCATCCTCCCTCTATCCTGAGGAAATAAAAACCGCTGCTAAGAATATTCTTCAATTCTTGCCCTGACGAGTCTAGATAGCAAACTCTGAAAAAGGGCGATCACAATAGAACTATGGAGTTCGCAGTGCTGCAGGCCCAAGCCCTAACCGCCCAATAAAAAAAAATACTTAGAGTGTATGTACTGATAGTGGTTAGTACCATTGGCGAGCGCGTGCTGCGGGATGTGCCACTTGGCTGCGGGCGGCATGTGCGGCGCGAAGTGGTGAGGAACTGCGGGGGGCGCGGGGGAGGGCGTGCGCGGCCCGCCCCCCCCGCCGCCGCCGCCGCCCGCCCCGCGCCGCCCGCCCCCGCCCCCGCCCACGCCCGCCGCCCCGCCACCGTACGGGCCCGCCGCGTACGCGCCCATCACTGCAACAAACGACACCTCACTTTCCCGTTCATGTTGCAGCTTCCCAAATACCACCAACATGAAACTTTCCACGCATTTGTGGGGTCGGTAGTAATTAATACATCAGGCCATCGTACATTATGTACATCGATGAAATATTTACAATAGATATAAATTAAATAATTATAATAGTAAATTCGCCACACCACCCCCTGCGGAGAGAAGGTGAAAGAAAAAGAAAAGCAACTGTAAACCTAAAATATGATCAAAAAAACTCTCTGTACCGTTCATTTATTTTTTCAAAACAAATACATGTAATGTTACTAATTTTTCAGCCGCCGAGTAGATTTAAGGGCAACAACATATGACATTGAAATGACGAGGTACAAAACTATAAGTTATCGTTCAAGTTAACAAGACATAGGAGCCACATGAAGCCACAAGTGGCACTCACTCTGCTGGTAGGCGTGGTGCATGGCGGCGGAGGCGGAGGCTGCGGAGGCGGCGGAGGAGGCCGGGTGCTGCAGGGCCCGCGGCCGGCCCTGCGCCTGCGCCTGCGCACTCAGCAGCCCGCGCAGGTTCATGTCGTTCACGCCTGCGATACAAACAGTTATAACGATCTAGTTACATCATCATCATTTACTTCTTCCTTATCCCATTTATTTGTGGTCGTCGTAATATGTCTCTGTCATTCTTCTCTTCCATTCATCTCTGTTCGCAGTCATCTCGTTAATCACTCCCTCTCTTACCATATCATCTTTCACACAGTCCATCCATCTCTTTTTCGGCCTTCCTCTGCCCTTATAACCATCCACATTCATATGTAACACCTCCCTTAAAATATTACCTTCATTCCTACGCATTACATGTCCATACCACGACAGACGATTACTCTTCAACCTCTCCGACACCGGCGCCACTTTCATACTTCCTCTGATGTATTCATTCTTTATCTTATCCATTCTTGTCACACCACACATCCATCTCAACGTTCGCATTTCAATTGTAAGCAGATAAAAACAGTTATTTACTCAATCCGATACAACATAAACAATATGGAGTCTGTACAAAGTTATATACCTAGTTGTTGCGAATTTTTATATCTATGTTTTTTATAATATTATATTGTTTTTATATGACATAAGTCATTAATACACAATTATATTACGACTATACCGGTGCCATTTTCTTTGCTCGTCGTGTTGGTCTCCATCCTTCACACTAGTTGTATAAGATACTTCTCTCTCTTTCAACCATTTCTGCACGAGCACGAACTCGCTTTGTAAGTTGTATGTCAATTAGAAGCAGTTTAGTTTCACATCAGTCTGTTCTCTTTATCATTTAAGAATTATTACATTTTGTAATGCACTTGTTTGGGTAATATTAATGTAAAATAAGAACATTTATCACTGACAGATTTATAAGAAATGTCATAGTTTTTCATTCCTTCATTCATTCATATTTAATGAATGAATGAATGAATATTCATCATTGTTCTCTCTTAGAATATAACAAATATTTATATACATTATTAATATATAAATATGTATAAACATACAACATTCTCAAAGGGAAGAGGCAATGGGCTTTATCGCTGAAAAGAGATTTCTTCCAACCATCCTTAAGATGAAGAGAGTGATTAACTTGAGTGAGGTCAAAGTGTAACAATGCTCTAATGTAATAGTTATAAAAACATATTTAATCACCAATTTTAAAGTAATTATTCGGATATTTTTTAAATTAATAATAGTTAACGAAGATATTGCTAGACTTCCGTAGTAAACTTTTTTAAAACAGTATTTTCAATGACATACAGGAATAATCTTTAAATTGGTGGTGAGGGGCCGTTCAAGTATTACGTAAGCAGATTTTTTGCAATTATTTACCCCCCCATCCCCCTTGTCCAGCAAAAATAAGCAATGTTCTTACCCCCCCCCCCATCCCCATCCCCTCCCACATGCTTAATAACATTTTTCAATTAAAGTATAGTATTTTTTATCTAAGACAATAGTAAGGGTTGCAATAACTACCTATGATGTAATCATCATCTAGACTCCCCTACCCCCCCCCCATGTAAAACAAAATTAGCAAAACAAAGACCCCCCCCCCTCCATAGTGCTTACGTAATACTTGAACGGCGCCTGAGTACTGAGGCGACAGAGGCTGACCGTGGAGGTGGTGCGGGTGCGTGGTGGAAGTGACGTGCGGATGGCGCAGCGGCGTGTGCGCGCGCGCGTGCCGCATCTGCTGCTGCAGCGGCTGCAGCGGCTGCAGCGGTTGCAGCGGCTGCAGCGACTGCAGCGATTGCAGCGGCTGCAGCGGCGACAGGTACCCGCCTCCCGCGCCGCCCCCGCCCGCGCCCGACACCGACTGCACGTACGACTGCGGACCACGCCCACCACACCTTACATATACCACACTACTCATCGCACTTACGACTGAAGCCAAACATACACGTACAGACAACACATACAATATTCTTAAACAAAATTATTATAGACTAGCTACTCGCCCGGCTTCGCACGGGTGTACATGTATTATATATATAAAACTTCCTCTAGAATCACTCTATCTATTAAAAAGAACCACTTAAAAATTTACATAGGGACAGACAGAGACTTTATACTAGGTATGTAATGAAAATGTGACGCGTTTTGTTTTTTTACACTTGAGTATATAAGTATAGACAAGTATATCGGATGACTTTGTAAACGACTGTGCGCTAAAATTTATGCCATAATAGGTGAATGAGCCCACTAGTAGCACACTTACGACTAAAGCCAAACATACAGTACAGACAACACATACAATATTGTTGAACAAAATAAAAAAATGTGACGCGTTTTGTTTTAATTTTATTATACTTGAGTATAGTACAGACAGGTATATCGGGTGACTTTGTGATGCGGAAAAAAATATGGCATAATAGCTAAATAAAAGTGATTTACAGGGTGTCCCAAAAATCGATGATAAACCGATAGCAGGAGATAAGACTTTTGAGACAGTCTGTATAAGTATGAGATTATAAATTAGTCAAATTTATTTTTGATATATTTTAGTACTTTAGAATTATGCCCTATCAATATTTTTGTTGTAATTTCTATTTGAACAAAAAATCAGTTTTTGAAAAATGCTAAATACCGCAGGAATTTTAAATGTTTAAAACGTAACGCTAGTGGTCACAGCGAAAGTAATGTAGAAATATATTGCAACAAACAAACTGAGAAATCTGTTTCTACTTTCAGTTTTAGATACACCTATACTCTAGTTTATACAAAATGATATTTTACAAACGCAGTTGTCCTGAAAAATTACAACTATTGAGTCAGGGGCGGATCTACCTAAGGGCTTTTTGGGCTGCAGCCCAGGGCCCCGAGTATACAAGTGGCCCCCTGTCCCCACAGAAACGATATTTAGAATATTAAAAAAATCATCTAGAATGTTAAAAAACCTATCATAACCCTGGCAACTCTGAGATCAATTCCATGCAAGTGCGCGTCTAGCGAAAGGAACAGGGAATTCTTGGTCAGTATATTTTTTTTCATCATCATCGCAGCCCGGAAGACGTCCACTGTTGAACATAGGCCTCCCCCAAAGATCTCCACGACGACCGGTCCTGCGCTGCTCGCATCCAATGCCTTACAGCGATCTTGACCAGACCGTCGGTCCACCTTGCTGGAGGCCTTCCTACGCTGCGTCTTCCGGTCCGTGGTCGCCACTCGAGGACTTTATTGCCCCAATTTTTTTAGTTGAGAAATATAATTAAGTGGGCCCCTAAGTAGATTTAGCCCAGGGCCCCACAAATTCACGATCCACCTCTGTATTGAGTGGTTTCAGTTTCGGTGCATTTGGACGAAATATCAAGGCAAATGTTGTTACATTTTTTTTTTGTTATGATAATATTTTATTTTATAAATATAAACTATCGAATAAAAAATACATATACGCGCATACTAAGTGCATGGTAGACTATCGTACAGTATTTCAAATTGTCGGCGCACAACACTAGCAATCGGCTCGCTGTCGGCCCAATCCGGTTGAGGTTGGCTCGCCTGTACCCTTTTCGACGTCCACTACGTATGACCTGCACATAAACTATATTTGTTACATTTTAAAATATAATCATTTAAAATTGCAGTTAGATTATTATTCATATCCACCTCGGAACATGAATTGATATCTTGAAAATCACGTCGGGGTCACCGAGGGGTCGAGGTCTAATCTAACATCTAATCTAACTCCAATTTTAAACGATTATATTTTAAAATGTAACAAATATAGTTTATGCGCACGCGCAATCAACATAGACATCGCTACGCACTCGCTATTAGTGTAATCAGATAATATTGTCAGTGCTATGGATTTCCAGTTTTTCTATAAAATCATTATTGTCGTTAACGAATTCTACAATTTTATAGTAAGCTTTTTTACAAAGGAAGTATTTTATATGACATTTAAATCTTTATTCAGGCAGATTTATAACAGACTGGTATTTTGTTGTAAAACCTTATGCAATTGCCATAAAACGAATTACTAACTTTAGTTAAACGACATTTAGGTAAAATCAGTTTGTTATTGTTGCGTAAGTTTTTATTAGTGTAATCACTAACTCTTTTGAAACTGTCTATATTCTTCCTGGCTTACATGATATTTTCATAAATATATTGAGAAGCAACATTGAGGATATTTGATTCCTTAAAGCACTCTCGTAAAGACTCCCTGGAACCGATACTATACATTTCTTATGTATGTTAGACTATAACGTATTTATAATATGGGCCTGAATTAAATAAATAAATAAAAAAAACAAATAGTAACTAACGGTATGGATAATAATATTGAAATGATTTGTTAAATATATAGTTCACTACATACAACAGTTACCTAACTAACATCCAGACATAATCAGTATATATTTAACATGGATCCATCATGCTCATATCAATTCTAAGGTATCAAGACATCATGCATAATCAACATAGAGCGCCTATAATATATAATATTAATTTGACATGACTCCATCATTCAAATTAAAAAATCATTTATTTATGTAGGACATTTTAGCCGCTTATGAACGTAAAAATTTTTCCCTACCGTCCAGTTCAGTATATAGATACAATTGAAAAGAACTGGCAAGAAACTCAAATGCGTCATATCAAATTTCATCTAAACAAAAACAATAACATATTATATTTGATGCTAAAACGTTTATGAACAAATAATAATGATTGCAACAGTAGTGGGGACGAGACTTGGAGCGGACTGACCTGATATCGTGCCAGGGTCTTAGACATGAAACAATATTGTTACTTCAGATAGTTCGACTCTCTTACTCTACTATTTATCTATACATATAAATATAATTGGAGTGTCTGTTTGTAATATTGAAATAACAGTTTTTTACTACATGCATATGAATATAAATACGGTACATATACCAAAATATCATTTTTTACAATATTTGTCTGTCTGTTCGTTTCGGCTAATTTCTGAAATGGCTGGACCGATTCTGACGGGACTTTTATTGGCACCTGCCAATTGCTGATGTATATATATCGTACTGTAATAGGAAATATGACTGCATGGTTGAATATTTGTAACTCTTTTAAGATAGAACCACTATGTAGATTTAAATTAAATTTGGTGCAAAGATAGATTATGTTCTATATTAAGAGAGGACGATTAGTTGAATTTCTTTGAACTAGTGTTAATTATATAATATATATAATAACATATCAGGACAACTCACACAGCGCCATCTAGTCCTATGCTAAGCAGAGCTTGTGTTATGGGTACTAGACAACTGATATAAATACATAGATATTTTTTTGCAACTACATATAGAAAATACCCGGAGTGATACAAACAACTCATGAATTCGAATGTTTGTACCGTGCGAGGAATCGAACCTGCGACCATCCTAAGACCACCGGGGCCGTCAACAACGCATTAACATCAATAGCTCTGTATGCGGTACCTGGTGCATGGCGACGTGCTGTAGGGCGACTACTGCGGAGTGCGGGGGCGCGGGGCCGGGCACGGAGCCCCCGGGCGGTGCGGGGGGCGCGGGGGGCGCGGCGGGCGGCGCGGGGGGCGGGTGGTAGGGCCCCTGCGCCGCCGCCCCCGCGCCCCCCGCGCCGTCCACCTTGCCGTCCACCACGATGGCGCCGATACTCGACAGCACTGCGGATACACACGGTCACACTGTTACTGGACTGTCACAGACTGACACAGAGGTCCATCCGATTGAACTGCTCAGTGTTATATTAATTTGAATTTATATGCAGGCTATAGTCAGCCTCCAGCTGAAGAATTGTACTGGATGTGACTCTATGAATATATAATAATCTCAGGACAATTCACACAGCGCCATCTAGACCCAAATTAAGCTAGCTAAAGCTTGTGTTATGGGTACTAGATAACTGATACATATACATAAATAGTTTTTTTATAAATACATACATATTATACATAGAAAGCACCCAGACCGATACAAACAATCATACTCATGAATACAAATGTTTGTGCCGTGCGAGGAATCAAACCCGCGACCATCGGTCATAAAGCGGTGTGCTAGACCGCTAGATCACCGAGGTCGTTAAATATAGTGTAGAAACTCAGGTCTATAAATAATCCTAATTATAATTTTAGTTAAACTATACATTCAACCAAAAATGTTGATCGGTGCTGCTTTGAAGTTGATAGCTTCGCATATTTTTGATATTATTTGTACATGTGGAGCATGTACCTTATACCTCGTACCTCTGATCAGGTCCAGCAGCTCGTCGAGACAACGGGATTTCAGGGTGGGGACATATGTCGCACATATCCCGCAGCTTGTCGGCCGCATGGGACCTCAGAGAGGACGTACCTTAAATCAGGTCCAGCAGCTCGTCGACCCCATTGAACCTCAGGATGGGTACGTACCTCGCACCAGGTCGGGCAGCTTGTCGAGCGCGAGGCTGATGCGCACGGGTATCTCAGGGTTGGGTATGTCTGCGCGGCGCGACTTGACTCGCTGCAGGTGTGCGGCCACGAGGCGCTTGGCGTACAGCAGGGCGGTGTCGGAGCCCTGCTCCAGGGCGGCGCCCACGAACTCCACGCAGTGCTCGGTGACGCCGGCCAGCTGCTCCAGCGCCTCCTTCTTCTCGGTGAGGGTGCGCTGCTTGCCGTCGCACACTTCGTTCAGCCGCAGCACCAGCTGCTTGCCGCGCGTGTTGATCGCGTTCGTCAGCCTGCAAACACATTTATACAAGTGTCAAAACAAGTAGAGAACACAGCGGTATTAAAACCTCTTCAATAATTTTAAAAGGTTTTAATATCATTATCTATTTTTGTTGGAGTTTCCGTCGGGGATCAGAGAATAGACAGAATGACAAAACGTCTTGATAAAAATATTAATTGATATGTATACATACAGAAATGGCGAACGACCTACTTCAGCAATTATTAATATATACTGATAGAGAGAGAAGGAGATATATTAACGGAAGAGAGGGGGAGGGGGGGAGAGAACGAGGAGAGAGGGAGCGCGCGCTCGAGGAGAGCAAGGAGAGAGAGAGCGCGCGCGCGAGGAGATCGAGAAGAGAGAGGGAGAGGGAGGGAAGGAGAGCGCGAGGAGAAATAGGGAGGAAGAGAGCGCGCGAGGAGACAGGGACGGACAGAAAGTGGGAGGGAGACAGGGCGGAGATGGAGGGGAGAGAGGGAGGGAGAGATGTAGAGAGAGAATGAGAGTGGGAGTATGTATGGTGCACGTACTTGACGACGGTCTGCGTGATCTCGTGCACGAGCGCCTTCTTCTTGTCGGCGATGAGCTGCTGCCGGTCGCGGATCACCTTCATGGCGGAGCCCAGCAGCACGCGCTTGTAGTTCACCTCCGACAGCAGGCTGGCGATGCTCGCGCGAGCCTGCACCACAAACAAACAAACAAACACACATACTAACTAAATTATATAGTGAAGATTATTAGTAATACGGATTGATAGGGATAGGGATGACCATGGGGGTCATGGGGTACCATGTTGTGTTGTAGGAAACCAATAGCTGTCGTTACATACCACGTTCTTTCACGTGTGAGGAGCGAGCTCAGTTTAGCGCGGGAAGTCCAGCGAGCATATTCGTGAAACATTTTTTAAATATATTTTTTGGGTTGACTCTTTCGCGCATGATTTTGAGTATGTTACATGTTATTACACTTTCTTTTATCCACAGACTTAATTATCCGAAGACATATGTTAGATTTATAAATAAATATAATTCCATCTTAGTACCATAGCCAGATATCTGCCCTTTTGCAATAATAAAATCTATATATGTAAATAAAATTGGAGTCTGTTTGTAATATTGAAATAACCGTTTTTTACTACATGCATATGTATATAAATACGGTATATTTATATTTATATGCATGTAGTAAAAAACGGTATTTTTGTCTGTCTGTTTGTTCCGGTTAATCTCTGAAATGGCTGGACCAATTTTGAAGGGACCATTTTTAGCAGGTAGCTATGATTATAGGACCTACAGTTGTACAAGTGGAGTCTAATAAATGTATGAAGCATGATATACAAAAGTCGAAACAACAGAAGAGAAGAGTACCATCTAATAGTAAACAAGTTCATATGTGTGATATATGCAGGAAAACATAAGGAGTAACTTAGGCCACTTTTATTTACGAAAATTCTTTTAATTTAGAAAAATAAATTTAAATTTTACGCGGACGAAGTCGCGAGTACAGCTAGTCTATTATATAGTGTTTGTTTGTTTAAAAGAGAATATAAAATTGAATGTACCTCCTTAGATATTCACGAGTTAGACATGGAAATAAAATATTTAAACGGGATTTAAACATGCAATAAACTTACTAGAGTAACAAAACTATAACAAAATTGTCTATGATATTTATGAGCTAATAGAGAAATAAGTTAATCACTAATACACGACAAAATCCACTAGATGATACACATGAGTGAAGCCCGTTTAAATGTTTTACTTCCATTCTGTCACTATTATGAGACCTTCAATAGTCGCCGTACGGTAGTAACCGTCGCCCAAGTGCCATAGGCGATACTATGGTGGATAGGTTACCATGTACCATCAGGTGGTATGTTGTAACTGTCGCCTATATACAGGAACTACGGACATCATATATATCACTAGCTGTTTCCGCGACTTTATCCGCGTGGAATTTAACTTTATTTTCTAAAATAAAAGTAGCCTAAAAAACTAACCATTATTTTGTTCGTCTTAATTTATTCGTTCCATTGGGTACTGATAGGTTCAAACTAAATCATTTACATCCCGCATCATCCCTCATTTTATCCCCATGGGGGTTGAATTTATCAAAATCCTATTTAAGCGAATGTCTTCATCATAGTAGCTCCAATCTTTAATTTCATTTCAATCAGTAGAAAATCTAAGAAGATTTATACAAACTTTCATCCCCTATTGTATCCCCTTAGGGGTGGAATTTATTAAAATCCTTTCTCAGGGGAAACCTACATCATAGTAGCTTTATGCATGCAAAGTCTCAGCCCGATCGATTTAAAATTGACAAAAACTTTCATGCCCTATTTTATCCGCTTGGGGGTAGAATTAATCAAAATCCTTTCTTAGCATGGACGGACCAAACCACTGGACGGATCGGGCTGAAATTTGGCATGCAGGTAGATGTTATGAGGATGCCTACGTCATAACATCTACCTGCATGCCAAATTTCAGCCCGATCCGTCCTGTGGTTTGGGCTGTGCGTTGATAGATCACTACGTCAGTCACCTTTGAGTTATATATATTTATTAGTAAATAAATAGATAATAACTCTGGAATTAACACAGCGCCATCTAGTTCCACGGAAAGTAGAGCTTGTGTTATGGGTACTAGAGAAATAATATAAACACTTATTTCTTTTTTGTAATTACATACATAGTATACATAGTGGTTGATATAAATCTACTAATTTCTAGCCAACTTGCAATATGTTACTACCCTAAATCCTACTCCTATTTTTATCCACCAAATCTGGGGGTAGCATCAACAAAATGAGTCGTTCGTTGTACGTCGCGTCGAGCACACGCAAATCAACATATTCTCCGCGAATCAACGTTAACGGAACCATCAGCCGCGATCTTCGCGCAATCATCTGATTAGTACATCATCCAGTGAAATTCATCGTAGTGTTGTGCGTTTTTAAAGTGAAACGGCTACGCGTATAATAAGACCTGCACGCGGGGACGACACGAACCAGGTTGGTCCTTAGTTTCCCTTTTTTACCCAACATTCTTCATGGTCCTTCGTCCAGATCACCATCATTCATCTCAAAACCCATAAATAAATCATATTTCATAATCATCTGATTATCATATTCATCTCATAATTTCATCAAGTATTGCAAGTCATTTTTCATTGTCATATCAACCGCCGTACATATCAGCCATTTTGCTCATATTTCACCTTGTCATTCATTCCATCAAATCAGTATCATTCATTGGCTGTCAATAAAGCTTTAAGCAAAAATCATAACTCATTGTTGGCAACACAGAACAGTAAGTTGTCAATCATAACCCGTCAGTATTAATTCATTCAATCAAATTGTTAGTTTAACTTTTGTTTACATTTTAATTTTCGTATATCATTTAGGAAAATATTACATTATTTTGGTTAAATAACATCAAAATACGATGGCAAATATTAAAGCGTATGCCACAAACTGCGATCTGAGTTACAAAAACATGCGAAATGTGTATGAACTTGCAGGTAAACTTAGCCAAAATCCAAACTTAACTTCACAAGAGCAAGTTGGTTTCATGGTACGATTTAAGGATATTGAAAGGTTTAGGCAACAATTCGAGGAGGCTTTTGCTATTCTTATGTCTAGTACTGAGTCTGTAAGTGACAAATCTCGTGAGGAGTTGGAAAACAGATATTCAACTTTTATGGATATGTTTTATTCTGTTCAAGTTTTGCATAGTTCAATACAAACAAAGAGTGACAATGCCAGTGGTTTTCAACACTCATCATCTAAATCTGAACCTGCCTTTCAGCTTCCCAAGATATCTCTAAATAGGTACTCAGGTGTGAGCGTAGAGTGGCCAAACTTCATCTCAATTTTCAACAGTCTAATTCATAATAATGATAGTTTAAGTTCTGTTCAAAAGTTACACTATTTATTGAGTGTTTTGGATAAGGAACCACTCTCTTTGGTAAAGCATTTAGTAATATCTAGTGAGAACTATCAAGTTGCTTACAATTTATTAACAGAACGCTATGAAAACAAGAGAGTTATCGCTGATAAACATGTAGAAGCAATATTTTTAATTTGCCAAATTTAACACAATTAAATTTAAAAACTATTATGGATTAAAACACATTTATATTTTAGAAACATGTTTTTTAATGTGACTGCTTGTATTGAGGCTTACATGGAATGATTATATTTTAGTACCCTACATATTTGACTTTTTTGATAAAAAGTTATATTGAGGGTGACAATAAAAGACACACACAATTATTGTTATACAACATACCTTTCCCTCAAGCTTAACACTAATATTAACAAACTCTTGAAAAAAATCAACAATATATGGTTATCCTATTTACAATCTATCATAAGGGAGTTTAGAATGTCCTTTGGGTTTGTTTCTTATCTTTCCCACATTTGATGTTGATGGTATTCCCAGCATGTCCGCCCATTGGTCACAACTGGGTATCTCAATTATATCTTGCTCCTGCACTGTTTCCCATGCCTGATCTTCACCTAAGTTTTCATTTGTCAATTCCTGCTCTACTTCTGCTTCCTGTTCTTGTATTTCACTTTCTGTCCCCTGTGTTCTTAACTCTTCTGTCTCTGTGTCCTTAAGTGTTACCAATTGATCTATGTGTCTATGCATACACTCTCCATTTTCTGTTTCTATTCTATAGCTAGAAGGACCCTCCTTCCCTATTATTGTTCCAGATTTCCACTTTTCTCCTTCTGCATAGTTCCTGTACATTACTTTCTTTCCAACTTGAGTTTCACGATTCTTCCTATTTGCATTATGTATAATCTGATTTTCTGTCTTTCTGTAATGATTGATATTTGGGTGAACAGTGTCTAATAAAGTCCGCAGCTGTCTATTCATCAATAATTCGGCTGGACTTCTCTTAGTTGATGTGCAAGGCGTACTACGTAATGTCAGCAAAATTCTTGGTAATTTTACTTCCCAAGGTACATCTGTCATCTTTTTTAGTTTATTTTTTAAAGTTTGAACCATTCTCTCGGCCTGTCCGTTGGTGGCGGGATGATATGGCGCTGTCCTAATGTGTTTTATTTTGTTAGCCACTAAAAAGTCCTCAAAATCCTTTGACACGAAAGATGTACCATTATCTGATACCAATGTTTCACAAAGCCCGTGTTGCGCAAAGATATATCGTAAATGTTTGATAACAATGCTAGATGCCATAGAATTTACAATGTGAACCTCAGGCCATTTTGAATATGAGTCTACTACTATCAAAAATATTTTATTTTGAAAAGGTCCTGCAAAATCAACATGAATACGGGACCATGGTCTAGCAGGCATAATCCATTCATGTGATGATCTTGTTGGCATATTTCTATTTTCTAAACAGGAATGGCAGTTGCTGATCATCTTCTCTATATCTCTGTCCATTTGTGGCCACCATACATAACTCCTAGCCAGAGCTTTAGTATGTACTATACCATTATGAGTTTGGTGTAATAGTTTTAACATGTCCTCTCTAAGTTTATTTGGTAATACCACACGACTTCCCAGTAAAATACAGCCATCTTGTATACTCAACTCCAAGCGATGTAACCAATATGTATGTAACTCTTTATCTGTAATTCGGGCTGGCCACCCTTTCAAAATGAACCATTTTACTCTATGGAGAGTTGGATCTCCAGAAGTTGCTC